GGTTTGGCAACCTGAGGGTCGAGATTCTGTCATCAACTCCTAGTCATCCGGCAACCTGTCTGGCAAGATTGCTTCAGGTACACCACACTCCCATCATCACAGCTCCACAGTCACCTTGTCCAACAACCTGTCTAGCAAACCTGCTCCAGGTAACACTCCTCCAGATCCCCCTGCAACTCTGTCACTTCCCCAGGCTCCTGTCAAGATATCTCTTGTCAGCGCAGCGGCCTTCCGCTCAGCTATGAAAAGTGCTGCGGTCTATGGCATCACCACCTCCAGTCAAGTCTCCAGCATCATTGATCCTCAATCCGCAGAGGATGATGACTCTCCAGAGCCAGATATGGCTACTCTTCTACGCACAATACCTCCAGAATTCCACGATTACCTCAATGTCTTCAAGAAGTCCAACTCCGATAAGCTACCAGAACATGGACCATATGATCACTCCATTCCTTTGGAAGGGGACGCCCGACCCAAGTTTGGACCCATATACTCCTTATCTGCAGTAGAACTCAAGGCCTTGGACGAATATCTCAAAGACAACCTTCAGAAAGGATTCATCCGCCCCAGTACCAGTCCTGCTGGTTCACCAATACTCTTTGTCAAGAAACCTGATGGATCCCTCCGACTCTGTGTTGATTACCGAGAACTCAACAAAATCACCAGAAAAAATCGTTACCCACTACCTCTTATCCAAGAATCTCTGGACCGACTCCAAGGAGCCTCCTGGTTCAGCAAGATTGATCTCCGTGCTGCCTACAACCTTGTTCGCATAGCAAAGGGTGATGAGTGGAAAACTGCCTTCCGCACCCGCTATGGCCTCTTTGAATACCTTGTCATGCCATTTGGGCTCACCAATGCTCCAGCATCCTTCCAAAACCTCATCAATGACACACTCCGCAACTTCCTTGACATCTCTGTCATTGTCTATCTGGATGATATCCTCATCTTCAGCAAAACCAAACAGGAACACATCAAACATGTCTCACAAGTACTCAAGCAACTCTGTCAACACCAACTCTGGGCAAAGGCAGAAAAGTGCACCTTCTTCCAACATGAGGTTGAATTCCTGGGCTACCTTGTCTCTGATAAGGGACTCAGGATGGATCCCAAAAAGGTTGAAGCTGTAACTGATTGGCCTGAGCCAAAATCCGTCCACGATATCCAAGTCTTCCTTGGCTTTGCAAACTTCTACCGACGCTTTATCAAGTCCTACTCCAAGTTAACTCTCCCACTCACTAAACTACTCCGCAAGGATGTCAAGTTTGAGTGGGATGAGCCACAAACCTCTGCTTTTAACACACTCAAGACCACTTTTACCAGTGCACCCATCCTCCAACATTATCAACCACATCTTCCTCTAGTCCTTGAAACAGACACCTCAGACTATGCTATTGCAGGTGTGCTGTCCCACTCCTTGAACAATCGTCTCTGTCCTATTGCCTTCTACTGCAGAAAATTACAACCTCCCGAGCTCAACTATGAAATCTATGATAAGGAAATGCTAGCCATTGTGGAAGCTTTCAAGCATTGGCGTGCATACTTAGAAGGATCTCAGAACATCACAGTCTATACCGATCACAAAAACCTGGAATACTTCACAACCTCAAAAGTTCTGAACCGACGACAAGCTCGTTGGGCCGAATTACTTGCCAACTTTGACTTCAAAATACACTACCGCCCTGGAACAAAAATGGGCAAACCTGATGCCTTGTCGAGACGCCAAGACCTTCAAGAGGGGAGTAGAGCTGCAGAAGCACCTCCACATACTCTCTTGAAGCCAGAACAATGGATCATTGGTGCTCTCAGGTCAACAAAAAACTCCTTAGATCTCCCTGTTCACTCCGACATCCTTGCAAGGATCAGACAACTCCAGCCTGAGGATCCAACCTCCCAAGAGCTGCTGTCTCATCTACGCCATCCCAGTAAACCCCAAACCCCAGAAGTCCAGCAAAAACTCCAAGACTACACACTCCAAGACAATATCCTCTGCTACAAACATCAAATATACATCCCAGACAACTACCAGCTCAAACTCGATATACTCCAACAAGTTCACAACTCTCCCACATCTGGTCACCTTGGTCAAGCCAAGACCCATGATCTCCTGGTCCGCCACTATTACTTCCCCAGTCTTCGTCAATTTGTGAACACCTACGTCAATGGCTGTCACACTTGTGCGAGAAATAAAATCCCCAGACACAAACCTTATGGTCCACTCCAGCCACTTCCTGTCCCAGCCAGACCTTGGCAATCTATCAGCATGGATGCCATTGTCAAACTTCCCTTGTCCAACAACTTTGATTGCATTATGGTTTTTGTGGACCGCCTCACCAAACAAGCACACTTTGTCCCATACAAAGAAGATGGCTTTGATGCTCCACAATTAGCCCAGATGTTCCGCCAACACATTGTCCGACTTCACGGTATACCCCAAGATATCATTTCAGACCGTGGATCCATCTTCAATTCCCAGTTCTGGCGAGCCTTTGTCAAAGGACTAGGCATCACACCAAACTTCTCTACCGCTTTCCACCCACAATCTGATGGTCAAACCGAAAGAGTCAATCAAGTCCTTGAACATTACCTCCGAACCTTTTGTGACTACGACCAAGCAAACTGGTCCCAACTCCTAGACCTTGCAGAGTTCAGCTACAACAACTCTGTTCACACTACCACTAAACACTCTCCATTTGAAGCCAACTATGGTTATCATCCCACAGATCCAACTTCCCCAGCTCTCTCCGTCAATACCCCTGTCCCTTCTGTCACATCCCATATCCAAGAACTCCAAGATCTTCACAAAACCTTGATCACCAACATTCAACAAGCCCAAGCCCAGCATGCCAAATTCTACAACCAGAAGGTTAAACAAATCACCAAAGATGGAACCCCAATCTTCAAAGTTGGAGATATGGTCTTCCTCAATCGTAAAAATATCCAGACTTTGCGACCTTCACTCAAACTTGATCATCGGATGCTTGGACCCTTCAAAGTCATTGAAGCTACATCATCCCCCCTTGCCTTTAAACTTGATCTTCCACCTTCTATGAACATTCACCCTGTCTTTCATGTCAACCTGCTTGAGCCTGTGCGCTCTGGTCACTTCAATCAACCTCAAGACCCTCCACCTCACATTGAAGTGGAAGGGCAAGAAGAATATCTAGTCGACCAAATCCTTAACTCCCGCATCAGTGACGATGGAGGATATGACTACCTTGTACACTGGTCTGGATACTCCAATGTTCATGACTCCTGGGAACCATGGGAAGAGGTTTACACCACCACTGCCTACAAGGCTTTCCGACGTAAAAACTCTAAAAATCCACGACACCACTTTCCTCCTGCATCAGCACACCGATCTCCAAAGCCACTTGAACCAAGCTCCACCAACACACCTACCCGGCTCAGAGGACTTCGCCCTTAGAGGGGGAGCTCCTGTCATACATCACCTATCTGCCACTTGTCAAAGTGCATTTGCGCAATCAGACACTTGAAACACATACCCCTGAATACCTCCACCTCCACCTCCACATGCTGGAACCTTCCACCATTGCCTCCACCTTTACCTCCACTTGCTTATCAAGCCTCCACACTCTGGAACATTCTGTGCCTGCCTCCACCTTCCCAAAGTAGTAACCCTGGTTGATTGCTGAGCAATCATCCATAGTCCGGAACATTCAGTGCCTGCCTCCACTTTCCCAAAGTAGTAATTCACTCTGCTCGCTGAGCAATCTTTCCCACGTTTGCGCTTTCTAGTTTATTCCGTAGACATGTTGAGCAACCCGCTTGATGGGGATAAAAACCCCCTCCAAACAGGTTGTTCCCCACCTATGGATCTTGTGTCAATCCAGTCAGTCCCAGCCTGACATCTTGCAGTCCCCTCAGTCCCCTCAGTCCCTTGTCACCCTCTGTATACTCCTCAAGCTCTACGAGCCAGAGACAAGTATTGGGTTACAGCCCCATTCCAGTCACCTTGCCTACCCTCTGGGGATTAGACCCCGTCCGTGACATGATGTTAGGAAGATACAAAGTTGGGGAGGCAAACAACTTTGTTGGGGATGAAGTTTGCGAGGTACAAAGCTCGGGGCTTTGGGTTGAGCAAAGTTCTGTCTACGTGAGGTTAGGGAGGGATGAAGTACTTAAGGGCTGCAGTTCCCAGAGATCTTTGACGATCTCTGGTTGTTGTATTAGTGATAGAGGTTAGTAGAGCACAAAATTATTACACCCAGAAGTTATTGTCAACCATTCATATCTGGAAGGACAAGGCTGGTGAAGGTGGTAGCCCACAAAGCAATTGCGTGTCGGTCCTGAGAAGCAAACAAAGACTCAACCCTGTGACAACGAGGAAGGATGTGGACTGGAACTGGAACTGGAACTGGAACTGGAACTGGAACTGGAACTGGAACTGGAACTGGAACTGGAACTGGAACTGGAACTGGAACTGGACTGGACTGGACTTAAAGAAAGGGTGGCAAGGAAAATGACTTTTGATCAAGAACTAAAGAAGACTACAAAGTACAAGTAGGGTTTATATAGACAAATCAGGCTTTCTACCAGGTTGAACTGTCCCGCATAGGAAACACCATAATCATTGTTGTACTTATCATCTACCAACTAGCAAAGACAGACTGCACACTATTCTCAGTGCCTTGTGTATGATGCGCTGTGGATCCCATAAGAAAGCACATGTCATGTTGTGCACCATACACTTGCCTTAGATCCAACTGTACTGAAGTCTTGGGTCTCATGCCATACCAGGCATCATAACCTGAAGATAACATAACCAATTAGAGGTTCAGGTCTCTTGCCTCAAAGGCATCATAGCAGAATTGAAAGTTGAGGAAACTGATACTTGTGACACATGACATTCATGTGTATGTTTGCACATGGACCAGTGAGCTGCGCGGTCTTTGCAATGTTGTCATGATTGTCGTTTCTTCTCCTCTAATGACCGACAGTCAATAAACCTTGGCTAACTATGTTGTACTGGGCTGTCAATGTCTCACAGAGACAGGGTACTCCTTGGGGAACTATGGCTTACTACGCTGTGGTAATACATTTGGTGGTAAACAATAAGGTGAGCATCAACAGACAGTGGTGTCACAGTCATTGTTTCCTTTCCTCTACTGACTGACGGTCAACAAACCGTGGCTGACTACCGCGTGCTGGGGGGTTGATGTCTCACAGAGACAGGGTACTTGTTGGGGAACCACGGCTAACTATGCCATAGTAGTACGTTGAGTGGTAAACAATAAGGTGATTGTCAATGAACTGTGTCACGACTCGGTAAACGCGTGACCCGTGATTCAGGGGGTTTCAAGCTTTTCATTGGATTTCATATGATTTCATGGGATTTCACATGAATTGATACGAATTCATACGTTCACACAAATTCACACAAACTCACACAAATTCACATGAATTCACATGATTTCACATGAGCTCATACAAATTCATACAAGATGGACCACGAATTCACGTGATTTCATACAAAATAACCTGAAAACATACAAATAGTTTGCGACTCAGAAGTCCCTTGGAAAAGGACATAAGGAGGACATTTCTATTTTGTAGTTTCTTCTTCTCAAGCAAAAAAATATTATTTGCCACTTCATATAGATCTCTCTTCTTGACATATACTCATCTTCAACACGCCTTCCATCAACAAAACCCCTGTCCACATCATATCACACACCCTTGTTGTCATCTCGACTTGCTTGGATCCTTTGCAAGTCACTTTCAGCCGTCCGACCACATCACAAGTTCACGAACAACATACTAACCGTTGTTGTTCAAGCTAACTAGATAGTTGCAGTCCACCTGTCTTTGATCTTTAGAGAGCTGTCAAGGACAGGACTGTGACACAAGTAGAGAAAGGTGAGCGTACAAGTACTGCTAATCCACAGATACGGTTTACACCACGCTCAACAACCGATGTACATTCTCGGACTACCTTCCGTCCACCTGAGAACATGCGAGCCATAGCAACATCAGCCTCGAGTTACACTACCAAGGGAGGTAGACTTAGGCCTGCTGAATATCAAAAACGCAAAATCTTTGTCTCTACTGTGGTGACAAAGGACATATGGTACTCAAATGTCCAGTTGCTCCACCTCACCGTAAACCTGCTAGATATTAAGCTAGCATGGTAAGTACAGACAAATCCAAAGCAATCCCATTGGGATAAGCTTGAACCCCAAGTCTACAAACCGCGGTAACCTGGGATTGGAGGGTAACGAGAAACAGGTCTCCGTTTCACTTGGCTCCACATTTCCTTCTATTGAAAACTTTTATATAACCCAATAACAGGTGAATCTCCCTTTGTCACGGCCGTCGAGCAACTTCTTCCTAATAGACCGACGGTCGACGAACCTCGGCTAACTTCACGCTTCTGAGTCGATGTCTCACCCAACCAGGAGGGCGCAGACGTCGAAAGGAGTGTAACTACGGCGTACTTCGCCGTAGTTACTCTGACTAAGGTTTTGTTCTATTGATGGCGATGTATCTCAATGTATAGCTATCTCTATTTGTCTTTTACTACTGACAACAATCAAGGATCGCTGAAGAACTTCAGCGATCTTCTCAGCTAATATAACCTATCCCTCCTAGACGTTCATCCAACCCTCCCGCGCTTTGACGTACTTCAACGCACCTCGTCCAACTTCTCCGAACCCCGGCCATCCTCCTCCTCCTTCGACTAACTCCGCCTAATATCGCCGCACTTCTGCTCCCATTGTCCCTACCTAGCCTAACTCCGCCTAACTTCGCCGCACTTCTGCTCCCATTGACCCTATCTACCCTAACTTCATCTAACTTCGCCGTACTTGGTCTCAGAGGTCCTGAGTTACGTGTAGAGTAAAGAGGTTTGAGTCGTGATGGGGTTTTGATGGTCAAAGGAGGGTCGTTGTTGGTGGAATAATCGAGGTGTCACGACGTAGTTCGTGACACCCTTTTCATCTAAAGGAGCACAAAAACATATTCCAAGCTTTGATAGATAGCTGTGCTAGTAATAATTTTATTGATAAAAGATTTGCTGAAGAAAACAGATTAAAATTAATAAAAGAGAACCAACTCCACTATATCTCTTTGACGGAGCAGGTAAACCATCTACAGTAAAATTTGAGACAGTTGCTTGTCTCAACTTCCTTCCACCATTTGGACGTTGTTGGACTAGGTTATTAGTCACCAAGTGCCATCTTTGCCCAATCATGCTTGGTATTCCATGGTAATGCCAGCATGATCCCTTTATCTCTTGGTCCAAAATTTCTATACAACCAAGTTCTATTTGGCCTACTAATTGTACAGTAGGGCCATCATCTACCGCATCAATGTTCAACACATCTGCGCGCATAGGGGAGGTGAGTGGAATAGTACTTCAGCTCTTTTCAGATAAGGCAACAACATCATCTACGCCTCATGAGCTCAACCAAGCGGTGTTGACTACCACTAGGCCGTCAACCTTGACAGAATTCGACTCTGACAAGGCCGATTCAGATCAGGCTTCAGTGCCCCCTGAATATCATCAATACCTGGATGTCTTTAGTAGACAGAGCGCCGATAAGCTCCCAGATCACTGACCATTTGAGCATCATATACCTTTGGAAGATGGGAAAGTTCCACCATGGGGACCCATCTACTCTCTGTCTGATACAGAGTTGAAAGCACTTCGAGAATATCTGGATGTGTCATGAATCAACAACTCTTCTCTTGTGCACACAAGGCAGAAGGTCCAAGTATCAGTTTCTTCATGTTTAGTTCTGCTCTTATGCCTTCAATACAAGAGACCTCAACCTTTAGTTAGTTAAGTTATCCTCAGTTAGTCTGCCTGGTATGGCATCAGACCCAAGACTTCAGTTTGGTTAGATTTAAGGCGAACGTATGGTTTATGTCATCATGTGTGGTTCTGGGTGCGGTCAACAGCGTATTGTATGCATCACATCGCAAAGACCAGGCAGCTTTCTGATCCATGGTTGAATATACACATGAGATCGAGAATCACGACTCTTTCCTACGCAGGACAACACACATCCCAGAATGGACTCAGAAATAGATATAAACCCCATATAGTTCTTACATAGTTTCTTTTCTTCAGCAATGTAACTTTTCAATTCTCTTAACCTCATTTGATAAGTCACTCAGTTGGTTCTAACCCAACATCTCAGTCTCCTCAGTATCTAAGGCAGTCATCAAGCTCTACAAGCCAGAGACTAAAACCCTTCAGTATCTAAGGCAGTACTTTGCTACCGCCGTCTACCCGTAGGCGTGACAGGATGAGAACTTGAAGAAAGGTTTGATTGTGCCTTCTGAATCACCAGCAGGAGCACCTATCCTTTTTGTAAAGAAAAAGGATGGTTCACTTCAACTCTGTGTGGATTATTGGGGGCTCAACAAAATCACAATCAAGAGTTGTTATCCTCTACCACTCATCCTGTCACGGAGGTTGGGCTTGTCACGAAGGACAACAGAATACAGGGCTGTAACCTGAGAATGGAACTATGACCCAATGAAGTCTCTGGCTCGTTGAGAGAGTGACAAAGATGACGGAGGATGAAGTGATGATGTCAAGGGGGACAAGGGTAGCGAGGACTAGAAGTGCTGGGCTTGGACCAACTGTGTTTGACAAGTAAAGAGGAGATTCATAACTGAAGAAACTACTGAAAAGTACAAGTTTGTATAGACTAGAACTAGTCACCATCTGCGAGTACCGTTTGTCACCTTTGACCACCTGTAGCTACCTGTCACAATCGTCGTTTCTTCTCTTCTACTGACCGACGGTCGACAAACCTCGGCTAACTACGTCGTGGTGGGGCGTCGATGTCTCACTAGGACAGGGTACTCGTCGGGGAACTACGGCTAACTACGGCGTAGTGATAGGTCGAGTGGTAAGTGATAAGATGATCGTCGATAAACTGCGGCTAACTTTGCCGTAGTACGTCAAACTGCTCGGTGGTAACTCTCCTTAACTCGATGGTGGTAGCTACTGAATATATCGCTCGCTACTGACAACAATCAAGGATCGCTGAAGAAGTTCAGTGATCTGTAACCTATCTATACTACTCCTCTCTCCTCATAGAACGTCCCTCAACTCCTGCACAGCCTCACGCTCAGTCCTCCTCGTTCAACTTCGCCGTACCTCGCCATACACCCGGTGTCCTACTCCACTCACTTCGGCTAATTTCGCCTAACTTCCCCTGCTCTGCTCCCTCTCGGTTCCCTTCCCCTAACTTCGCCGTAGTTCTCCGCTAGGCGGGGTTATAGTGACAAATGCTCTCTTGTTTCTCGTAACTTCGCCGTAGTTGGTCTCAGTGGTTCAAGTGGAGGTTGGTGATGGTGAAAGGAGGGTCGGTGATGGTGGTTGTCAGGGATGTTACGACGTAGTTCGTGACACTACCAGTTGTAATTACCATCGGTGATTACCGTTTGTATTGTCCTTATCAATCCTGATTAATTATGAGTCACTATTACTTTGAGTCCACACTTATTCTCAGTCATGATTTCTGATTCATGACAAACCACCTATCCACATCTTTGCTTCATCGGTATAAATCCCTGTCCTCTAGTTGAAATCTTTGTATTGTTTGGCCCATTCTCTACATTCTTTACGATGCTGAGCAATTAGGAGAGGTTTTGTACAAGCTACACGACATTTCAGACCCATTTGATGCATGGTAGATTGAAGAAGAGAGCAGGAGATGTGGATCCTTTCCTTTCTGAGAAGAGAGAGTACTTGTTTGAGACTTTGACAAAGATTTTTCAATAACACACGTTTTATTCTTGTTCTTTTGCAATCAGATAGCTTCTTTGGGCGTCCAGGTTGGGTTTTGGTCTTCGTATGACCACATAGATTCAGACGTTGGGGTATACGAGTGACGGTACTAGGGCTGCAGCCAAAACAAGCAGTGACATTGGTGGAAGTGGAGTGAAGGGCTGCTTCGGCTATTCTAGCCCCTTTTGTGGGGGAAATTGGGTACCCTACCATACTTTGTATTCCGAGAAAGGTCTGGACGGGATTTCAGAGCTCTAGCCTCAATGTTGACTGTTTACTGGTGGTTAAAACGCCGTGGGAATAGTGGTTGTGGCAGCGCACGCGTGCAGCGTTTGCATGACTTTTTACACACGACTGTAGATGTCGAGCTCCCTTACAAGGGGTACTCAGTTCCTGACAGCCTCTATGTGCATTAACGAAGCGTCTCCTGTGTAGACACACCAGGGGAATCGTTAGTTCATTTTAGCTTCTTCCAGTCAGTGACGTTATGAACCGTCCGATAGACGGCGGAGCACGTATCCCTCTCCCCAGGATAGGTTTGAATCTGACTTCCCTGTCACTTTAGAGGGCCAAACACGTTGTTTGGATGACATTGAAGGCTTGAGCTAATATGTCCAAGACATATTCGTGTTCGGATACACTGTTCATCTTGCCTGTTATTGAGATAGAGAAGAATTAACACTTCAACATCTTCACGTTCCTTCTCCCATAACACCCGCGCGGCTCTTGAATCATGGTCCGACTCACTATTGTCACTCATTTTCTCATTGCCTTCGGACTTGTCTCCTCCTCGACCATTCCAGCTTCCAAACGAAATCTCACCAATGCCGAACGATTGGCACGAGGACTTCCGCCCAACAGCCCGGAGAGGATGTTCAACGCGACTACAGCCCATGGTGAGTACCTACTTTAGCGTCTCACACACACCATCGATTCTTGGAGACTAATCATTAGCTGCTCCTGCCAAAAGATCGGACTCGTCCCAACAGGCTTACATGGTCGCTCAGCCGTATCAACCCACCAGAAAACGATCTCCCGCCCCGTACAACACCAAGTCTTATGTCTTTTACAACACGGATGATCAAATCTTCTCGTTGGTGCGTTATCCCCGCTTTGTAAATTCCTCCTACTCTCACCCCTCTTTCCCTTTCCATACCTCTTGCCCATGAGATACTACCTTTTCGCTTGGATTGGATATAGAATCATCACAGTTTCGGAGAGATGGAAAATTGATTTGTTTAGACGACCGACAAGACTTTGGCGACTCTTTTTACTCTTCCGACTACAGGAGCAGGACAATGGGTCACATTCTTCAATCCGGTCACCAACAACGTTGCATACATTTGCAGTTCGGTTTGGTCGGGTGGATATACCATGAAACCAGGTGCTAACGGTGGTTCGACGTGAGTTCATAGAAGCACGCTCTCTTCAAGTTTCTTCGAGATCAAACTTTGAGTGATGATAGTGCCGTGTGAAAGAAAAAGAGAGATTGAACGCGTGGAAGGAACAAAGACTGACGTACTAGATCCACTATAATGTACTCGTGTCCACTCACTCCGAAAGTTTCGAATCCTTACGGCAACTTACGTCAACAACCTATTTGGTCCGTGCCTCAACAATTTCCAGGAGACGTCAACACTATCTTTTACAATTCCGATAACACTATCACTTATTTCCCTCCTTTTTGGGGTTATTCAGCTTATGGTCATCCTTACATGTTTGGTACCGCATTGTCATCGAGTGATCTAGCCTCTGCGGATAACTTTGGTAGAGTCACTGTTCAGTGGGTGACATCGATTTGATCAGTTACTATTTGGTAACGAAATGGAGAGAGGAAGCTATCCATTGGACAATATCAGGTCATGACCGTTCACACTTTGTACGTTTTCTTTAACATGCACGCTCTTTCTTTACTTCCGTGCAACCTGCCGCGTGGCTTTGGATCATTGCTGAAAGTGCCACATTGGTCGAAAGTGCCACAAAGCTGCTGCACTAGTCTCTAACACGTCCTTTGATCGTCCACAACCACATACAGGTCACTTTGAATCTCACTTCAGTGACTCTACTTCTACCACTTGCCCTCTCTTCTTTCCACTTTCATCCTCCTTCTCCCGCTCCTTCGCTGTATCTCCCACCATCACCACCCTCAAAACTCTATAGCCCGTACCAAGCACCATGTCCCCTGAACCACTCAGACTTCCTTCACAACTCGACCTTGAACTCGCTCCACAAACTCCACTAGAAAGTCAGGTAGGTGGTCACGCAGGTGTCATGTCTGATTCATCCGGATCACTAGTTATCAAAGTCAGTATCAAATCTCCCTCTTCCAATACATCGTACACGACTTATACACCATCTATCTTTCCCAAGTTTCATACACCCCCATCTGACACCTTGAAGCTCCGGCTATTCGGGTCCTTTATCTCGAACAGATCAGTGGTCGTCATGTACCCATAGCCCATGTGTCACATCTTGACAAACGTAATCTCATGCGCTCGCTCTATATTGTATGGAACCGCGACACTGACTGACAGCCCGCTCGAGCACGTGAAGTCGCATTTTACCAGCTGATCGCTTCTTCCGGTAGTCAAAACCCTCTAAGCAGATTGAAACCTTTCGTCCCTGTCTTCTATGGGACTTTGCGATATGAAGGACACAATCTTTCGCCTGACTTCACAGATGGAAACAGAGAAGGCAAAGAACAAGTCCCAGAGGTAGGTCGTTGTTTCAGCCTCAAATCATCACCCCTCCTTGGTTCAGTCCACTGGTCAGACCCCTGTCGGTTACAACGGTGACAAAGGGTGGCGGCTGATCCTCAGTCGGTCGTCATGGAGAATCTTTCTTTTGATTACACGCATCCAACTATTCTAGACGTCAAACTCGGAAAGGTATTATATGATGAACGTGCACCTCCGGCTAAACGTGCGAGGATGGAGAAGACTGCAGAGTCGACTACGAGTGGAGAGACAGGTATAAGATTGACTGGTGGTCGTGTAAGTCCTCTCATTTGTCGTGGGCCATAAATCTCAGTTCCAACTATGACATTTTGCAAGATCTCAGCTGATTGTTTAGACATGGCATCACCCCTCTCAAACATACATCCTCACTCCTAAACCATATGGTAAATCCATATCCCCCGACCAACTCCCTCAAGGCATAGCTCGTATATTCCCTTTCCCAAATGACGTCATATCCCCCGTCCTCTTTCCTCCTTCCACCGCATTGACATCCGCTACAGATCCCAGCACATCACCATCAGATAAAATTCATTCTCCGTCAACCCCTCCCACTCCAATATCTGCTGTTGTCCTTTCTTCCTCGCAATCGGACTCACAACCACCATCACCGACCTATACGAATCACGCAATCTCAGTGATGAACATGTCAAGAGTTCTGGAAATACTGCTGGGACATCTCGACGAGCTCATTTCGGTCTTGGAACGATTAGAAGCTAGATTCGTGGGAATGTCACTTTTGATAGTTTACGAATCAGATCCTGATCGGTTGGTCACTTCACTGGATCGATTTGAAGCCTTGCAAAACAAACTCGCGGCTAAAGCGATTGCAAAGGAGAGTTTACCCCCTACGCCTATCTCTCCAAAACAAGGTTGGTTTGACGATGGAGATGAAGATGACGATGAGGGGGAATTTGACGACGAGGATAGTGATGATGAGAGTGATGAAGATGACGATGAGGATGATGGACGGGTAGCAGATGAAAAAAGAGCTAAACGTTGTCCTCCCGTTACTATGCGATTGATAGACTTTGTTCATTCGAGATTGGCTCCTGGTGAAGGTCCAGATGAAGGTGTTTTGTTCGGTTTGTCTACATTTAGGACATTACTTGAGGAACGTTTGGAAAAGGCTAGAGGTATGATAGACGAGATATCCAAGCATTCATGACATGACCATACAATAGATGTTTGTACAAAATTCAAAACGTTGTAAAATGATGATGAATTGATTGTGATGATATAAAGTATGTTATAACGGCCATGGTCTGTGTATCAACAACATATTCGCATTTCATTCGTTCATACTAGGACAGAGAAAGAAAACTCACGCTTTTGAACCAAAATTGTGATGAACAGCCTTCACACGAAGATACTCTTCTATACCTTCCATACCTAAATCTTTACCCCATCCGGAACTCTTCCATCCGCCAAAAGGTGCACCGTTGGAAGTGAGAGCATATTGGTTGACCCATACAGTCCCTGCTTCCAGATTGGCAGACATACGCATAGCTTGAGAATGATCAGATGTGAAGATTCCAGCGGCAAGACCGACAGAAGAGTCGTTAGCTAGAGTAAGAGCTTGTTTCTCAGATGAGAAAGGTGCGATGCAGAGGACGGGTCCGAAGATCTCTTCGTTAGCCTTTCTCATAACTTTCTTCCAATCTTGCAAATGAGCCTAGAGAGGCCTCGTTCTAACCACTTGAGAGAAGGGGAGGGAATGCCTTAGGTGAGAAGTACTGTACCTGAGAAAAAGGAAACCTGGGGTGAAAAGAAAGCAGAAAAGATGGCAGATGAAATAAGGAGTGATGAAGAAGGGATAACTTACTTCTTCTTTAATAACACGCATATCAGTCGTGACATCCGTTATAATAGTAGGTAAAACCCAACAACCTTCTGGATATTCACACCGATCCGTCCCACCATAAACAACTCTTGCGCCTTCTTCTCTAGCTCCGGAGATATAATCGAGCACTTTGGTCTGTTGAGCTTTGGAAATGAGAGGACCGAAATTGGTCTTTTCGTCATATGGCTATCTGTCAGTTCCTCTCTTTCCCGTGACGAGATAATATTGTACACCACTCTATAAAGATACTATCTATAGCGTAGATAGATCGTGGAAGGAAAGGCGTGGTCAGAGGTAAAAGACTCAGTGGAAAAGGTGTGTCCCCCACAATTGTTTGGGAGTAACTCACCATACCCACTATCAACTCCTTCGCCCTCGCACACATCTTCTCCAGAAAGATATCAAATACACTTTCATGTATGTAAACTCTAGAACCAGCTGTGCAATCTTGTCCTGAATTCCCCCAAATACCCATAGCGACCCATTTTGAAGCTTCTTCCAAATCGACATTGGGGAATATGATGATGGGCGATTTACCACCCAGTTCGAGGGAAACGGATTTAAGGTTGGTTTCTGCTGATGCGACGAGTATTCGTCGACCTGTAGAGACTGAACCCGTGAAGGAGATCTAGGATCTTAGCTTCCAGGTTCGGAACACTAAACAAAGGGCTTGGATATATCCGTTGAGCTTTAATTGTATTGTACGATAGTCAGACACGGGCGAGAAAGATCTCTGGTTGTATAACGGTGGAATGTAGTTGTGGAAGAGGCGAAGGGGAATAGTGTACGTCAGAAATGGAGTAAATGTAGGAACGATATATAAATAATTATCGAGAAGTAAAATGAGAGTGATGGAACATAGATTTGTGACAAGGGCCAGGAAAAGAATGAATGAAGAGGCAAATGGGATCTTACCTTGTCCACGCCCATATGTCTAGTAATTGCTTCCCCTGTACTACTACCTAAACCAGGTAAGGTGTTTAAAACTCCACCAGGTAAACCAGCCTCTATCGCCAAGTCACACAAAGCTAGAGCTGTGAGTGGTGTGAGTTCAGAGGGTTTTACTAAAACACAACAACCGGCTGCAAGGGCGGGTGAGACTTTCCATGCCCACATCATGATTGGATAATTCCATGGTATACTGAATGTCAGCCTTGTGGATAATCATATCATCTTGTTAGTACCGGATTATCTCAACTTCATACCCATCGCTTCTCGTATTCCTCTCGTCAATCACCGATACCACATCATACCGAAAGTCGTCATCATCCCTCGATCTTAATACTCATTTCACGTCTGCCTCAGTTCCGCACTTGTAGGCACTGATAATGAAAGCGGTGCATAAAGATGCAGACCAGGGGAAAGGGGGGCAAGGGAAGATGCCACTACCAGCTAACGGAATGAGAAACAACTGACATTTGTCCACAAATGGGATAAGGTTGTTTCATCGTATACACCAAAGCTTGCGGACCCAAATGATCCATTACTTGACCATGTGTCTTATCCGCTAATCCTGCATAATACCTCAAACAAGCTATAGCTTCAGGAACATCATATCCCCTAGTTTCATCAGCTTTTCCCCTGCCCTCATCATTCGTGACCTACTCACTCACCTAGCTATTCTAATGCCTTTCCCAGTGTTTAAACTCCGCCATCAGCTATATCCTATCCCTGTCCATGATATCTCACCTTTCTAAGGCAGCAAGTTTCTCAGTATCCCGTTCCATCAGATCAGCTAGTTTGAACATGACTGTGCCCTCAGTTCCTGTCTAATATGGGATCGAGGAAGACACACTTCTAGCTCGTTCGCTTGAGGGGATCTGAGTACCCCAGGTGGTCTGAAACGCTCGTTTGGCGGAATGGACAGTATCGTCAACATCTTGTAAAGAAGCGTGGGATATGGAAGCTAAAGGTTGATTGTTGGTCGGGTCGTAGATGTTAAACGATTCCCCAGAGGAAGAGGAGCGCCATTCGTTGTTTCTAAAATGTCAGCGGTGTTCTATATCAAAGAGAATGAATGATTGGGGGAGTGTGTGAGAGGGAAGAGGAGAACAGGACTGACATGAATATTCCCGTGCGTACCGCGACAGAACCTCCAGTAGGGAGAGAGAGATTAGTAGTTGACATGCTTCGACGAGAACGGGGGTGTACTTGAGATAGATTAGATCTGAAAAGACGTGAGAGGATATTCAGGTCAGAATGGGAGCACGTGGAGAAGGACGAGAGTATTCGAGTTGAGAAACGAAAGGACATTGGTAGAGAGCAAGTCCTACTTATAATGTAGCATCGAGGTATTTCCGGGGAAGTTGGTCGAGTGAGCAGGGAGTAAGTGAGTGAGGAATGTCTTCAACATCTAAGCAAGTGAGTTGTTATTCCGATATTCAGACAGGCACGAGAACGATCGGGAACACGTGAGCAACTACTACAAGGTAGGATCTATCATGGACAGTATAAATATATATACATGTACAATCGCGACAGTATAGCAGCACAGTATTGACAATATTTACAATGCTGGATAAATGCTAGATACACGATCGCTCCATCTCTATGCTCTCGTTTCATCCCAAAAACCTGTCCCAATACCCGTAACAAAAGAATCACTACTACCCTCCCTGTCTTCCCGGCATGACACCCAATAACCAATTGCCCAATTCTCCTTGACCCGGAGATCCATCTTCTCTATATGATTCCAACCCCGAGTAGACCAGTGGTTCCGGTGCTGAAGGAATACAGTGACCCGGTTTGGTAGCTTCATCAACATGCCAATGACCGTCGTTCTTCAATATGACGGAATTACGAGAGTCGATGGAAGGGTCATAGTCATGATAATTCCAAGGAGATAGAAGTACGTAGCTAGTGGCTAAGTTCGTGAGGGTATTAGGTGAATCTGATCGTAAGTTTTTCCCTCTTGCTTACTATCACTCGCACCACCTCAGTTCGTCTGGGTTTGGGAGATCCTTGGTACGTAAATGAACGTGATAGTGATGTGATAGAAGTCAAGAGGATAAAGTAAAAAGAGGTGTGCAATGGAGTGAACCAACCTTCTGCTCGAGGAATATGATGAGTACCTAAATTAACCCAAACCACCAAATCCTCTTGCTCTATACTTTCATCATCAAAAAACTTCTTTATAAGCTCATTTACATCATGATTTTTCAAGAAGTCAAACTCACTTTGTAGAAATCCACGGGAGGTGCACCGGGAAGATTACCATTCCAAATTGAAGAACTACAACGTTCTTCTTCTTTCCTTCTCGAAACCGCCAAATGTTGTTTTGCCCAATTAACATTCTTCTCAGTCCGTTTAGATTCAAGATTTGTTAAATGGCATAAAGGACCAGGATGGATAGTGTATCCTCTTGAATGACCCCAAGCGTTTTTCTCATCTTGGTTTGTAATGACATAAGCGCCTTCCATACTATTTGCAATCAGCTCATCAATCGTTCTTTTTCCATAAACGTCTCACGAGATCCAAGTTGATGAGAGAAACGTACTTATTTGGCCATTCCAGTAAACTTTCGTATGGTAAGATATTTTTGGTCATTCGTTGTTGTATCGCACCAACACCCCAATCTTCGTCCATCCATTCTTGATCCACCTTTTCAGTTTCTAATTTGACTTGCATGAAACTGTTTTTCGTTCCTACTATGTCGAAATCTATCTTGTCTGTCCGGTCAGTACTCTTCCGGCCTGAATGTGTCTATATGCAAGTACGAGTGTGGAAGTGGAACGACAAAGAAAAGGGGAAGGGGATAGAGGAGAGAGACTTACAATTGATGACATGATCATGTAACGAGCCGACGGCTCCTTGATGAATCCGATGACCATATGGAATTTGCGATTGTTGCCATATACCTCCTTGTAGATAACCCGAAGCGGAGAGTCGTATTTCGATAGTACCATCAAGCATGAAAGTGTAGTCAAACTACACTATCAGTCATCTGACTAAGATCTCTTCTGATCTTTGCCTCGACCCATTCTCTTATGTCTGTTCGGCACTTCCATCACTAGACATATGAAGCGCTTGAACTTTTCAAGGGTGTATGTAGTGGATAATAAAAGTTCAAGTGACTCACGAGATAATCATAATTCCCAACTGTAGTGATAGTCCTCACTACCAACTCATAACCCTTCACTACACCCGATTCACCATCCTGTTCCCCAAAATGTCTACTTAACGGTCTATCCGATTCCCTTTCAAAAATACAAATAGCGTTCTTCCTAACTGAACTTCCTAATTCATGTATCGTAGCATTAAGCATCATAGAATAAGTAGGACAATCATAACCTAAAATCACTTCTCTAACTGATCCACCCATTCCAAAAGAACTATCTAACCAAACTGTAGAAGCTTGATGTGGATCTGAACCTGAATATTGTGACATTGCTTCTTGAGGTGAAAGTTCGTAAATGATTCTTTCATCTTTAAATCGACTGATCATTAGCTGAAATTACTTTTATGAGAAAAATGAGAATTATTTACATATCCCAAAAATGTAATCCCATATCACGTTCGAATGAAAGATAAAAATTCCATCCCATCCAGCTTACCCAATCTTCTTTGATATCAACTCTGAATCTCGGTCCGGAGAATTGTACACTTCTAGGACCTTGACGATCGTCTAAATCTCTTTGTCTTCCTCTGATTTGTCTTGATGCCCAAGAAGATAGATCCGGTTTGAATCTTTTGAGAAGACCTTGTTTCCAAGCTATGATGATTTCTTCGACTGAATGGTAGATTTTGCTATCATGCATGATTTTGATGATGTGATATTTATTCGGATCGGTGCCGGATAAGTCCACCTATGATCAATATAAACCTCCATTTCGTAAGACATCGGTTATGTGGTATGGTTTTACCATGGGAGGTGATGTTGTATGAAGGAAATAAGTGAAAGACAGGTGTCCTCGAATAGTAGAGTCATCGAATAGTGGACAAAGTCAGGTCGGGAAGATGATATAAGGAGTAGACCAATGGTGGGTGAATGATGACTGGTGTGAAGCAAGTATCAAATGATTATTTGAGAATCGTGCCTAGGAAGAGATTATGACAAAAAAGCTGAATCATGGATAGAAATATCAATCATGGGAAAATGACTCACATAAAATTGGAAATCAACAGCATGTAACCAACTACCAGCTACATTATATCTCATTTGTACCCAACTTCTACGCCATTTCCCATCATAAGACATTGGACCAGTTGCAGCCGGTAAAATAGTTTGATTTACCAAAGAAGCATTGAACAAATCGTTGAAAACAGGTTCTAAAGGTAATAACAATTTCATTCCATATTCAGCAAGAATAGTCCAATTGAACGTATTTCTAGCATTTAAAGGTATTGGGTTTAAATATGTTATATTCTTCATGATCGTTTCGTTCGAAATAGGTAATGGTCCAATTAAATAATCTCGAATGGTTTCTTCCGGACCATGATGTATGATCGCATGAGCATATTGTGGGATTTGAACCGAATGATTGTTCAGATAAGACAATGCTAGATCTTTAGGGGGTTGATATATCTCAATATAATGAATGAAATTATCACTGTTATGTCAGTTTCTTTCTGAAAATGAGAAAGTGAAAAGGATTGAGGATTTACTTATCGTAAGATTCATCAGATAGTGTCAAGTTTAATCCAAGTTTAGATGACATGAGCCATTGACGTAAAGATATAGCTTGATCAAGATCAAAGTTTTTCCAAATATCTAAGTATTGTCAGCGAGTCTCATCAATGTGATAATGATATCATAAAGAAGATACTCGCTTTTTCTAGGAACATGTCCAGGTATGAAACGAGCATTAGGACATGTAGAGATATCAGAACATGCAGAAGGTGTTTTGTGAAAGAACTTTAAAATCAAGCTGAGAAAGAAAAGGAAAGGAAGGAATGTCCACCGTTTTAATCCGTCCTTCTTGATTTGTGAAACTTGCGAATGAAGTTGATCTTCCCCCGAACCAGGTTCTTTGAGTAATAATGGCTCTTCAGCATCTGTGAGCATAAGGGATATTTGATTGTTATGGAAAGATATGCACGGAATGTTTAAAAATGAGGCAATTGTTCAAGACGTCGATGACGATTGATCGTCAGTCAATCGGGGGCAATCGTTTGATCTTTTCCGACGGAAACCCGAAACTCCTTGGATTCTTGTAAGTGTAATGTCACAAAGTGGCAAAGTGGCACTGCCAGCAGCAGAGGGTAGTCCTCCCCACTCCTTTTGTGGCCTTCTACCAAAATGACCACGTGCAATCTCCTTTCAACCTTGAAACATAAAGGGTAGTGAGGGGTTTGAGAGAAAACATGTGTCATATATACCTCACTTACATTGATGACTCATCTCATTCAATTCCCCCATCAACAAATAATTCATATCAACAAATCAATCAAACATCCTCTCTTCTTTCCGTCATACCTCAATCAGACCCGTGAGCACTCAACTTAGAAGTATCACTTGCTTTCCTAATCCTACTAACTTGAGAGATAATCCATCAACACAAGAAGTTCATCCTACACAAGAACAAAGTTTGAAGCAAGTCATATCAATCCAGTAGATTTGAAAGTAAGAAGCAAGATTTGATTGAAAATGAGCAATTCCCTCAGAGATAGATTTGATCAGGATCATAGATATGGAGTATCATACGATTCTACATCCCTCCCTCTACGATCTTTCACTTTCCCACTGGACTCCACTTCCACTATTCAACGTCAAACGAGAGGATCACAAAGAAGGTCCGTAAGAACAGATCGAACTTCTGAGTATAGAAGACCACAACTTAATTATCGTCAATCGGGACGAACTTATGAGACAGATCAAACGGATTTGACAGAAAACCCTATACCAAGATCTTATGGTAAACGTCCGAGTCTCTCATATGATGTTGAAGATGATGATTTTCCTGACATATCTAAACTTGAGATTTCCGTTCCTAGAACCATGAAACTCTCAGCAGATGTTACTTTATTGATAGATCTTCGAGAACGGACTGCTCAGACTACCTTTTTGGCTAAAGGTGAATGGGGTTTCGGAACAGGTATCAGAAAGATTGATTATAATGATACACTTAATGATGCTCAGTGGAGGGCTTTATGTCGAGATTGGGATCCGACGGGGGATAAGTTGTTTGGAATGACTGGTACTGCGGAAGGAGAAGTGGATATGAAGACTAAGAGAGGAAACTTGACTGCTGATATGGGTGAGTATGGTACACATCGTTGTCAACTTGATTTGAATGGAGAATCATTAGGAGATGTAAAGTGGATTGTTAGGAACAAGTAAAGAAATAGGAAAGCAGGAGGAATGTACAGTATGTAGATGAAAGTGAATGATGGGGAATGTTGATATCTCGTTGCATGCAGTCTGTACTGTCCTTACATTTTTCTTGCTATCGGTCATATATGCTGAATATGTTACTCTCCCTGACTTTATCTCTCCTCCACTCAAGTCGGCATTCCGCTCATCGTACGCGACCGACTCGACACTGGTCTCTCTGTAATCTGACAATTGCTCCGCCTTCAACACGCACTAGATCGCCCCCTTGAACGGAGGACCGGACAAGTTGAATGACATCTTGAAGATAAGAGGTACGACGATGAGAGCGACCATACAGCCCTGGACGATGAAGTAGATGATTGAGTCTGGTTGTCAGTCGTACGCCCCATCAAAGCCAACGATACACCAATGGGCATGAAGTATTCGTACAAATGTCAGATGACGTGTAAAAGGAAAGAAGGAGGAAGAAAAGAATGAAGCACAAATGTCAATTGACTAGGGACAGACATGCAGAAGGACGAAGGAAAGTTGAATTACTAATGTCGCGTGTTTGGAATAGACCGCAAAGAATGGGCGAGGAAGAGAGTGAAGTACCAGCGGACAAGTATTACGACTCACACTTGAAGACAATCTTCCTTCTCTGACTCCTCTGCCTAAAACTATAAATCGGAGGTCGGATCTGTTGACTCGGTGCCAACCAGAACAACATTGTCGCGTGCAATCTATCAAAGTACGGCAAGAACAATGGCGGACTGAGGAAGAACAACAAGATGTGACAAGTGATAAAGTCGGCAGAGTATAATCCCATTTCGATGGTCTTGACGATGAATTCTCGAGCGGGTTGTGATAGTGCGTGAGCTCCTAGTCCCCTGTTAAACCATACACCCGTCCACCAGGCTCGATTCGTCTCGTCGTGTTTGAATTCTCGAGAGAGGAAGACGGCGATAAGGATTTTGAAGATACATCGTTGGACAGCGATGACGGCAATGATGCCCAACACGGTGTGTGCTGTGTTCCAAAGTTCGAGATACCAGAGGAATTCGAAGAACGCTACCATTCCGACAACTGCGCCAAAGTGGGCGAGAGCCGCCATGGTAGCGCCGAATTGGTTGGTGTATGAGTTCAACTGTGGCTCAGCGGTGATCTCTTTCCACACTATTAATACCATTAGCAGGACAAACCCACAGACGCGGAGGGTAGATGTTTCGAAACAGAATCGAGTGACAGTCTCAGGACGGAGAGAAGGTAGGGGGGACAGAGGGGACAGTGAGAAGACAGGGTAATATAAAGGTCACAGAGGTCCAAAGACTTACGCATGGCCCGAGGAAAACCGAGATCAAGAAAAGCGTAATCAAAAACGCCATGTTCCACACAATCGGTCCAAGCGCCACAATGGCAATCCTCAGTAAACCAGGTTGAATCTTCCCTTCCACAGGGAACGACTTGACGAAGAGGTAACAAACTACGAAGATGATGGCGAGACAAATGGGTCCGAAGATTTCCCCAATGAGAATGGCCTTCCATGGAGCTCGTGGCACGTCACTCGAGAGCTGTACAAGTCAGCATATGCCATCTTTCAGGACATCTGAGGGAAGAGATCATGAATGGAGGGGTATGTTTCCTCTTACCATCTCTGCTGAAAGATGAGAAGGCGTGAGTAGAACGAGTTCAAGGTTGTTTGACCGGGGAGCACATATGAACGGGGAGGGAGGATGAAAGAATATAGATAGTTACCTTCTCAGATGGTAAACCCAAACGTTTGCGCTTAAACCCAGTGATCCGCGTCCTCGACAACCGACAATACCCCACCCAACTATTGGCATGCGTTCTCGAATTACCCCTGGACATCCATCGTAAGAATTCGCGGTAGTCGATGATAAAGTCGGTATAAGAGAATTGGTGAGGGTTGAAAAGGAAAGGAGCGACACATAGACCTACCACTGTGATCCAGAAGTAGATCAAGTGGGGTACAAACACGGTCATGGTGACATAGAGAAGTAGGACGAGGGTTCGGATTCCTAGGTAAATGGATGGACCGGCGAATCGAGAGTAAAGGATAGAGAAGGAAATACGGGTGGTAGCGAAACCACGACCGGTGGCGATGTATCTGGCACCACCAAAGGTCAAGTTGTTCAGGATTGAGTGCATGTAGATTTGGGTCGAGAACACTTCAAAGACGGGAGAGAGGGAAAGGAAATGTTTGCAGAGACGTAGGATGGCACGACCTGTACCGCGCTCGGTGAGTTCTGCGGGTGAGCTCTCGGACATGGTCATGGTCACGATCCCTGTGGCTGTGGCATAGCGCCTTGACGACCAAGACGCAGAAAAAGTTCAATGGAACTTGCGATACGAAGGATGGGTCGACGGTGCGAAGTCGAGAGTAGGCGGTGAAGAGCGAGAGCGAGAGTGAGAGTGGGAGTGGGAGAGGGAGAGTGACAATTGAAAGTGAAGTGTGAGAGTGAAATTTGGACAGTGAGAGTTGAGGAGTCAAAGTTATACAGTGATAGTCGGAGAGTAAGAGAGTGTGTGACATAAAAAGAAAAGGAAAGATCCCAAGATAGAAGAAGAAACTCACCCTGCACAAACAACGGTACGAAAGCAATCCAAAAAACGATGAAAATGGATATGATACACCTCTTGATCCATTTGAAAACAGGTACGAGGTTATAACAACCTGATTGACCAGGAAGGATATCACCAGCAGAATTATATTTACAAACTTTCAATTCACCATTGAGTGTACCTAAAAAGACCAATGCTAGCATGAATACTTGTACTGACATCATGACGAGCTATTGATAAGTATAATTCTCATTCCACGAGGAGAATAAATGAGAAAAGGCGAGAAAAGATAAACTCACAATGTTATTAATGTGGAAACCAGGATGACCATAATAAAAAGTCAAAAACCTATCAATAGGTAATTGAGTTCCTAAATAATAATACTCTCTCGATAACATTTGTTCACCCATACCAGTCCCAATCTTAGTTTGGAAATTTAAAATCGTACCAAAACCTAAATCACGACCTTTACCACATTGATAATATTCAGAATGTTTAATCCTACCACCTCTACCGATGGCCATCATTCCGGCGTAGATATCTTCGTTGAGATGTAAACCTTTTTGAGCTTTGGAAACTCCGCCACGGGTGTTCATGTAGATTGCATTTAGGAAATCGGGCTGACGGTCAGTGACTCGATCACGACGGCAGGCCCTATTTGTACGATGACCGAGGACGATGGTATACCATTTGAATGCCTCTCTCAACGCACGATGCAGGTCATGGAGCAGTCAACGTTTGGAGAGGGGGAGTTTGAGACCAAAAAATCGAGAGACAACGACTCTGCACACGCATAACACAGGTCGTGAAGCCGTTCACGCCTTAGGAAGAGCATTTGAGAGAACAGAACTGAGACGGAAAACGGTGCACACGCATGCTGTAAATCGTGAAAAGCCAATATCTAGGTGAAGGTGGTTTCCAAAGACCACCTGATCGAGTTTGAATGAATGTGTGCCGATAAAAAAAGGAGCATGTCAAAACATAGAGACAGTAGAAAGGAAAAGACAAAAAATCCACTCACATGCCCATAATGCAACTTTCCACCGATAAAAGACAAAGACCGAGCAGCCAAAGTCCCGAAAGTCTGTTCTTTCCCAGCAGCGATATCTCCTAAAATCCCGATATTCTCTGAGAAGATATACTCTCTAGCACCCAGAATTGCCACGGGGAACTTTGTGAATTCCGAATGACCGTTCTGAGCATAAGGAGATTGACTTGAGACTCTAAATTCTTCAAATTCTCCCAGTACATTCCTAATCTTGAGACATTCTTCGAGATAATTATCTTGATTAGCGTCGATCAACTGAAGATATTCACCTCGATAGAAAACGATAGCATGGTTTTGATTATCACTCTTTCCATCTCCCAAAATTGGATTACCAGGTAATTCGATTCTGAATTTAGGTCGACGACGTCCATTTGGTAAGATTTCCGAATGACCATCTACCAAAGCTGAAAATATCCTAGATTCTTGTCCATCTTTCCTTGCTGGTTCTTCATCGAGGTAAGCGATTTGAAGATCGGGATAAGCACGTAAAAGGAATTCCGCGTTTTCATGTTCTTCCTTGTTGAATTTAGAGTAACGTTGCATGGAAACGACAAATTTGAATTTACGTCTTGCCATACGTTCTAGTTCCCTTTCAAGTTGATCAGTGTTGCCGCCGAATAGTTGGACCACTTCGGGGTTTTCCACACGATATAACAATTTGATGGCTTTGGAGTAATTCATGAATCCTGAAACGGTACGGTAGAGGGTTTGCGCTCGAAGAGAAGCCCAAATACGAGTACGCAGTGTATATTCCGGTGCGGCAGATTTGAATCCTACAGTGTAGAAGGGAATGTCGTCCGTCCGCTTGTTGTCTTTCTCATCAGATCCGAAGGGGTTGCTTCCGCCGTTGAAAACGTTTGACTCTTCAGCGAGAATCTTGGTATCACGCACGAAGTTGTCCCATTCGATAGGATGAAGTTGTTTCAGGTATTCCAGGAGTGTTACACGAGTGTTTTGATCTTCTTCACGGATGATTTCCCTCAATGATAGCAAAATCTTCTCCGAGTAGTGGGGCACGAGGACGGTGAATGTGGGCATGGCATCAACGGGGATGGGTTCTGGAATGGCGGTGGTGAGCGATTGAGCGAAGAAGGAAATACGACGTTCAGCTTCACTACCCTTGGGGAAGAATTCCGTTTTGAGACCTTTATCACCTTGAGAGATGAAGAAAGCAGGAGCTCGAAGAGTACGTTTGCCAGGTTGATCCGATTGAACCTGGTGGTACAACAACTTCTGTACATGTTCGATAGAAAGCAAATGTTCCCGATACATCGAAATGATCACGGCGTTCCAAACTTGACTGACCAAAACCTATTGCGTCAGCTCCAGCCTTGGTAGCCCAGCCAGCTCACCTTCGGTTTGTACTTCACTTCCATATCTGCGGTAGCCAGGATCTTGGCATAGATTCGCTTTGGAAGCCTGGCGAAGATATCCTGCCACGGTGTCCAGATGCTCATACCTAGGGCGAAAGATCGTGCGATACTGAAAATTGTGTTCCAAATGACATACCACAAGAACGTGTCGAGGAAAAACAGGGTGAGATCCATGACGAACATGACAGTGAGAGCGAATGCCGGTTGGTTGGTGCAAAGAGCGGTGCCGAAATACTTGTCTGAACAATTTTGCACCTTCATACCCACCATGACCCGAATAGGGTCTCGGAAGGACAAAGTCAAAAAGAAGTACGACTCGGTAAACTTACAGCCGAAGACAAGGAACCATAACCCCAATGATGCAAGGCGGTTGTTCCGGGGTAGCACAGGGTACGAAGCAGTAAACGTTTGATTGGCCAAATATTTCCTATTCTTGCCTGCTACACGATCTCCAAACATTCGACCAGAGGGAAGAGTGGCAAAGGCCGCGGTGACAATGACGGAACAACAGAATTGGACGACACCGAGGATAAGTGATACCTGTCCGGTCTGGTTCCAAATGGCAATGTACAACGAAGGTCCACCGGTGATTGCGAGGATGACGAGAAGGAAAACGAGTCGACGGGTCAAATGCGAAGTGTTATTCCAAGTCGTGGGGATATAAGAAAATTCTGCGAGGGTAGCAGCGATCATGATGAGCGTGGCAACAGAACCTCCCAAAGCGGTGATAGACCAAGCCATAGGAGTGGTAGCTTCGGTACTGCCTTTAGGTGCGTAGATGGACGGCGAGTTGTAAGCAGTGTAGAACCAGAAAACAGCGATGTGTAAAACCCAGATACGGTTGAAGTTGACCAAAAGATGGAAGAAAGACCGTTTTTCGAGATACGTCTTGAAGAAAACCTTTGACCATTCCACACGGTCAAACTTCATAAATCGCTGTGCTGGAGGTATATCGACGAGTCTGGTTTTGTCCGTGAGAATGATCTTACTGATACCTTCGGGATACCAGAAAAGTTGGTTTACATCGTCATACCCGATAATCTGATCGTGGTCCCTTTCCCGTCGCAAAAACTTGCCATCGACGACTTCGTAACCTTGATCGCGGAGGAATTTATACAATGGTTTGACGACCGAACGGAGATAAAGACCTTCAGGTACTGCCTCGACACGATTTTGACACTCGGGAGATCGGTAATAGTCGTCGGCACATTTGAAGATGAAACATAGACATTCGGGCATGAACCGAACCTGAGCCGCCTCACCCCAACAAAGAAGGAAGAGGGCGACCTGACGGAGTCGGTCATATTGACTCATATTGTTCATGGCCGTACGCCAACGGGAAGTTGCAGAGTCGAGCGACTTCTCCTGAGCGGTTGCAGGTGCTGCACGTTTTGCTCCTTTGCCGCGTCGAGCGACTGAACGTACACGTGATAGACCAGGGTTCTGTACGGCACCGATGGCGTCGTCAAGATCGAGTTGAGCTGCAAAATACCATTTTCTGTAATTGGCATGTTCTCCCCCGATGTAGTCGGCGTGAAGGGTAAGGAGGGCTTGGTTAGGGGACATGCGTGAGGCTCGAGAGTCGAGTTGGATCATGAGGAAATCGTACACGTTTCGTGACGAGTCTAGCCTGGTCAGCCCTACAATCGGTATTTCAAGTGAAGCTGACCTTTTTGAAAACCAAACTTGTTAGCTAGATCAATGAGAACATCTTCAATCTCTTCTTTGGACAGAGGGATGTTTGCCTCCTGAGTCCAAGCAGGCTGATTATGAGCGCGAGTCATAGTGATGTTTGACATAGGACTTACATAAGGTTCTCTAGGTCTATGACCTTCTTTACTACCTTCTGTGAAAGTGGGAGTGGAAGATCGGGACATGTACTGTTGTTGATGATAATCGCTACCTGCATAAGGTTCCGCTATTCGATCAGTTTCATTCAAAGTATTCGAAGAAACGACGTACGACCAGTTTGACCTTGACTCCATCCACTTTCGCTTGCCCAGGTTTCTCTCCCCATACCTCCACCTTCATACCTTCCACCCATCTCAGGTTCGTTATCATAAAAAGGGGCGTATTGTCCAGCCTGGTTGGGTGGCGCTACACCCGCACCCCCCGCACCGGGGTTAGGAGCACCAGGAGGGGCGTAAGGAGAAGCACCTTGTGCATATTGAGGATTTTGGTCATATTGAAGATGTTGTACGCTGGGATTTGATGGGTTAAAGGGATCAGAGGCGGAGGAATAGGAAGGGGTTTGTTTTGGTGGTGGGGGAGGATTAGGGTAAGACATGACTGTTTGAGTGAGTGGATGACCCTCGAATCAAAGAAACATCGATAAGATCAAAGACGTCTGTGTGAAGGATAAGGAGATACAGGTATGAATGAAGTTAAGATGCAGAGGTGAAAGAGAGTGTAAAGACAAGAAAGTGGCGATGCGCCATGAGACAGGCGGTGGAAGAAAGGAAGGGGGGGGGGGGGGGTTTCACTCGTAAACGTCGATCAGACGCCGTTGGTCTAAAAGGTATAATCGACCGGATAACGAATGAGTGAATATGATAAGAAATGACAAAGTAGGTGGATCGATGATGGGTCAAGACGACGAAAGGGGCAGTGGGATGATACAAGTGATTCAAGGGTGAGAGAAAAGCCAGGTCCGAGCGCAAACACCAAGAGACAAGGGCGCAAGTAGTGTTCATCCATCCTTCTCAACAGCAGCGACACATCTCTTGAAAATCTCATACAACAGATTAGATATCTCATCTGTCTGGCTTGCTGATAAGGCAAGAGAAAAAAACACTCACTGTGATGGATGTATCTCTTTGGAACGATCCTCCTCGCCAATCGCTGGCCAAACAACTGGCCGCGGTGGCCCCTCTCGATCGTTTCCCGGCAGGGCTCAGAGAAGTATCAGTGTACAATCGAGGGGAACAAAATAGAAGTACAAAGTAGAGAGTGTGTGGATAGTGAAGTAAGAGGAGAGTGAATGGATGGATGGATGAGTGGGATAGGAGAAGAGTGAGTAGTAGTAGCAGTGGTGGTGGTTGTAAAGTGCAAAGTGGTTCAGGGGGTGAAAAGTCAAACGTCAACGTCGGTCGCCGCGGGAATATCACTTTCCTTACCCTGAATCGGATACATATGTACACCATACCGCGTAGCATACATGGGCTAACTTACTTATGTGAACATGGTCAATGATATACTTTAGTATCAAGATATACCTTGTCGACATTGAACATGCATGCATCTTCTCATCATATGACTGCCAAAAAGCTATCATACATCCATCAAGGAAGAACAAAAGCGGTGTCAACATGTTCCACATGACGCGTGGAGGCCCGCAGCATGTATCAAGTCTTCGTTTCAGATTTCAAATGATGCAATATCTTTTTGATGAAACCATGCGACTCAATGTTTATGACGTCCACCGTTCCTATCATCCCTTTTATACCTCTCCCTATCTCTATCTTTTTCTCTCTCTCTATCTCGAGCCCTATCACCCTTGACTTTTTTCTCATCTCCCCGCCTCCACTCCCTTTCCCGAGGTCTGGAATCATCGTGTTTAGCAGATTGGAAATTGATATTACTTCTCTTTCCCGTTTCTTGGTTCCGTCTGACCTCGTCTTGTTTGGCTTTTTGTACGGCGTTCAAAGCTGTAGGTCCGTACTTGGGTATCTGATCTTCGAGATCTTGTCTCGTCAGCCAACCGCCGGAAGGAAATGCAGAGGCCCTTTCGGTGATGTCTACGTATTCGACCTGTGCGTCAGTGTCTTATCTGTGCATCCTCCAGCCGAAACAATTAGTATACTCCACACACAGGATTAAGGCTGCATATGTTTATGAGGTGAGTGAAGAAGGTCAAAATGATGACTGACCAATTTTGCGTAGATATGAGGATTACTAAAACTCGAACTACCAAGTAAAGTACTATTGACATGTTGTCCTCTTTCGTACTTGAGTCTTAAGAAATTATCCACTTTATCCTAATCATCAGCCCTACCTCTTTGTCTTTCCTGTTCATCCAAGTTGACCCTCACTCTACGTCCTTGATTTAGCCCTCAGCAAGAGAGCTGGTTTCGTAACAGGTGAACCGACACAACATTTGACTCACCCGTAGTTGATCTGAACATTCATTTGGGTCCACAGGAGGTGGTATACCCCAATCATCCACATCTTCCATCTCCCTAGGTCTAGTCAACATTCTAAACGCCACCTCATCCCCATTACCCAGGTTTCTATATTCTCCGACACTCTCATCACCTTCATCTCGTCCCTCCTTCTGATCTCGTGTGATAGTTTTCGATTCAGATTGAGCAGCATGTGTCATATTCTCATCTTGACCAATCCTATTATCGTCTTGTATATCGGCACGTTGTTTTCCTTTTTTCCGTGGTGGTGATCGTGATCCTTCCATCAGTACATTTCCGCATCCGCATCATAAGTAAGGTGAGATAAACTCACCATCTTGTACATGGTCATCATTCTGTCTCTAGACGTGAAGAGCCATCATGACAATGCCGTTATTTGATACCCATTCAAATCGGGGTAAACGACAGATTGAGGAACCATGGGTTCATTGATGAAAGAGGGCACGGCGTGATCTTGTGTTACCAATACGAGAAGGGAGCTTACGGATGAGGTCTCAGGTCTTTTTCTTTCTATACGTTTCGGGGAAGGAGAACGTGAATTGTCTGAATAATGTGATAATCCTAATGTTCAGCTCTGTCCAGTTTTGGTTGATGTCATTGGGCTTTACCTTGCATGACGAGGCTTCGACAGAGCTTTGTAGAGTATGTAGTACTCGTGGTGTAAGTATGTAGAAAGCAGGAAGGTTGAGAGTTTGGGTGTGAGGGGAAGGTGACGGAGATTGAATCATGTCCGTGTAAAAGCCAGTATTCCCGATGAACGGACAACAATGTCGCCATCGTTTCCAACTCTACTGACACCTTTACACCATGAGGTTGACTTTGTCAGTTTGCTCATACACAAAGTCCAGAATAGAGTACTAGAGTATAAGACTAGATCGCACAAGTTCTCGGAGGAAGTGAAGAAGAAAGTATATCCAGACACCAGGGGAGGAAAGATGTCAGACACCAATGTTCACACACGAGAAGGTTACCCAGAAACCCACAAGAAACATAATGACACAGCCATAGAGCTTATTTCAGGTAGTGTAGGAGGAGCTATGCAGGTGTTAGTCGGTCAGGTAAGCTATCATTCATGACTTTACGGGAGCTGAACAGATAGCCTTTGGATACATTGAAAACTGTCAGTTTGTCATTCTCTCCCCTCATCAATGCCTATGGAAAGAACCTGCGTCAGATCATCTTGGAGATCTGAGATCGGAGATGAGGAGGACCTCTTCAGCTAATATTGAACAAATATTAGATGTTGAGAAAGAGGGGTATATGATTTGGGATTGGAGAGCTGATTGAAAGAGAGCACAAACAGCCCCGAGGGGGAGATATAAAGGTACTTTGGATATCTTAAGGCAGACGGTGAAGAATGAGGGGTTGTTAGCTTTGTATAAAGGTGAGTTTGTCTTTCATTTCTCTTTCAGTGTTTGACCACTTCGATCTACTAGCATGTCACCGTTGTCCTGAATGGCATGTATCATCGTGACACCCCACACTTTTCTCATATGAAGTCATGTTCTCTCGGCTCGTCTCTTTACCTAACCTCCTATCATCCTCACGGTCACCCAACTGTCTGGCATTTTGTTTAAACTCACTTCTCCAATTCTGCACTCGTCTCGTGACGGCCTTCTCCCCGATGTTACGTGCATGTCCCACTATAGAGCGAAAGGGAGATACTGATTCCCCAGGAACGGTAAGATGCAAAAGTCGCTTTAGCATATGGAGAGCTGAACCATAGTTATCCCCCTTGATGGGAATAGCCGCAGTTAATTCTCTCCTTTTCTCAGCATATGGAATGAGTAGAAGACTCGTTTCGCCTTATCCTGATTTGAGTGTTGTGCAAGTAGCGTTAGCGGGGAGTATGGCAGGTGCTATCAATGCTATTTTGGCTTCTCCTGTGGGTCAATTTCGTCCTCAAATAATCTTTCGTCCACTTTTCCATCTCTCACTTCTGTTAGAGAAAGTCTTACAGGTTGGGTCATGCACTCAGAGTGAACACGTGCCAATGCTCCTCAAGAGAGACAGAGCACTCTGTGTTATCAGAGGAAAGCTGGTCCCTACTCCAGACATGAGCACAGATAACACGGTGGGATGATACTGGGTGGACGAAGGGACGTAGAAGAAGGGGGGCAATTTAGACTGATGGCCAGGTCGAGATGTTCAAAATCCGTATGCAAGGACAATATGGAGGTTCTAGTGATAAACGTCTCAAAAGGGTAGTGTCGGACATGTGGAGACAATATGGGTTCAGGGATGGTATCATGAGAGGATATTGGGTGAGTTCATAATTTCAATCTTATCCTCAGATTTCTTTATCACAACAAATGACTCTCCCTCCGCTGCATCTGACCCAGACTGACATTCTCATGACCATTTGAACCTCGTTTCCTCCCGTACATGTCGATCAGAAGAGATGTACGATATATGACATATTGGTCGTTTCTGAGATGATCCTGATACCCAGATCACAGTAATTCGTGAAATACCCGCATACGCGGGTTTTTACGCAGGATACGAAACTACCAAACGTTCTTTTTCCCGTACTCTCCAAACCCCCAATCCACCCGTTTGGGCTCTCCTCGTATCAGGTGCAACCGGAGGAATATGTTATTGGTTAGCTTGTTATCCTCTCGACGTGGTAAAATCACGAATCCAATTGGCCGAGATGCCTCCTAGTCGAGGTGGATGGTTGAGTGGGGGTTATGTGACTAGAGAATTGAGTGCTATGCTGAGAGAAGGAGGGCCGTGAGTAATCTCTTCCTTCTTCAATCCCATCATTACACAATTCCGATTTTTCCCTAAAATGTGGTCGGTTTGTATGGTATGGACTGGGAGGGGTGTAGAGAAGATATGATGAGAGCTGACAAATAGTCGATCACTGTTCGCTGGTCTAGGACCCAGTCTACTGAGAGCTGTACCAGCGGCCGCGTCGACGTTTGTAGGATTTGAACTCACAAGAGGTAAGCTATGAAAGATCATTGAGGAGACAGACTGATCAGTAGAATATATTGTCAAACATGATTTATTTTAGATAATGTACAATCACTGCTTCACCCTCACTCACTGCACTTTTGCAAGCCTTGAATATGAGGATCCACCTCCACTATCATGCGAAATATCCAGCATATCAGTTTCTTTCATTAAACTTCCCGATTGCATGCAATTCCGACACCTCGGATAGTCCCTCTGACAAATAATGGTGACCAAAGGATCAATCCGAATGACGCATCAGCTCAAGCTTCACCAAATAGCATCATCCTCTTGCAGTGTTCCTGTGCAGTGTCGGCATCTCAGGGTAACATGAACCGTACATTTACGGTAGAAGGACATGAGAGGGGAAGGAGATGTTTGATCACACTTACTTTTGGCTCTTCCGTTGAAACCACTCGGTTCATCCTAGACTTTCCGAAATCATGATCAAAACCAAGCCACTAGCCACATGATGACTGCCTCGAGTTGGCACATACCGCAACGTGTCACTTTCCAATTCCCGTTCCCGAGGTAGCGACATGTCTGTACTAAGGGAAAGAAAGTATGATTCATCTATCCCTTGTCAACAGGATATGAGCCAATTATGTGTCAGGGTACGCCTTATACTGTAAGGGAGCTTGAGACCACCAGGCGGATCTCGAGTATTGAGGCTTCTAGTGAGGACGTTATGACGTAGTTCTCTTACTGCATTTGTAACACTATTGTGACTTGGTTCACAGATGTCTGAACGGTAAAAAGATTTTGTCAAACAGACATCCGATGATATTTGTTCGCTTTTCCCTTTCAATGTTTTGACATGTTTTGACATATGTCACACAGGGGATATCCTCTCCTTCCCTTCTCTAACAAACATTAAGGTTCTCACATGGTGGGGAAAGTCTGAACCACTAAGAATTCTTGTCTCTCAACGAGCTTCATTCATTATGGATTAGTTCATCTAGGAAGACACAGAACACAGCAATAAGACGTGTCTAATTCAAAAATTACAGTTGAATCCTAAGAGCCTTAAGGAATGTTGGAAGAAGGGAAGTCAAGCCCACTTAGAAAGCACTTGACAAGTGTATGTGGCAAGTGAAAGTGCAGCAATTTCTAACAGAAAGGAAGTTGGTATTTGAAACACGTCTCCCCCGAGCGGAGGAGGAGATAATGACGTGCTTTCCAATCATCAGATGTTACTTTGAGAACAATGGATTAGCCCAAAATCATCAAGAAAAGGGGATAGACGCCTCAAGTGTTGTAGACATATAGAGGACGGACCATCTTGTTTCACTCTGCCACATTCTTCTTTCTTCAATAACTATTCACTTTTCAAAAGAGCTTTGCTCGTCATGTCATCTTCATCGCAACACTCTGTACCCTTCTACACCTCTTTTTCAACGACGGACTTACCTCCGGATTTTGACCCCGAAACGGATATGATGACTGCTGAAGAAGCGTATAACTGTTTTCTTGAATTGGACAACTTGATTTTTACCCCTGAGTCAACTTTGAATGTGGTTATTGAAAGCGCATCATCTCGTATTGTGTCATTGTCCCAATCAAAAGCAGAGGAGGAGGAGGAGGATATCTTTGCCTCTCAGCAAGAAAACCACTTAACCTCAGAGGGGATAAGGAGTGATAAACAAGGAGAAAGAGCTGAGAGAGGTTCAGTAGATTCAGACAACACCATAGTGGAGTTGTATGCTCCCTCCTTGACCCATCAGTGGGACTCTCTGAATGATAACGGTTCATTGGATCTGGAGCAAGTATGATACATACCAGAGGTTCTTTATTAGAGTAAGGACTGGAGGTTTTCTCAGAGGGGGGGAGAGGGATGGAGGTCAAGCCGACCCTGCATATCAATATGAACCAAAGCACTACTTGTACATACATACAGTAGCTTATATCCTTTTAGAATCTCATCTGCAATGTGTCTGCCCAAATGATCTGAAGAGATCTCCACCACATACAGTAGGATGCATATCTTTCTTTATGTCCCGCAACAAGAATGTGTGTGGGTGCTCTGACATGTGACCGCTGGCCGCTGAACGGAAGTAGGAGATGAATACTTTTGATGTCTTGATTGTTTGCTTCAATCGCGCAATGGATGCAGATTATGATGTGCTTATGAGTCATCAAACATGTCTTTTGACAGGGACAAAGGATTGGTAATATTCTTGCACGGGGCCTACATGTGTCAAATACGAACTGCAACATCACATGCTACAAACTAGTCACATTCACCTTCCAACTTCCATCCACTACTCAAACCTACTCAGCCATGCCACTGCCGGATAGAACCAATTCATCATGTTCCTCCAATAACCCATATCCTTCACTTAACTCACCCACTGACTTCAATCCCCAAAGCGGATTTGAAGACACAGAGCACTGGAGAGAATACCTTCAAGATGCTACCTCAAGCCATTATTCCACACACTCTTTATGTCAAGAGCAAGATGGCTGGACCCATTGTTCGGATCGTTTAGACAAGACTACCTTTGCTTCTGCCCCTGTAGGTCAGAATGAGGTGGACAAGATGTATTACCAAGAGGTAGCTTATTACCAACCTTCACCTTTCCAAAATTCCCAATGGGGGGATAGAGAAGATGACATAATGGAGGTCGGACAAATTCAGGCTACCAATATCTTGCAAGGTTGGGAGAATGTTAGAGATTCAACTGATGATCACAGTCCTACTCCCAGCGAAGAGGAGATAGAGTTAGAGCGTTATATGGAAGCAAACAGGATTTCTGTTCAGAGATGGATAGGTACATTTGACCGACCACAATCAGTGGACGAAGTGGAGAGCGCATCAGAGGAACTCGCCGACTCAGATGAGAGGGTTCTCCGCAGATACGAGTCAAGAAGTGGGCATACCGAGCGTGTGGAGGAGTTAAAAATTCGTTTGAATGGTAGATATTACTCTCAGGAAGACCTGAGAGAGGCGTCAGTTGAATTTCTCAATGAGGTCAAGAGACAAGTCAGAAAAACATGGTGTTGTATAAAGAACATGGAAGCACTGGTCCGTGCGGCGAAAGAAGACCCGTCATGGGCGTCTTTTGACCCCGAGGTGAAAAACGCTGTGGCTGAATGGAGCATGGTGACAGAATGGGAAACTCCAAGAAAGAGTGAATGGTTCGCAAGTTTTTTAAGTGGGGTAGAGCAACAAGAATCGGACCAACAAACAAAAGAACCCCTTGGACAGATAACGGACGCTGATGAAGAGGAACAGGAGGAAAGCGGGTGGATAGAGGTGACAGAGAACAACAGAAGTGACCAACTCAGTCTCATCTATGCTACTTTGCCATATATCAGATACAAACATAATTCGGTACCAAGAGCCTTGTTGGAAATTATATACTGTCAATGTTACTCTGAGGATGATTGATCCTCAGAGATTGCCTAGAAATTGGGTTCCGTGCGTGACCACTTGATGCATTCAAAAAACAGCGTGATATGACTTGCAACAATAAGTCAGTACATACTGTATGCCGTCTCGCAAGGGTAATTTGTACAAGTGGGAATCTTGGGCTGATAGTGGCAATGTGAGTGTTTTAGATACAGGCGTTTCGAAACTGATGATGTCAACTCTTCGCGGCCATTCGCATGACGTGCTTTTCAATCATCTCATGACTGTTAGTTAGAAACAAAGGATGCCCCTCGCCACGAGGGGTATATCCATGAGCCATCAACTTCCCTTATAATAACACATGAAGTGTTCTTCCCCCTTCCTCCAGTCCTCTACACCAACACAAACACCGACTCCAACCTTGTTCCAATACTGTGTACTCTCATTCTCAGCCGTTTAATCATCATGAACCTTACGGATGCTCAAGACAACTTCACTGAGACTGAGAAGGAATATTTTGCTGGGCATGTATACCCTAAATGGCACTCTCAGCCATTATACTCCCCATCTCAAAGTGAACTATCGTGGGACGTCTATCCGGGACAAACTACAGACCGCCCCCTTCCATCAGCGGTGATGGATCCCAATGTGGAAAGCTATGGAGGAGAGAAAGACTATCAACACACACAATCAGGGAACTTGGAGAGTGCCTCAGGGGACGGATACAATGATTCTGTCCTATATGGAACATTCCTCAAACCCTCAAAGACAGGAACGCAGGACGCATGGGTCTTATGCGGATGGGAGAACCTGGAACTCAATGCACCGGCTCCAACAGTAGAAGAGCAACAAAGAGAAAACCAGGAAGCCATTGAGGCTATCATAGAATGGTCAACCTTGACGGACCAGGTTGGACAACTTGATCACTTAAAGTCGCCTATACCTTCAGAAGTAAATTCCGAGTCTGATATCATGGAAATTCAACATGGTCATTCCTCGCAAGGAGATGAGGAAGATCTGCAGTCAATGGGGATGTATGTAGGGGATATCTGGTATAAGTCCACTCAAATAGTAACCGCTTCAAATGATGAGTTGAAAGAAATGAAACAATATGCCAAAGCAATGTCACAATGTATTAAAAACATGCAAGACGACATTGATGAAGCAAAGGAGCACAGACGTGACTGGTTGGAAGCAAATCAATGGATGGAGGATATCTCTATATGGGAAAAGATGGATGAGAAAAACTTTACTATCTTCCAGGCAAAATGGGCTATGAGTTGGCTCCTTGATAATCAGGAAGAAGTTACAGAGGAGAATCGAGAGGAACATATAGTATTGATACAAGGGAGCATGCCATATATGAGAGACAAACATTATTTCATATTTCAGACAGTGTTGGATATGACAAGAGGTTGTACTTGTGGGGAATATCTATGAACTTCACATTTGCTTGTCAGGTCTCATGCCTCTCCCTTCAGTAGATCAGACACTGGAATTTTGATGCCCCAGATGGATTCCACTTAGTTGATGCTTCTCATATGGGCAAGCAGGTTCATACATAAGTGACTCGCAGCATCAAGATCACATACTGTACATAGGATTCCTGTTACAACCTGGCTAACCAGCACCAGGCCATACACTGGCCATGCATGTGACATCTTATGCCACTGCGCTAAAAGTGTCACGAAGTGACAAGACAGTTTGGTTAGAGTTGGATGGGTTGGGTATTTAACCAGCGACCAACGGTTTCCAGTAACCGCCGGTTAATAGGCCTTTTAGCGCAGTGGTTTAGGCCACTGTCTCTGAAGGGCACTGTTATATCGTCCCAATGCTGGTTAGTTGGTCTTGTGACAAATTTGTAAGTGGGGATCTAATGGGTTCAGCAGGCATGTGAGTGTTACAGACAACAGCACCTTGAAACCCGATGGTACCAATTGGGGAAGGCGGAAGTGATGAGGTGCTTTTCAGTCATTCCATGGACTGTCCGATAGGAAGAAAGGATCGTGATATCTGAAAGGGCTATACACATGTATCAGCCATCATTCACTGCCCATATAAGAAGACCTGAAATCCCCCCCCCCCTCCCCCCTCTCTCTATTTCTGTCCAGTTTTCTCCGACAACAAAATCACCATTTTCAGCCATATTCCGAGTTTATTGATTCACTCTACTTTTTCACCTGAGAATCATCATGAACCATGAACATACTCAAGATCAATCTGCAGAGGAGGAGTACTTTGCCGAACATGCATACCCTGAGTACCACTCCGAACCACTATACTCCCTGACTCATAGCCAACAATCATGGGGTGTTTATCCAGGTCCAGCTACAGGTAGACCCCTACCGTACAAAGAGATGGACAAAGAAACCCTCAGCTATGGAGAAGAGGAGAACCATCCCACTCAGTCATTCAACCTGATGAATGCATCTGGGGAAGGAAATTACGATTTTGTCCCGTATAGTGATGAAACAGTGGTTGCTTCCTCAAAGACCAATACATGGGATTCACCGGTCTTATGCGGTTGGGAAAGCCTCAAACCCACCACTGCACCTACTCCAACTTTGGAAGAGCAAGAAGAAGATGACCATTATGATTGTCAGGCAATCCATGATTGGGCACCCCCACCCCACCAGGTTGATCGGATTGATCACGTACCATCAACCATCGCAACAGATGAAGTACTGGATTTTGATGGTGAGGGAATAAATTTTCGTGCACCCTCACTAGGGCATGAGGTGCGTCAAGATTCATTAGCAATTGATGTAGGGACAAGGTGGTACACTGCCACTGGAATAGCCACCGCTTCAATTGACCAGCTGAAAGATATCAGACGGCACGTCATAGCAGTGTCAAAATGTATCAAGGACATGGAAAAAGAGATTGACCAAGCAAAGGAGCACACACCCGATTGGTTGGGAGCAGAACCTGAGTTGAGGGAAGCTATCTCTTATTGGAGGAGTGTGGATACCAAATTTGATACAAATAGACTAGGGAAATGGGCTGTGGATCGATTATGTGACACTCAGGAAGAGCTGACGGTAAAGAATCGAATGGTGCATATGTCTTTGTTACAAGCCAGCTTGCCCTATCTGAGAGACAAACATTATGAAAGGCCTGGCCCTGTGGAAGCAATTACAAATTGTACTTGTTGGGAGCATTATTATTGACTTGTCCACTCTTAGTTTTTATCACTTTGGTAGATAAAATCCTTGATCTATCATGTGCAGATGCATCTTCCATTCAATTATTTTTTCTCAGGAGAGTACTGCACTTTCAGACCTGAGCTGGAAACAGGTCAGAGTATCAACATTCCATTGGTCTTACTGATACTACTTGGGCCCATTGAAGATGGTCCTCTGCTTCACTAGTAAGGTGATCATCCGGGTGTCAAGGAGAAACTGCGGGTCTGGGAGGAGAAGGGGCAAGGGGCAGTACGAATACTGAACCGGTGTTGTTTGATGATCTTCCTGTATCCTCCGACCGAGGTTTGTCCCCCTCTGCATATCGTTTTCGCCCTCTACTTTCTTCTGAAGAGGAATGCCGTGACTTTCTGGTGTAGTGTTGTGTATCCTTGAAGCCCCTCGAGTAATCACTCACCATTTCAGGCCAACTAGTACGCTGAGGGGATGGAGGGGAAGAGCAACCGTCGGGGTATACTTGATCTCCGTACAGATCCCTGCGGTCAACATATCTAAACGATGGGGGAGATTGGTGTCGTGATGGAGAGACAAAGTGGGGAGACCGGGCACTGGATCTCATTATGTACTCCTGTAAATACTTATCTTCATATTCCCACGAAGGTGTACGGCTGGCATGTGCGGACCTTGGTCTGCTGGGCATCTTTGAGCCTTCTCTAGCTGTCGAGAAATGATGATCAAACTGGAGAATATCTTCGTCTACATAGTCCCAATCTCTCGCAGATACGTCGGGGCTCTGTAGACTGGACTTTGTTTATGGCTTCTTTTGGAACGTTTCCTCAGTGTCTCTGAATCATGTAGGAAAGTGACATTTGAGTAAGACACCCGATCATCGTAAAACACGTTGGATCTTGAGCTGGGGGACCGTTTTGCGGGATGGGGTGTATGATGATCTTCTTTCCAGTGAGCTGCTCTTGCCCTTATTGGGGTGGGAGAAGGGGTACGATATGTTTGGCGTTCTGTAAAAGTGTGCTTGTACCTGTCTCTGATATGTGATGTAAACAGGGGGGAAAGGGACCTAAAACGACTGCTTCTTTGCGGTTTGGAGTGGTGATGTCTTGACTTGGAGCGGTGAAAAGCGCGGGAAGAGTGCTTGTCACTTTCTGATATGATAATATTCGTTCGGGTTCTGGTGGGCAGGATGGTGCGCAAGATAGCTCTTGTGAGAGGGTCAACAGTGTCGATTGACACTCTTGCGTGATGATGATGTCCCATATCTGATCAGTCATGGATTTGTTCAGGGAAGTTGATTTGTGGATAATTGTAACGGTACTGGAAACACGACGACTAGGTCGCAGGTTGGGTCGAACTCGATGGAGGTCTCGTGGAAATCTAGGGGCTCTGGTGCTAATGGATCGTGTCTCCTCTGCAATCGATGTAGCCAAAGAATGATATTGAAGAATCAGCAAAGTTGGTACTTTGCTGATTGTACTATATACGGTCTACAGGTATCCGTGTCCTCCTCTCAGTTCCTACTGCAAGCGTCTATGTACATACTCGGACAGGTGAAAAACCGCTTTTGAGCAAACCCAGTGGGGAAATCTCGAAAAGGGAAAACCCGTCCCTACCTACTGCAGCACTGCCTCCAACTCCCGCTTTCCTCTGTCCTAATCCGTCGAACTCGATAGAGTCCTCTCGATTCGTTGTTACCCCGTAACAAGTTTCCCCCCCTGTCTCAAGGATCCTCGCCGAGGATCCTGAACCCTGTAACCAGGTGATGCACATGGATTGTTCTTAGACACCTTTGGTGCGCCCTGACATCATACCCACGCTAGTGTGACGGTTGCCATGAAAACGCGTCACCCGCACGGACCTCCAATGTGATCGAGAAATTACTGACCAAGTTACCTCCCCGTCTTCTTTTTCTTCTTTCCTCCTCATTCTCTCTTTACCTCTTGTTTGTCGTTCTTTTTACTTATCTATCATCATCCATCCATATCTTATTCATATCTTAGAGTATCCTTCCAACTCTGACCTGTCTGTGAGCATGTCTAAGCGTACTGTAAGCAATTCCCTTCGAATTCGATGTATATCCTCCTATCTCTCACTGGCTGACGAGATTAGTTGTCTCCTTCCACCTCCTCCCGTCAAACTCGAGCTTCTACCTTGGCAATCCTGCCTGACGTCGACCCCGAACTCCTCATGCGTAAAACGAAAAGAATGAGAATTACGTCTGAAGCCGCTTCCTCTCAACCCCCATTGGTTGATGCGTCTCGACGAGCTCTCGACACCATTAAGGAGAAGTATCAATCCGGTCCTTCTCGTGAAGCACAATCGCTCCTTGATGACCATGTCATCGAGCAATATTTCGACTTCGAAGGGGGTGCTGGGCCATCTGCCACTGGTGAGAACCTATCTCCCGCCAAATCCGTCGAATCCGAACACCCTACCGTCGTCGAAAATGAAAATTCTCCCGGTAAGCAACCCACTGGTCCTCCTTCTGAGGCTTCCGACGAACTTGTGGAGGTTCCCGAAGAACTTGGTGACATCTTTCACACCCCTCGCAAGGTTACCGTCAACCAGGAACTGGTTAAGTTGCTCGAGGATCGAAAAGACTCCGAAATCGGTGAGAATTCCACCGAGTTCTGTTCGCTTCTGACTTGTTAGCTACCCTTTGGGCCAGCATGACCTTCCCCTCTGTTCGTCTCGCGTTGAAGAACGAAGCTCTGGACCGTTTCCGCGAAACCAACGCCATCAAGCCCACTGTAAAGTGGTTTAAGAACGCTGTAAGTCTTGAATTCTTTCAAGTTTTATCGATTCTAATCATTAGCTCGATCGTTTGGCCCAAGGTTGGCGCCTCCGCAACAAAAATGGTGCTGTTGTTCGGCTAGAGGGTGAGCTCTGTACCGATTGTCAACGTCGTCTCGATGGTGGTGAAGACTTTCGTGTTGGTTGTATTGGCCCTCGTAAGTTCTTGCTGCGACTCGTTCAATGTTGATGCAATTCAGTCGGTGGTGTGTGTGGTGAATGCTCTGCTAAGGGTACTTCAAAATGTTCGGTGAAGACCAACAACCCTGAGTCCAAATTCCGTGAGGTACCTGTCTATTTCCTTCGAACTTGGTCGATGTTGATGTATAGGGTATTGTTGTGGGAGCAAGAACGGTCACTTCCAAGGTTACCTTTGTCCTGGAGCACGAACTTTGTGCGGCTTCGGTCCGTTATCGATCCCTTCCTGCCCATGACCAATCCGCCTGTCTGACCCAACTTTCGGGTTACATCCATCTCTTTACCTCCCTTCTCCTTCCTCTCCCTTCTCAACATCTGGCTCTTTACAAATCCCTTCATCTTATTTCCGCCAACTACGCTCCTCCTTCTGCCGATGAAACTCTGGATCATCTTACTTCTACTGGTGATCCTACAGGATTGAGTTCCTCTCAGCCAGTTGCCGGTCCATCCTCTTCTCCCCATACTCCTCTTCCCCACAATGTCATTCGTATTCCCGCTTCGGCCCGTCGTCCCCGAGCCGATTCTAACGCCTCCATTGAGTAGTGTGTTTATATCTCTCTACTTGTAGCTATACTTCCTGTGTATGCATTCATTTCTGACCCAGTTTTGTTGATCTTGATCGAATTCTCACTTTCTTCTGGGGTCCCTCTTCCTCTTTTCCAAAAATTCACCAAAAACGGCCAACTCTTCTACATTTTCTCGTGGTTCCCAGTCATAGGCCGCATTTTGTACTTAGTAGTACCTGTTCTCCCTTTCTGAATTCTTCTGGTATGCTCTTGTGTCTCCTGTTGTAGTACTCTGCACTAATTTCATTCGCCATCCTGACCTGTTCTTGAACAGTCGCATGTAATTCTCCCATATCTCTCCATTTCCTCTCCAACTTGTTTGACTTTGATCGAATATCGTGCGAATGGATGTCGTAGTGTGGCACATAGCCGTAACAGGCTTCAAAGGGACACAGACCGTGGCTACTATGTGGCGAACAGTTATAAGCGAACTCAGCAATTGGTAGAAGTTGATCCCAATTGTCCATGTTGTAGTTTACATACATTCCGAGCAGGATTTCCATCTGTTGATTTACTCGCTCAGTTTGTCCATCTGTTTGAGGGTGATACGCAGTCGAGTATAAGTTTTTTATTCCCAGGAACTGACATATTTCCTTCCAAATTTCCGCTGTAAACTGAGTTCCCCTATCTGATACAATTGTTCGAGGTACTCCATGTTTTGAAAAGATCTCCTTGATGTAGATGTCGGCCACTTTGTTCGCTGTTAGTCCAGTTGTACATGGAATAAATCTAGCCATCTTGGTTAGTCGATCGACTATCACTAGTATCGCGTCAAACTCGGTCGATTTTGGTAGGGGTCCCACCATATCCATAGAGATATCTGTCCACGGGAGTGTGGGTACTGGTAAAGAGACTAGATGTCCATACGGTTGATGTCGATGAGTCTTATGTCGGTTACAGATCTCACATCCTTTTACGTACTTCGCAATATACTCGTCCAAATGTGGCCAGTAATAATCCTCTTTGACTAAGGTGATGGTTTTATCTCTTCCTGGGTGTCCTATTAATATCGAATCGTGTCTTGCTTTCATTACTTCTAATCTTGCTTGTCCTTCTGGTATGACTACTCTGTTTTTGTACAAGAGTAATCCGCTTTGTGTCCAAGATACTATTGGTGTCTCGTTGCTAATCTGTGTCTTCTGTGTGTCCTGTGTGCTCTGTGTGTCCTGTGTGCTCTGTGTGTCCTGTGTGCTCTGTGTGTCCTGTGTGCTATGTATCTGTGTCATTTGTAGTCCTAGTCGTCGTATGTTTGCTATGTCTTCTGAGTCTTTTAGTCCGTTCTTGATGAGTCCGAATAATGAGTCTTCTCGGATTGCTCCTCTTACTATGTGTCTTGGCCCTTTGTGTTCTGAGTCCATTGAATTCGATCCAACTTGTTCGTGTGTCGGTAGCAATTGTAGCCAGTTGCCTTTGTTTAGATCCGGGTCCTTGCTACTCCCTTTTCCCGGATGATAATCTCCTCGTCTTGTCAGAGCATCTGCTCCCCCATTTTTGCTACCTGGTCGGTAAGTGATCTCTATGTTGAAGTCTCCCAATATTTCCAACCATCTCATTTGCCTTCGATTTAGTTGTCGCTTGCTTTGGAAGTACTCTAAGTTCTTGTGATCTGTAATGATTTTTATAACATCACTACTGTTAGCCAAGTAGGGCCTCCAGGCGACCAGGCAGTCCACGATGGCTAGTAATTCTTTTTCTCCTACCGTGTAGTTTAGTTCACAGGGTGTCATTGCTCGAGACCAATACGCAACGGGGTGAAGTTCGGTGGTTCCCCTTATTGATGGGTGAGGGAATCTTTGAGACGCTATCGCACCTATCGCGCAGTCGGATCCATCGGTTTCGATCCAAGTCGGTCGGGTTCTATCAAAATGTCGAAGTACCGGTGCTGTGGTGAATGTTTTCTTTAGATCGTCAAAAGCCTTTTGGCATTCTTGTGTCCAGTTCCAAGCCTGATCCTTCCTGGTCAATCGTGTGAGAGGTCCCACAATATGCGAAAACCCCTTGATAAACCTCCGATAGAAATTTGCAAAGCCCAAGAACACTTGAGTATCCCGGACTGTCATGGGTTCTCCCCATTCTAGAATAGCTTTCACCTTTTCTTGATCCATTTCGATCCGTTCGTGTCCTATAACATACCCCAGGAACTTCACTTCATTTGAACTCCATTCGCATTTCCTCGGACTGACGACCAAATCGTTTTCAAGTAGTCGATCTAACACCTTTTGGACAATTATCTGATGGTTTTCGATCGTGTCGGAGTATACCGTGATGTCGTCGATATAAACTACTACCCCTTCGTCAAGTAGATCGTGAAACATGTCTTGTAGAAAGTTCTGAAAGGTGGCTGGTGCATTACACAACCCATCCCTTAGGACTGTGCTCTCGAAACTGCCGTATCTTGTTCGTAAGGCAGCTTTATGTTCATCTCCTTCCTTTATTCTGACTAACTGGTAAGCCCCTTTCAAATCGAGTTTAGTGAAGATCCTTCCTAATTGAAGTCGATCGAGTAGTGTCGAGATGAGTGGCATTGGGTATGAATCCTTGATGGTTACCTTGTTAAGTGCCCGGTAATCTGTAACTACTCGATAGGGAATGACTCCTTTCTTGGGGACCAGGAATACTGGGGACCCATAGGGCGATTTACTTCTTCGCAGATGTCCACTAGTCAGTCCATCATTGATCCACTGCTTCAGGAAAGCATCCCCATGCTCGTCCAGTTGGTAAATTGGTCCTGGTTTCAGTTCAGCCCCTGCTACTAATTCGATTTCGTGGTCACATTCTCTTCTTGGTGGTAGTCTTCTTGCTCTTTCTACCTTGAATAATTCGAGGTACTGGTGCCATTGTGTCGGTATGATTTGTCGCAGTTCCTCCTCACTCATTTCGTCCTCCCCTTTCTCCAGTGTTGCTCCTCTTATTAATCCTTCTTCTAATCTTGGGTATTTCCAACCAGTATCTCGTCCAATTCCGTCGAATTCGATCAGTCCCTTTCCACAATCGATCCTTGCCCTAAACTGTCTCAAGAAATCTAGTCCTACTAGTACTTCTGGTCCTTCGTATGCCATAACATCCAGTCGAGTTGCAATCCTGAGTCCTTTTCCTAGATCTAATTCTGCTTCTACATATTCGGTCACTAAGGTCGCGGTAGTTCCATCCAGGAACCTAATTTTTCGTGGTACCTGATATTGTTTCTTTGGGAATAGATGGTATAATGGACAGGCCGGCTGCACATACCTTCCTGTAGCCCCGGTATCGATTAACATTCCAATCTGTAGGGTATCTTTCTTTGTTTGTATTTTTATATATATTATGGCCGAGTCATTACTGAGATCTATTGGTATTTGAATTCTCTGCGATCCGGGCAGATCCTGGCCGCAAGTGGTCGCATCACTTAGGCCAGGTAGTCGTTTCCCTCTTCTTCAAAGGTCACCGCCATTCCTCGAACTAATGGCCCTTTGGATCCAGTTGTGATCGAGTTCGATCCACTAGGAATCGGTGAGTTATGCGGATTTGGGGATCCCCTAATACTGTTTCTCGTGTTTCCTCCATTCGGACAGTTGTTGGCATAATGTTCTGGACTTCTACATTTGAGACAACGTCGGTTCTCCCTCCTCCAAGTCATTTCGTTCTCGCTGAGACGTCCTCCGTCCTCTGTCCAAGTGACCGGAGGGTCATTTGGTAGACCATAATTCATCATCCCTGGTTTTCCACCAGGCAAGGGTCCTCTACCAGTCGATTGTGAGTGGCGTTCTACCGGGTTGGGCGGACTAGTATCCAATCGCATCGAATTCGATCGAGGGGGAAGCCAGGTCGTCTCATTTTTGCGTCTAGCAGCCCATCGATTCGCCGCAATCATCGTTTCAGCCATCCGTTGGTTCTCCTCAGTCCCTATCACATGTTGTTTGAAATAGATCCAGTCCGATTTGGTTCGAGGATCGGTGTTATTTACCACTACCACTTTCAGTAGCTCTTCCTTCAGGCCCTGTATGGCTGAGGCGATTTTCATGGCATCGGGTACCTTTCCAAGGTGTGTGGACCAAAGTTCAAAGTTGGCAAAATACTCGGCGGCCGTATCCGTCTGTCTTAACTCCTGCAATTTCCTCATAGCCGTACCTGCCATGTTACTGTCTCCAAATTGAGTTCGTAAATGCTGGATGAATTTGTCGTAGCTCTCTAGCCATTCGGTCGAATTCCATATACTTGGATTGGTTATGGCCGGGGTTATAAGCATTTGAGGGGTGCCTCGAAGATACCCGTACATGAACAGGATCTTTCTGCGATCGGTGGCGTACTCTGCCCCTTTGAATTCGAAGTTCATGTGACATGCTGCAAGGAAGTTGTCCAATTCTCCTCGTTCTCCACTGAAGGTAGGTGGATCCGCACACCTGGTTCTTCCTGTTCGTTCGTTGTTGGTAAGTTTTGGCTCCAAACACGGCTTGTTTTCTTCGACTTCGATCAAACTTGCCCCTTTCGATGTGAGTATCTGTTGGTTCTGTCGGTCAGCTTTCATCGTAGCCAGTTCTTCCCTTAATGCATTTTGTTCCTTTTGTTGCATCGTCATAATGGCTAACAATTGTGACAACTGCTGCGATAATTCATTTAGCGGATCTGGGGTAGTGGTAGTAGACGTGAGATCATGTGAAATGGTACTTCTCGAAGAACTTGTTGGTATTTCTTCCTCTGGGACCAGCCCTTGTTTCAACTCCTCTTTTTCTGGTATCATTTTCCGCGCTTTCCCTCTGGTGAGCATACAGTACTCTCCGATTCGACCCAAGGTGCGTAAGGCTGATTCTTCAACTTGTAACGGTACTGGAAACACGACGACTAGGTCGCAGGTTGGGTCGAACTCGATGGAGGTCTCGTGGAAATCTAGGGGCTCTGGTGCTAATGGATCGTGTCTCCTCTGCAATCGATGTAGCCAAAGAATGATATTGAAGAATCAGCAAAGTTGGTACTTTGCTGATTGTACTATATACGGTCTACAGGTATCCGTGTCCTCCTCTCAGTTCCTACTGCAAGCGTCTATGTACATACTCGGACAGGTGAAAAACCGCTTTTGAGCAAACCCAGTGGGGAAATCTCGAAAAGGGAAAACCCGTCCCTACCTACTGCAGCACTGCCTCCAACTCCCGCTTTCCTCTGTCCTAATCCGTCGAACTCGATAGAGTCCTCTCGATTCGTTGTTACCCTGTAACAATAATCAGGCATCTCAAGCCTGCTTTGTACATGAGAAGTGGCTGTGCTTGTTGCAGCCCCAAGGGGCTTAGGGACAAAGGAATTTCCGCCATGGGTCAAGCCTGTTGACGACTTTGTCATAGGTAGGGGTGAAGTTTCAAACTGGTGGTAGAGGTGTCTCACGTGGGGTACGGATGGAGACCTCGTTTTCTCAATATGAAACCCCAAAGTCAGTCAATACATGAAACTCTTGGCCCTTATCAATTGCAATTTGTCTGTCACAGCTCTCATGTGGAGTAAGAATTTGATTCATGCAAAAATGACGCCAATCCCTGAAAACAAGAGTAGCCCTATATGTACTACTGAACCCACTTTGTGTCATCCCTCTTCACCCACTTGGGTGTCACACGGTCTTGATTTGGTGTTTCATTCCAAATCAATCATCACTGTCCACCTCCGCTAAACAAGCAGAGTAGTACTCCCAAAAATTCTCACCAGAGAGTCCCACGACCCGATCAGGTTGAAACTGATTATGTGTCTCCTCTTGGTCTTCATACTGGCTGTCATGCTGGAAGAGGAGTGTGGCTGACTTCTGATATGGATCTAACTCTAACCATGTCTCCTTCAGGGATCCAACCGCCACCAGGAAAGAGCCGGTGGTATACTCCGTGTATACAACATCACCATAGTGAGGAATGTGGATACACAGCTTACTCTTATTGCCATTGGCATCAACGGAGGTGTGGACCGGTAGAGTGAGAATTTCATACTTGGGTCGAGTACCTCCAGAACGGGAGTCAGGGTAAGTTTGAGTTCGATTTGAGCGGGAAAAGGTTGGTGGGCTGTGTGATTTGGTTCTTCCTGAGAAGGTGGCACTTTTAGGGGGTCGTTGATTGTATTCAAATTCATCTTCATCCTCAAAGCTTCTTCTTCTGGCTTCTTCTTCCCAGTGAGATGGCTCCTTGATGTAGGGCTTTCGTGTCAATGAGCGTTGATGTTTGCTCCTGGGGCGCCCAGCCTCTGAATCTGACTCTGGTTCAAAGGTGACAATGACCATGTTTTCTTCGTCGTCCTCTGGCAGAGTCCTGGATGGGTAGTTAAGTGAGGCTGTTGACTCTCTAGGTGGGCCCGTGGGATTGTACTTTGGACCAGTCTCATACGAGAGAGGGACAGAAGTGAGGGCTTGGACATAACGAGCAACTGGTCTAGGGGAGACAGGCAAGGTGATGTCTCTCCATGGACCACTCGGGAGAGTTTCAGCACTTTGAGATGGTCTGTAAGTGAGGGATCGATGAGTCTGAATAGTTTTCTCTGTGTCATGCGGAGGTTTTCGGGAGGATGAAGCGACTGTGTGAGATTTCCGAGAGCCAACTGAAATCCCATCCTTGTTCCGCACAAGAAAAGGTTTCTTTCTCTCTGAGCTGTGGCGGTGTTTACCCATACTGTGGTGATAATCTTTGAATGTTGAAAGTGAGAAGAGACGATATATGACTAAACAGTCTTGTGAAACATTGTATGACTCCCTCCTCCTCTGACAATCAAGCCATCCTTTGTGTTGTGGAAGACAGTGGAAGGTCAGATGGGGTCACATTGCTAAACAAGGGTTGCTTGAACACTTGTCATGAACATGCTACTCTTCAAGAGACAAGCACTTATTGGTGATCGTGAAAGTGAGGTGTCCGTCTACTAAGACATGCGGCCGTCATATCTTAATGGTACTTGACATTGTAGCCGGCACGATGTGGCAACACGACCCGTGCATCGACTGGCAAAGTGCCACATTCGATCGGGTGCCACATCCCTTCCGAGTCCTTCCCCCACCTGACGCGTTTCCAAAGTTGACTTTGTTTCTTCACTACTTCCTTATACAGGCAAGCATGGCCTTGACAGCTGCATTACAGCTCTGGGATATTCCCAGTACGTCCAAACAGGGAGCTGCAAACTCTGAGGTGGCTCAAGTAAGTCTCAAGGTGCAAATGATGTCCTGCTTACTTGGCAGGCGTGGCGTGTTGCTAGCGAGTTTCTCTTTCCTCGAGATTTGGCAGGAATGCGGTCAGCCGGTAGGCCAGGTATGTTCTGACTTTCCGAGTACATGTTATGTTATTGATGATCCAGTGGAGACTCCAGAAGTCACATCTGCATTTGGTCTGCTATCCCAAATGCAGCGCAGCGCGACTTTGTTCCACGACTTCTTAGGTTAGTGGGTGCGTGATTTCTCGAGCAGTGCTCATGAGTAGACGCCGTGGAAGATCGCTTTTATCTGGTCAAACAGGATATCCAACGCTATGTGAATCGACTCCAGGTCAGTCATCCTACTGAAGGCGCCAAATATCACGGAACTGACTGCACTAGGAAACTGCTGCGGTCTCAGTGGTGCCTCAGGTGGAAACTATCATGGTGGAGATGCTGGATCGTCTGAACGCCTGGCAACGAGCCTGGGGCATACCCCTACGAGCTATGAGAGAGTAAGCTGCACACTGTTATCTGACTCGGTATGCTGACTGACAGCAATAAAGTCATTTCCGGTTTCACCAGTACCTTCTCAGCGCTCCTACATTCATCCCTTCCGTCCATCTTCCCTGCTTATTTGCATTCATTTTTGGTCAAATCTCTCGCCTCTCTCCCTTCTCATCTCATCGATCCACCACACAACCCACATTTGCTTCAGAGCGTACCTATCAATTTGCAAAAGGTATCCCCTCCGTCTCCGCATCTATCAAAACTGGGCATCCTCCCTCGGTATTCTGCAACCCTCAGCGGAGCTGCGTACGAGGAGATCAGCAAAATAGCCAGAGAGGAGGCGGGTCGAGGATGGGAGACTCGCCGACTTACCAGGGCGAGGCAAAGAGTCGGTGATGGTGTAGCCAACTGGCTTGCCGGCATGTTTGAAGGTGAATACTATCACGACGTTGTCTCGCCTGAGCTCACACTCGTTACAGGCAATGAAGCTGCACAAACCGGTTTGCGACCTATGTTCTCGAGATTCGATTATTACCTGTGTAAATGCTTCTTCGACATCAGGTGAGTCTCTACTCTTTGTGTCCCGTCTAGCTAATGGCTAGGACTGACGAGTTGTTTGACATCATTGTGGCGTATCCCGACTCCATGGCTGCTTTAGAAGATCTCAAGGAGTGCTTGTTCAAGGTAGACCAACGATCCGTTTTGGTGGATAAGCTGAAGACATCGTAAGTTTCCAAGAGGACTGTCAGTCTATGCTGATCCAAGAACACTCAAACGTCTTCTCCATCCTGGGGCCGAGACTAAAGTTGTCATTGCGGGGTATATCTCTACAATACGTTGTCTCCGTATCCTCGATCCTGCTGGTGTTCTGCTGCATAAGGTGGCCGATCCTATTAGGAAGCACCTTCGAGAGCGACAGGATACTATTCGCTGTATCGTTTCAACCATGGTGGAAGGGGACGAGTTACAGGACGAGAACGAGAGTAGCGCGGGTTTGATCCCCCAAGTCAATGATGAGACGGTCGAGGACTTTTCAGATCCCAAATGGGATCCAGAACCATACGATGCTGCTCCTGGTCAGTCATCCTGCAGTATGCTCGATCTGCGCTGATGATTGCAGAATTTAGGAGCGGAAAGGCCAGTGATATCATCTCGACTCTTGTCAGCATATATGAGTCCCGAGACGTGATCGTTAAGGAGCTCCAGATACTACTAGCGACACGACTGCTGGCTGTCAAGGATTATGACGCCGTCAGAGAGGTATGTATCTCAGTGCTTTACGATCACAAGCTGAAAGGATAGATCCGGACTGTCGAGCTACTTAAAATACGCTTCGGGGAGCAGGCCTTGCAGATTTGTGATGTCATGCTCAAGGATATGGCCGACTCAAAACGCATCGATGATCATGTACATGGCGACATTGAGGTAGGTCATCGTTCCTTGTGCATGTTCTCCGCTGATGTGAAGTCCAAAGTGCATCCACTGGTCATCTCTCGGATGTTCTGGCCCAATATACAACCGTCTTCTCTTCATTTGACACCGAAGCTCGAAAGGTACGCCCTCTTGTTCTCAATTATTTCCTATGCCAATGCTTCCAGCGCTCAGCGAGCATATGAGGCTGCTTTCCATCATTTTAAGCCGGATAAGCGCCTGCGCTGGTTACAGCATATAGGAACCGCTGTCGTCAAGCTGGAGCTGGAGGATCGTGTGGTCGAGGTCGAAGCCACGCCCATCCAGGCTGCAATAGCTGAGCTGTTCTCGGAGAAATCGCTGTGGTCATTGGTCGAGCTGGGACAACGGCTGGGAGTTCTCGAGGAATCTACTCTCCGTAGCGCCCTTGGCTTCTGGGTAGGACTTGGCGTGATCAAGTCCGAGGGTGAGCGATGGACATTACTCGAGGTCGCCGAGCAAGGACCAGTTCCCGTGCAAAGTGGGTTTTCACCTCCCATGCTGCGACTATCGGGCTGATTTCTGCTCAGCCCACGTAGAGGATGCACCTTTGCCACAAAAAGAGAGCGCGGACGAGATGAATGCCAACAAAGTACGGATTCACTGGCTTGTGAGTGCTCAAGGTGGTGTTACAGAGCTCGCTAATCGATTCCAGTACATAAAAGGTCTGGCCCCACTTTCGTTTCTGTTCACTTGCTGACGATGATCCAGGTGTACTGACGAATCTTGGTCCCACATCACTGGACCGAATCCAGGGTATGCTGAAGTACATTGACGAATACGACCAATCCATAGACGATCTCGAGCAGTTCATGACTGCCGCTAGGGGGGAGGGCATGGTCGATTTGCGGTCGGACGGAAAGTGGGTACTACGGGAGGGAGGGTAGATCAGTGTCTATCGGAAGCTGAGCGCTGTGAACGATCAGAGGTGGGTGGAACTTCACAGCTTCTTTGACCCAAAGCGAATCGATGTGGCCGCGCGGGGTTATTACTACAAGCACGTTATCTTATCTTACGACTGCTTCCGTCAGAGGCTCATGCATTCGTCGTAGTCGCGTGGCCCAGCGAACCCATTGGGCTAATCATCAGACGAAATCGTCTCGATCAATGTTTGCGTCGTTGCGTCATACGTGGCAGATCAGATAGAATTCATGATGACTCTTGGGTATATTATCAGCTGTGGACGGACCAGAAATCAGTTTCAAAGCTCTCTCATTCTCATCTCTCGTGCTGTGCACCTACCCAACTTCGCTTTATTCTCACTCTCTCATACCTTTCGCTGGTCGATAAATCCTTACAACTCAACCCGTCACACGCATCTCACAATGAAGTCAACTACTCTTTTCACCGTCCTCGCTATCCTCTCGACCGTTTCGGCGATTCCCACCCCTGCCCATCCTTCTTACCCGACCGATGAGCTTGATGTGGACGCTGGTCTGTCCAGCTCGGCCCCCCGTGTAGATCCCGAGGCCTTACTGCGACTTCTCTCCAAGCCAGTTTCTCGTTCTCGTAGTGAGTGTCCTGTTCCACTTCTTTTCTCAATGCTGACCATCAGAACACAGCGAAAGACAATCTCAGCAGACGACTGGTGACTCCATGGGCAACAACGAAATACCACTATCGACGAACAATATGGATCCGAACGCTCCAGTCGTTCTCGCTTCCTCTCCACCAGCTGGACTGGCAGGTGTCGTCTCCAATCTCCCAGGTGCCATTCATTCCATCGCTTCTGGTCTTCCCGATACTCTTGCGGGAGTCGGCGCCGCACTTCCCGCTCCTGTCAACGGTATCGCCAGCGGTCTTCTCTCCACAGTTGGAGGAGTAGCCGCTCCTCTTCTTGACACTGTAGGAACTGTTGGTGCACCTGTACTTGGTGCGGTGGGTGGTATCGCCGGTCCTGTCCTCGAACCAGTACTTGGTGCTCTTCGTCCTGTGGTCGCAATAGGAGAAGGACTCGCTGCTCCTGTTGATGGACTATTGGGTCAGATCGGATTAGGTGGTTTGTTACCAGGTTTGTTGGGTGTTGTCAATGGATTAGTAGGAGGACCTCCAATGACTCCCGAAGCTTTCACTCAAGATATCCCAGGGCAAATACAAGCATATCAAATTCAAAATGTCCCATCGACCAACACTCCAACTCAAGAAGGAAATACGCCCCATGTTCAAAATGTGGTGTTGATCATCACTAATGGACTTGGCACCACATCTCCCATTCAACAAGCCCCACCAACCGCTGTCGAGTCGATACCTTCCAACATGACTCAGGTGGAGACCGATCCCAGCGATATGGGACAAGCGACACCGATGCCAATCACGGGCGCGGCTACGAACGTTAGTCAAGATCAGGATATCATGCCATCTATGAACCAAACTCAAGTGGAGGATATCGTACCTACCAATACGACATCCTCGGAGGTTCCTGACATGCAACCATCGGGAGCTGCAAATTCGACGATGGGTTCCATGGGTTCGATGTCGTCGACATTGCAGGAAGCTCCAGTACTTCAAATCGGATCTCCTTCGTCTTGATCTAGTTTGAGGCGCTATGGATAGAGTGGGAATGGAAGAGGAAGATTTGATGGACTATGACAATTTGATATCTGTGCGGACGAGGCAAGTCGTATTCTGAAGGAGGTGGAATTTATCTTGCTTGAAAAAGATAATGGGGGACATGGATGCTCATTGATGGAGTAGAGCAATGTTAGGATTGGTTGGATCATGAGTCTACCATATACCTCTACCGACCTCGCCTTTGCACATCCACATCTGTAAGCTTACGTAGGGGAAAGATTCTCAACCTTTATTTCCCGCCCCTTATCCTTCCAGCTCAGCTCTTAAGATACACTATAGGCATAAGAAACACTTCTCGAGTGTTGTGACTTACGATCCACACACCCCAATCAGTCATTTGACTTGGACTTCACCACATCCGTCCCTACTCGTGTTCTCCGTTCTCATCACATGGTTCACTTATTGCCTCTCTCAATGATTCATACTCTTCCTCGATATCTACCTCCTCTCGCCACATCACATGTATCTGCATTGAATCGAATCATATCAACCCGAAAATGTTATTGCATGACCAAGATGGAAAAGAAAAAGATGGATATGATGGCTGTGCCAAGTTTTTATCGATTGTACAAATGTATGTATCAATGTTATGGTCATGTATTCCTCCCTGATCCAATTGCTCCCGTCACACTACTAAAAAATCACCAAAATTGAGTTAGATCAGGATGTATACCGTCTCTTTGACGAAGAAGGACGATGTTGCTTGATGTGGTTGAAAACTGAATGTGAGTTAGCTATATTGTCTTGTCTTTTTTCCTCAACCTCTTCTCCATCCTAGTGCATTCTCCACATGAAGGAGGGATTCAGAGACAGCTCTTGTTGACAACGACAATAGTATATCTCGTGTTCCAGGATGTGTATCACGGGAAGGGAAAATTGATGGTCATCAGGAAAAGAATTGATGATGATACCAAGAAAACAGGAGAGTAAGAAAAGTCAACGTGCTCGAGAAAAAATTATAAGACTAAACAGATACTCACCCCATTACCAACAAAGACACCCGCTCTCCTAGCGATTTCCATATCCACCGCCACCCCAACTTCTCTTTCTTTCCGACTAGGATAAACATCTAATTTCCCAATCCAAACTTTATCCCAACCTTCAGAAGCCAACCACATCCTTACTTCTTCTGCCCATTCATCTTCACCATCACTCAAGATATAAACCACTCTTAGCAATGGATGATTCTTCCTCATTCTTCTAGCTCTACCGATAATGTCTAATACCTCAGGAAGACATTTAGCGCGATATAATCCCATTCGAGTGGCTTCTACCATACTGGATGGAGGTGGAACGTTTTCGTTACCTGGTAAACGAGGTAATTTGTTGAATGATACGAATGGACTGAGGGTTAGTATGATAACTTGGAAACATTTGATATTTCTATTGACCAAGTTTGATTATTCAAGATGGATTGTTGGACGAAGAGTTTTGGCACATACTAACCAGATTTCAGAATTCACAGATGCGGGGCATGTTGATGAGGTGAACAGATGAGAGATGTCACTAGGGGAAAGTGGAAATGAACAGAGGAAGGAGTCTGAGGGGACAGGTGAAGGGAAATAATGATTGACTAACGCAGATGTCTCCCCTTTTTGAACACAAGTATGTTCCCATTCTTTCCCTTTACGAAGATGTAAAGCCAACACATGTTTCCAAGAACTTGTTCTTTCCATCACATCTGACGTAGGATGGGCTATCAAATCCAGGTCGTAAGGTGTATGATCCGTGGCGAGTTCCGGCATGGCTCGATTGAGTATACCAAGGACGGTGGGGGAGAAAGTGAAATGTTTCATTACGGGTGATCTGACGAAAGAATCGTATAACTCTAGAGGAGCTGAAGAGTCGAAGAAGCTGTATGTCAGTACAAAACACAACTGTTATATCACCTCAAGATTATAGTTTCGATCGTTCTGTATTTTATGTTGCAAGTGGCTACAGTTGAAATTGTAGCACTAAAATGTCCAATTCCCGTTCAGACAATTTGAGTGTCTGGATTGCAAGGGTAGAAGTACTAGCAAGTTCTCCAGATCTTGGAGCTGGCTCCCTACGAAATGGAAATGCAGGAGAGTATGGAGCTAATGGAAGACGAAGAGACAGGAGAGAATGATCAAACTCACGCATCATCAAATACCTCCCCGCGTATACGTATACACGATTCATCGCTTCCAGCTAATAAAACTTGTATTTGATGTATCCTATCTTGTCCATTAGGTACGAGAGTCAAATCGCCATTCGGATGAGAATCAGTCCTGAGGGTGTAAACGTGTTCTCGCCATGAAGAGCAATATTGTCTATAATAGCTAGCTCTGAGGATCAACAAATGTTCCAAGTGACATATCTTTCATCTGACCAGGTATGTTCAAGTGTTCGGATGTATTATGACATGTTTGAACATGTTGTAAAAAGAAGGGAGGAATATGATAAGCATAAGGAGGAACAGAGGGGGGAAAGAACAGAGAAATAAGAGGAGCGTGTAAGCAGAAAAAGAAAGTCTATGGAGGTCTAAAAAGAAAGCTCCGCTATGACTCACGGAACAGCCCTGGGACTATTATAAAACTTTTCAAAACCAGATATCACACCAGCTATATAAGCAGAAAGTGGGATACGTGCTGATCTCCAAGGCCAACGAAAGATATCAAAAGGTAAGTTCTGGCTAATCAATATCTTTCTCTTTTTGTACGACTAGTCTCATCTTTTCAGTTGTGATGTCGTAGAGCATCCTGTTAGAATGACGAAGACCCAATTACGGAGTCGGAAGGATTGTATTCGTCATTTGGGTGATAAAATAATCTTTCGAGCTCGCGGGAAGGGTCACGAATGGACGGAGATCCCAGTTTGAAGTGAAGTGAGGACGATGAGAGAAACAGGGTAGAGAGGGAGAAAAGGGACACACCGTCTTGTCCTCTACGAAAGGTTCAAAAGCCAATGAACGATTACCAAGTAAAGCTAGATGATGTTGTAATCTATTCCATCAATCATTATTTTCAACTCGCAAAGATTCATCCTTCCTGGAATCATTGAACGAAGGTTTAACGTGGAATTACGAGGAACCATCACATTGATCTTTGGATGAAACATTCGAAGGATTTCCGAACTGGTACTTTCAACGTTCGACCCTGTGAGGAGGACAGGGGAAATTGTGAGACATTCGATGAAAAGGCTGAAATGAAACATACAAAACTCTTTGCAACTATTTCGTCAATTTGGGTTTTATACAAATTTGAATGAACTGACCTGATGATTGAATCCAGTCCCTTGTGGAACGTCAAATCTGATATTAGTCCATCTTACTTTTCTGAACCGTATCTCTTAAAGAATTCCAACTAGATACCCCACGACCGTGAGACTTCTTCAAGGCGTCCAACACCACCAATTCGTCGATATAAAGACCTTGAAACGTCCACATGGATTCAAAGTCGAAAGCTCATAAATTTGAAGACAGAACATGAGAAAACAAGACAACTGGAATATCGTAGAAGTGCAGGCTTCTAAAACATAGGGTGATAGAAGACTAGAGAAACAAGGAAGACAAAAAAAGATAAACTCACTTAACATACCTCCCCAATCTACCTTCAGAATCCCCTAAAGCAGCCCCACTTTCAACCTTCCATTCTTCCCCGAATGAAGGTGGAAAAGGTGGTGATGGTCTGATGACGATCACGATGAATAACACGAGTCCGAATAATAACAATCGTGTTTGAGGTCTACGGAGTGAAGATAATGGTGAAGTGGTATTAGGTTTACGGAATTGAGGTAAAGGTGGAAGAGAAGTAGTGTCAAACGTTATTGGTGGACCTAATGGGTTTGGGAATGTTATTCTCATTGTGTTTTATGTCTTTACTTTCTCTGATTACTTTGGTATGTTTGACTAATCGTTTGGTTTTCTTCAACTACTTATTTATCTTTGGGAATCAAATCAATTTATCTATTTTTGTTGAATATTTGTCGAGGTTATCTCGTTCTCTGGTTTTCTGGTTTCTCGAAAACCACAAGATTGGTAGCTTTCTCCCTCGTTTCTTCTCTAGTTCGCGTTATGATACTTATAAATGTATGAAAAGTAGATGAAGGAGGTGATAAAGTTTTTGATGAGAATCGACGTTAGATAACGAAGTTTCGTATAACTTGAGATGGACTTCTGGTCGAAAGTTCTTTCTACTTGATGACCAAGTCGGGGTGATCCCTCGACTCTGGGAATATGTTCGTCGTGAGACTTTTGGAAATCTTTCAAGTATATATCGTCCTGTCGTCGGTCATAGGCACGTATATAGAGATAACACGATGTACAGGTACTCGTACAGAAATGTTTCAAGTCGGGACCGAGTGAAATGATCCGGACTTGGGTCGTATTTCTATATCTATCCGTATGTCGTTACGAGCCACACGTAGATCGTCCGAGTCCGAGTAATCTTTCACGTTCGTATGACGTTATCACGAATCAGAAAGCAATGTGCGAGATAAGGAGAGAAAGTGAGCAAAGTGAATAGTGAATGTAGTAAAGAGTGAAGAGGCGAGCAAACGAACGCCCCGGACCGACGCGGGCGGTTCACTAGTTGCACTTTCTTTCAGGGTCATTCCCTCTCACACGCGACTCTTGACATTGGACATTGACAGTTCAAGGAAGACCATACACATATTCATTCACCGAGATCAACTACTGCATTACCCATACCTTATCGTACATCGTATCCTAATTTTGACCTTGACTATATCCGAAAACTCCCTCGAGTCACTCCTCTCTGACAAAACCCTGGCTTGCCAAAAAATCCAAAAAATCGCTTACTTGCGAGTGAGATCACCGACGGGGATGAGGAAGTAAGAAGTGTCGCGAGTCAAGAGACCGGCAAGAGCGGTATAAGCTGCAATGGCAGCTGTGAGGATACCGAAAGCTCCGCCTGCTTTGACTGCTTTTTCAGAGGGTCCGAGGAAACCACCGACACTGGGAGGGTGAGCGTGGCCTACACTGTGGCTATGATGACAATTGATTCGAAAGGATGCTTGGGACATGAAAGTCGGAGTAGTAGAGATGAAAGACAACATAAGACAGCAAGACAGGGAGGACGGAAAAGTTGGACTCACAGACACCAGAACGTAATGTCAAGGAAGAAGAATAAAGAGATCAAAGCGACTGAAGAACGAACTAGCAATGAAAAAGATGAACGTGATGATACTGCGTGTCAGTGAATTCATCCTTCATTTTACAATGGCCGAGAGAGCAAAAGGGCCATGTCCGACTCACCTCCACGAAACGAGATAGATGCCGACGGCGTTTTCGAACTCGCCAGGTACAGTGTATGCTGCGGCGACTGCGAACTGGGGAATGTACAATGCTGTTAATCAGCTCTTGTCTCTTGTATTATGATTATCCATTTGATCGTATGACACGGCGCGATTACCACTTTAATAGAGGTGAGATTGAATCGGACGGATCAGACCCGCGGCCCGAATTGATGGATTGACTGTTTGGTTTGGATCTTGCAACGAAAGGGATCCGAGAGTGTTTGCGACGCGAAAGGAAGGTATTTCCTCCTTACATACTCCCGATCCCCGAGTTCACCATCATATGCGTGGGTCCCCATCGAATCGAACCAGACATGATGGAGATGAGGAAAGAAGCGAGGCAACTTGAGGTCAGATGGAATGAAAAGATGAACTCACTGGCGAAAGAGAACCAAAATCCACCATAAGAACTCAAGGCAGTAGCCGCGAACGTGTTACCACCTGCTTTTGTTAATTACAGTTAAAGTGGTAGAATGAAGAGACGCACATGCCCATTCTTCGATACCCGCAATGAGTTGAACCAGCCCTCCATATCCTAAGGCCATACCCAAGACTACGTTGGGAGTGGCGATATGACGAGCTTGAACGTTGTACATGCTGAGCACGAAGGTTGTCGCTGCGAAACCTAGCAAACCCAGAGGGGAAGGGTTTGCGAATCTGTCATAAGTCTGAGTTCATATCGTTGCCAAACCTTCGCTTCCATCTAACGATGATGACTACCATACAGCCACACAGAGGGCGAAGTGAGAGATTGAAAGAGGTGATATTAGGAGGAGAAGGAAGAGGAAGAGGAAGAGGAAGAGGAAGAGGAAGAGGAAGAACTCACTTCCTGTGAAAGACGGGGAAAGCGGGTTGAGAAGTATCGATAGGATGACCACCAGGAGTGATAAATCTCCTCATAGCTCCCCCTTCGTTATATCCTCCAACAGAGGCGGTATCAGTTCCATTGTTTCCTACAGGTTTGGTTTCTCCCATTGTGGTTGCCATATTGTGTGTCGTGTTATCACTGATGATCTGCGATTACAAGTTGAGATTTCAGGAGGTATACCAAGTACGAAGTAGAGGTATGATAAGGTGGGAAAAGATTATGAGACAAGGTTAAATACTTTCCTTAGTAATGACGGGAAAGCGAGTGGGTGCACGGAAAGAGATGTCACCTAACAACCGGACGCGGCGGCTGGCGGCTCGTGCGGCTCCCTAGCTCTCTTTCCCTTCTTCCCCAGTTACGCGTTGCGGGGAAGGTTGGGGGTGGGGGTGGAAAGGCGGGGCACCTGCCCTGAAAGGTCTGAATCCATAGACAGGGAAACCGGTTAAGTCGGGAGCATGAACCGGTGATTCACGTAATTAGCGACGTAGCTTGGCACTTTACTGGCCTACTGCCTACTGGGGGGTGGGATCGATGGGGAAGATACTGTAGGAATGAAATTGGGGACAGGTTTGATTGGCAGGGAGGAGGGGTGTTGTCATGATCAAGGCATCCGCAATGGCTAAAGTCTAACGTACGCTGGCTGGGTCACTTCTTCTCACCTCACTCATCACTACTGGCTAATGGTGCCATCCAATGTATGGTTTGCAGCATGCACCTGTTTTATATCCTCCTGGATCCCGGAGTTGCCCCGTCTCAGTCATCTTCTCTTCTAAAGATAAATTAACGCTTTACATCCTCTTTTCCTTGAGATCCCTAATGTAGCCTCTGAAACCACTTGCCGCGCGCCTAACGAACCAACCAAGACCTGACGTCACCGGTGCCCCGCAACCCCCAAAGCTCCATCCTTCGTCTCTCTTCTTTGCCTTCCTCACTTCAACTTTCAAATCCCCATTTCCAAACCGTACGACCAACTTCATTTCATTAAAACACATCAAACCCCTCAATAAAAATCATCATCATGTCATTCACTCGTACCGTACTCCCTCGGGCTTATCGTGGTCTTACCACCTCAGCCGTGAGACAGAAAACTCTTTCAGAGACTGTCAAGGAGACTGCTGATACTGTGAGTGACTCGTCGACCCGCTCGTGTTCTGTTGATTCACTCTTTCATTGTATTCACAACTGATATTTGGTGTTACCATCGTTCCCGAAATGGGAGAGCTGAAGAGGAAGAGTAAGTAGAAATGAGAGTGCGAAAGATGATCGAACATGAGGAAATGATGAAGGAGAAGATTGGCTGAGGCTGAAGAGAAGGAATTAAGGATGATGAGCTGATATTCAGGTAAACAAAAAAGTCGGAAAAACTTTAGCTTCAGGTTTAGACACGGCTGAAAAAGCTTCCACAAGCGTCAAAGAAACAGTCTGTACGTTTATTTCCCACTAAGCCGAATCATCTTACCTGTTCTTTGGCAATTTACTCTTTCTCATTTGAGGATCATTTCCCCAGTTTGACTTGCTCCAACATATCAAATTGACCTTTCCTATCCTCTATCTCACATAGACTACATCCTACTCCCTTCTTCCCGCAATCCTTGTATGAGTTATCAAACCTCTTTCTTATACCTCCAGCCTGGCATGCTTCGCTATACGTAGTTCTCATTCCACAAAATCAGTAAAAGAGAGTAAATATCGGTGGTTTGATCCAGCGAAAGTAGTCATCGGAGTGATCCGAGTGGTTGTTAAGGGAGTATATCATCAGCAGATACGACTAGAAACAAGAAAGACGGTTTGAAGAAAAGTCGCTGACAATCAGCGTCAGCAACTTCGGACGCAAAGGTCAAATCTGCTCAAGCTGGTCAAAAAGCAAACGAAGCGGCGGGTGTCGCGAAAGGTAAAGCGTCAGAGGCGAAGGATGAAATCAACAAACGTGTTTGATAATCCCACTTTTGTATTCTTCACTGGTACGTACAAAATCCATGTGGGAAGTACCTCGAACTAATGAAAAAGCAGAATAATGATTGGTATGGAAAGAACGTGAAGAGGTCAATAAGTAAAAGGTTAAGAAATTGTAGAGAAACGCATGAAAATCATTGAATGTAATATAAGTGACGAATTATGTCATATGTAATACTGATGATCTATTTGAACTTTGCTCTAAAGTACTGTTTCACTCTCCCACAACCACCCACATCTGTCTAATCTTCCAACTTACACAGTCGGTCCAGCAATGTAACATGGAGATGAATGATGGATCCCCAAAACTCCACCATCTTCTCTAATATTGACTTTTATCACTCATTTTGTCATCACGACCCAACTCGATGATTAACGTCAACTCCTCATCCCTTCACTCCCGAATGTCTCGCCCACCATCTCAGCATCATCTCTCTCTGACTTGAGTAAAGAAGGAGGACCATTCACAGTCAAGGAATTGGGCGCCATTCCACCTGTTTGTCCTATTCCGACAGACGGTATTGGTGCTTCATCGGGAATGAGATTTATCATCCCTTTATCTAATCCAGTCAAGTGACTTGGAGCAGGGGGGATGGTTTCCACTGGAGGATTAGGTATGTTCGAGGGTTTGTCAAGTAACGATGGGGCAATACTCGACGGCACTGGAATGGGGATAGGTGAAGGTATGATTTCGGTATTAGTGATGTCAGTGGAAATGGTGTTGATGTTGACATCGGGTGTTGAAGTATCAATGATACTGGTTTTAAGTAATGGTGTACTGTTGTTGGTGTTAAGTGGTGAAGTATCGGTGCGAAGTGGAGTGATGATAATAGGTGGAACAGGTGAGACAGGAACGGATACAGATGAAATCGTTGACACAATTGGACGGGTTGGTGAAGTTGATGAATAATTCCCTATAGCTTGAATTCCTTTTTCACCTGGTACTGGCAATGAAGTACGAGCCGATTTGATCGATTGTGAGCTGCTGGTGATGGTGGTTGGATATGAACCATTTTTATCATGTTGCCATAAAGCAGTTCCAATAGATGTTCTTCCTGTTAATCCTATTGATCCTTTACTTCCTACCGTACCGATTGAAGAAGATCCCATAATTCCTGATGATCCTTCTATCCCCGTTCCGATGACTGCTGTTCCTCCAGACCCTGATCCTGATCCTGATCCTGTGTTTCTTGACGTTCCTTCTGCCGCGATACTCCCGCCTATAGCGGGACCACTCGATATATTTGAGATATCAAAAATACCACCTGAAGTCGAAGTTGTGACATTAAGTCGTCCACTACCCAAAGAAGGAGTACCTTTCAACTCTTCTTTAATCTTAAACACCTCAGCTGCTAAACTTCCTACCCCCACACCATCCCCGTTCTCCCGACGAGGCTGTATACCACTTCCCATCTTTGATTCTTCCTGTCTGGCCATGTAAGTCTGTACTGTCCGTGGTTGTGCCGGTACTGTAGAGGTAGGAAGGGTATGTGAAGTAGTAGTTGATATGTTCGTTGATGCTGATACGTGAGGTTGTCGAGGAGGAGCGAAAACATGATGATGATGATGTCTTCTAGGTTCTTCTTCGTAGGTTTGAGTTTGATAATATGATTGTTGTGAATGATTAGAGGCGGGAGCGAATACGGCTGGAGATGTCACGCGTGAAGGACCTGCTGTCCGTCGAGCCTAAAAGTAAGTTGGGCCAATCTTAATTCGTGTGGTAGGTGATGTGAAAGATTGGTGTAGGGAAAAGGGTCAACTGGTGAAGAAGGAACTTACTTCCATGAGATGTAAATCTGCCAAAGCTTCTTCGGTGGTTAATGAAGAAGGTATTGGTCCAGCTGCCCAATCTAAACTTCTTCGAGATGGGTCACCAGGACGAGGAACAGGTCTGGACAGGTGAACAGTATCAATTTCGTTTTTCTCCCTCTGTAATCGACGTCGTTTACTCCATGTTTGTTCAAATTCATTCCAATGTAATTGGTCACGTTCAATCTGACAATCAGCTTGATCCTGAATCACACATCCCCCTGGGATCGTCACCCATACGACCATTCATCTGTGATCGTGGGACTGACCCAGAAATGTAGAAGAAGATCTAGGTGAAATCAAAGAAAAAATCTCACAGTCCACCATGTCCAAGTCATATTCCTGTCTGTCTCGCGCATTTTCTCTAATTCCGACAATACAGCTCGCCGTTTGACCACTGAGACTTGATGTAATCGCTGACGTCGGTGTGATAGAATATCGTGCATTTGTGAAAGAGCAGGGTGTGTGCCTTTTTCGTCAGCTTGTCCACCAGCTACAACTGAACATATTCAAGGCTTTTCCAGGATGCAATCTTGTGATTGTCTGGACCGGAGAAGTACTCACCTTTCAAGATCATCTCCTCTTCCGCTACGGTTTCCTCCATCCGTTCCACATACAACTTATCTCTCAGAGCCGCTAGTTTGATTTCCAACCTTAAGAGCTCCTTCATCATAGCTGGTGTTGGTGGTGGTGCATGAGAGGAATGAGCGTGACCTGTAGATCTTGTCTTGGCGGTAACAGCTACGCGATCAGTTTTCTCGCATCATTATTATAGAGTACAATTTACCTTCCTCTTCTATCTCAGCTTCTACACCTGTATCTTCTCCTCCATCCTGGACTAATCCTTCCCCGTCTGTCTTTTCCCCAGCATCCGATGTTACCTCAGCCTCTACTTCAACCGCTGGTATATCCAATTCGGGACGGTTCACAACTACAGCAGCTTCGAAATCGACCAGCATCTTAGCCACGCCCAAAGCAGTAGCTTTCTGCTCAGCTGCTTCCATCTTTGCAGCCTCTTCTTCTTCTTCGACATCTTCTTGGTTGTCTGGAGGTCTCATGGTGATATCTCCATCCCCATCTTCTTCCTCCTCGTCCACAAGTTCCTCTTCTGACTGACCATCTTCTACCACTTCTGTCAGACTGGAAGTATCCAGATTTTGTCCGGGAGCCGGGGAGGTGGGAAGAGTAGCCGCGACCAGCCGATTAGATGCAGGAGGTGGAGGAGTAAGTGATGGAGAATGTGGAAGAGGATGTTGGTTATTCGGTCTTTACTCCGTTAGCTTGTGGATACAAGTTGAAAGTTGAAAACTCACAATTCTGTAGTGGGCGACTGACCCATATCATCAGTAGAATCTTCAGAATCACCAGGGTGAGCTTTTGATTCATCGTGATCTTCCCCTCCACCATCATCTTCTGTCAATTCACTCTCATCCTGATCGTACATCTCTTCATCGGTCAACACCTCTGTCGGACTGGTAGGTGCTGAGGCTATAGACGATGATCGACTAAAAGATCCGCTCTGTTCTGGACCTACTATTTGAGCTCCTGCAAGTCGAGGAGATGATAGTGCGGATGAGAGAGGTGAGGAAGCTCGAGAAGATGGCATGGCGGGGATGCTGTCTAACTCGTCGGGATGAAGATAGCAGGGGGGGAAGGTGGGTTGTCGGCTAAAGAAAGAATCTTTACTTCTCGAGACTTATAGATTCCTCCCGAGAATACCGATTCAGTCGTTTGAATATGATTTTAACACGGCCAGAGAACGGACTGGCTATGATGAGAAGGATATGTTGGGGTTGTGTATGTTATGAACGAGGTCTGGAAGGGAAAGATGTCATGGACGAAGTGGCATCATTCACCGCTAGTGATAGGCGCGCGTAATTGGTTGTTCATCGAGGTGCCAACACACGCGCCTACTGCTGACATGGCGTTGACGGTCACTTGTTCTCACGACCATGTTCACCCCTTGTGTCTCTTCCAACTCCACAACCATAACGTACAGCGTCAGACTCCGACATATTAAACTTCAAACATGCCTCCCAAAAGAAGTAAGAAAGAAGAGGCCATGGACTTTTTGTCCAACCTTGACGCCTTGGATACACCTCAAGACATTCCTCCCGTTCCCCCAGCTTCAGTAACCGATCTTAGCGGTACTCCCCGAGTTTCGGTAGATAGCACTCGATCTAAAATCGACCTTTCAACACCTGCTGAACTTCCGACATCTGGACAAGTACCTGTAGCTCAAGATCAAGAAGCGATTAACGCTTTAGCTTTCCTTGAAGCTCAGATCGCTCACAAGAGAGCACCTCTCTCAGCTCCTAAACCCAATAGTAGACCTTTAACACCTACTACTATCGCCGCTTCCACTACGGGAGAATTCAGTAATGCAGGTCCTAGTGCTACGTTGGAACCACCCAACGTTCCTACTTCACCTGCTGTTGCGGGTGGTTGGGGTGTATCAAGTTTTTGGTCAGCAGCTACTAGTGCTGTTCAGAATGCTCAGAAGATGGCCGATGAGCAGTATAAGAAAGTTAGGATTGAAGGTGTTACGGGTATGACTGGACAATTAGAGGGTTTACAAGTGGGAGGTGTTGATTTGGGTAAATTGAGGAAACAAGCGGAAGAGAGACTTAAAGGGATGGATTTGGATAAACTGCGTAAGTTTTTTTCCATCTGTCTCTACCTACGTCCTCTCTTTAATGCATTTTCAGTCGTAGCTGCATGCTGCACACCCGGCTACTCTTGTGTCACGCTACTTTCCAACTTTGCTCCCAGTCATTTCCTCTGGCAATCTGACAGAGCAGGACAATGTTCGATCAATTGTTGCTCGTTGCTGATGACATAGGTCATGACCTCCTTAACAACACCACCTCAGCTCTCACTTCTATCCTCAACACTGTCGCTCCTCCTATCTCCGCCCATGAGACCCTCGAACTCTGGCTCACTCATCCTATGGTAGGATACGCAGGAGTAGAAGGAGTTGTATATCGAGCATGGCTTCGGATTCTCGAACAAACTGAAAGTGGGGAATTAGTGGTAGTTTGGTCACCTCCAGAGGGAGAAAAGGGACAAGAAAGAGGTTTGTATCCTGTTGAAGGGTGGGATAAGGCTAAAGAGGAGAGTGAGAAAGAGATTGAGGCTGTAAAGGTCAGAGAAGAGAAAGATCCTAGAGGTAGGAGTAAGAAACAGAATCGTAAGTGATTCTCTTCCATAACCAATCTTTCCAGCTTATTCCCTCTCTAACAAGTTCGTCACCCTCTCCCCTCCTCGTCTCTCAACCCAGAGAATCACGACGACACATTCATTGATGACTTCAAAGTAACTTCGGAGCCGGATACGAGGTATGGAGGAGATCAATAGCTTACCAAAAGCGAATCTACCAGTCACGACAATCCCCATTTTCTTACATTTACAACCACTCTTCGCCAATCTTCCAATCCCCGAACCTCCTATTCCAACCAACACCCCATCTGCCGAACCCCCTAAACATCTTTACTTTCTCTTATCCCTCCTCGACCCGATTCACGGATTACGTTTCACCACTGTCTCTCAAGCTGTCCCATCTGATTGGTTAGAGGTAGAGTACGAAAGTAGTGATTGGGTGGAAGAACGTTTGGTGGATGTTATTCGGACCGGTGTGGAGGTGTTGGCTCAGGATGTGAGTTAATTTTTGTCGAAATTTACTCAAACTACCAATCTTACCACCTTGCCAACACCACATCGCAGGACATATCACTCAGACTACCTTCAACCCTGTGTGAATTCCTTGCTGTTGCGGTAGTGTACACTGGGAACAACATGACGAGTGTGGTGAATGATTGATTACCCGGCAACTTTAACTGACAATTCAGTACGTTGCCACTCGTATGGGTTTGAAACCATCTACTAAAACTCGACCCGTCACACCCACACCTGTCGAGACGGAGTCGACCTCGGATGATAAAACGGTCCCCTGAGCCTGATCTTTTCATTTTTTCTTTTTTGGTTTTGTGTATAGGTATGTAGTGATGGAAAAACGACTTTGATGACATGTTTTTTCTCTTTCTTTACCATTGTTATCTCTCTTCATCATCCATAACCTTTCACCTCGGGGTAAATCTCTTCGTTCACGGAATATATTCCTCCGGACTGAGCCATGGAAGTGATCTACTAATACTGACCGGCAACGTACACAAACAAACCATGCATATGTATCAACTCATCGTTTCATAGCCATCTTCCTCCTTCTAGCCGCACTGGCTTTTCCTACCCCATGTTTCTTCTTCTTCCCTTCAACATCATCACTTTCCTCCGTCGTTGGTGTATCTCTAGGTGTTGCACTCCGTCTCATCGTCTTCACTCTACCTTTAGTAGGTGTATCAATCTCACTTTCATCCTCAGATTCCACTTCGATTTCAGGTTGGGGTCGTATGGAGAGTGGTAATTTGTCTTGTAAAGATGAAGGAAGATGAGAAGAGGTTTTACGTGCTAAAAAGAGGGAAAATTGGATAGGCCATGTTCTCCAGATACTTGGAGGAGTGGTCAAAGTGGAGAGTGGTGTCATACTTCCATCTTCTTGTGGCTACCTTGGTCAATTTTGATCTCCCATTTTATTCGACAAAATCGAACTTGATTGAAACAAGAGAAGTAGACATGGGAGCGAGGATTAGACATGCAAGAGGAGTAGACTTGCAAGGGGAGTAGACTTGCAAGAGGAGTAGACATGGATGCGAGGAGTGGACATACAAGAGTAGTAGACATGGAAGCGAGGAGTGGACATACAAGAGTAGTAGACATGGAAGCGAAAGAGAGGTTTTGAAGGGGATGAATAATTTGACTCACTAAAAACACTTTATTACCATCAACGACAAGTTCAAGAAAACCATGATGATCACTTCCTTCTACCATTGGTACTTTAACTTTTCTTCTTCTACCTCCATTATCTTTCTCTTTACTCTTCTGAACAACCTTTTCTTTTTTACCCTCTGATAATTCTTTAAGACTTTCAATCGTTCCATTAACATCATCGACAATCTTTTTCACTCCAGCTGAAGATAAAGCAGAATCGGTAAAATATCTTACTCTCCTTTTATCTTTATTATAATTCAAACGCATGATTAATAAATGGAATAAAGAAGATATGAAGATGAGGAAGAAAAGTACGTGTAATAGTGAAGGTCTGAAACGAGAGTAATAATAACCAGTACCACGCCATACTGGTACTCCATTTTTATGAAAGAACTAAAATGTGTATCAGTCATTATTCTCCTGTCATCTACATCAGAGTCCACGAATTTAAATTTGTGATCTCTTTCATATCGGCAAAGGGAGAGTGTATTTTTTGTGTTTCGATGGATGAATGCATGAATGAATGAATGAATGAATGAATGAACAAAGAAGAGCTAGGGAAGGGAAATACACAGAGCAGAAGATAGGTAGGAAGTATGAGGGGAGAGAGAATTGATGAGAAAGAGAAGAGAGGGGGAAAAAAACTAACATTGTACCTCTCCCTCTTTTCGGGATCTCGAAGTATTTGTGCTATAACACCTAATCTAGCAAAACGTTCTTGTATATTTTTCACACCAGGATTCTTATCAGGACTAAATGATTAGTTTACAAACTTATCTCACACCTTGTCTCTTTCTCTTTCTCTTTCTCTTTCTCTTTCTCTTTCTCTTTCTCTTTCTCTTTCTCTTTCTCTTTCTTTTCCTCCTCTCCTTCTCACCTGGGCGGTCGAGCAGCGGAGAGCGTCGTCGGTACCCTCGGGCTGGAAACTAAAGGTGACATAATGCAACCCATCACGTGACTATTTGGATAAAAGAATGAACAATCTCCAGGACATCTCAGGTATACCACATGGGAGTAGAGTGAAGAGGGAGAGAAATGATAATGGTACGTTAAAACAAGATAGGTCAAGAACTTTTGAAGAGATAAAGACTAACTGCAATTCTAATGCTTTTCTTCTGTACGCTTTGGTAATTTCATTTTGACTAGCACTTGGTTCTACACTTAAATAATTATAAAAATCCGTTCCTTTTCCTATTTGTCAGTTGAAATTCTCCATCACACATTCTATGACATGCAACAACTATCATATTCTTATATAATCCATCAATGAACACATTCCCAAGGTCTGTGCGACTTTCAACAAACGTACGCGTTTTTGAAGGAATGTCAATCGAGTAGTTGATGTGACGTGAATGAGACGATGAGAAAGAGTCAATGAGAGGGTAGATATGAAGCTTATGAGCAAGAAGAGAGAAGGAGGAAACGAAAGAGAAGAAGGAGGAGAAGATACCTTCTGCAGTCACCAAAGCAGAGACAAGATCAAATATTTCATAATCATCTTTTGACCATCTGAACTCAGCTCATTCGGCGTCATTTCAACGAGTGAGGGAGGGACTTACGAATATACCAATGTCAAGAGACCTAAGAGGGAGAGCAAGGATGACCATCTCATCTTGCTTCTTCCCTCACTTTACTTATGCTATAGCGCTTGTGGTTGTACTGGGCGTAGAGGATGAACGCGACGAGAGAGAAAGAGAAACAGCTTCGATCAACTTTTTGTACTTTTGGCAACTGCCACGTGGTTCATTCCACCCAGTAGTGGTGCCCCACCTTACTCCCGGTTGCTGTACTTATTCGTCTTACAGCAGCTAGCAGCTAGTAGCATGCAGCATGCAGCAGCTATCCGAGTGGGGTCAGTGGATTCGGGAATGGCGAGAACTAACATGAACCATATCATGCATCAAGATAACTTCCGTAATATAGGTAAAACCCCCACCACTTCCTCATCCGCCAATTGCCTACAAACCATCTCTACATCCGTCCTCATCGTCTGCCATTTAGGTCTCTTCCAACCCTTCTTCATTTTCAACTTCTCCAACTTTACACGAGCCATTTCCTTACTTCTCCGTTCCATCAGTTCATTAACCAACTCCTCGGTCCATCTCCCAGTTCGGTCATCGATGTCAAAGACGACCACAAGACATCGCTTCAGCACCTTGGTGAACACCTCGACCTGGGTCTCGCTCAAAGGAGTCGACAAAATCTGCGGTAGGAGATCCCCTGTGATAGAAGCAATTAGAGGTCGGTCGTCGTCCTGCGATAGAGGTAACGTGAGGAGTAACGTCGAAAATGTTATGAGAGGATCTGAAGATTGGGAGATAGAGGGGGGAGGGAATAAGACTTCGTTCATGATCATCTTAGCCGTGACATCGGGACCTTCTGATGTGATCGTCTGGTTCATAGAGGACAACACTCGTAAGGGCCAGGTTGAATCGGCAAGTTCCAGATGTCGTATAATTTGAAGATCATCTTGTAGTCGAGGCTCGGCCCGGCTGGACATCACTAATTTGGTCAGCGACGTAGATGGGTAAGAAGATGGCGTACTCGGTGTTCCAGGTAATAGTGATTTGATCACCTTGTCTCGTACGGCAGACGCATCGAATCCGGAGCTTTGAATGACTTCAACCAAATAAGAATTCCCTTCTATGATAGCCAATATGGCGGGGGCATTGGCCCGCAAGAGGCTTTCCGGAAAAGAGTCACTAAGGACAAGACTACCCAGAACCACAAAATGGATAGCTGACAATTTTCTGATAGTCAGTAGAGCGCCTTTTCTGAAGTAGCTTGAGGAGTGGTAATGGACTCACCCTTGACGCGCAATCTCTTCGCATAACCAAGCAACGATTCCACCAAGACACCAACTAAGCAGGTTTTGAGAGAAATATGACAACCCGTTATGGAGCGTTTCAAGCTCTATTTGACCCAATATGACAGCTCGGATAGCTTGTTGGATGAGGCAGCAAGCTAGTCGACAGAAATTCACAGGAGACGTCGCCCTGAAATTAGACTGAGGCTAAAGTTCATGTAAGGAAACTCACACTAGGACTTGATCGTCTATACCCTCTGACCCAAACTTCCGGTCAGCAACAAAGCATACCATGAAGTACGACTGACCAATGCTTTCACCCAGCCGCTCACCAGCCCTCTCTCCTCACTTGATAAATCGGCCCAGTCTAACGCCGTCCGCGCATCTTGCAGCAGAGCAGGGTGCGGAAGCTACGTCGTCAGCATGGACACTTGCAGAGAGTATATTATTCACATCAAAAAGAGCCACGACGTTCTCAGTGAGACTGAACCCTTCGCCGAATTTGGCTAGACATCCTTGAGGATCCTCCGCTCGAGCGGCGGGATCATCAGGGGCGTTCAAAAGGTGTTGGTCCAGCAGAAGAAGTAGGTCGGGAGGTTGGATATATGCTGTGAGAGTAGCGAGAACCGTGCTGTCCTCGCTGAGGCGGGAAAATAAGTTATCTGGAGGAGGTGCACCAGGACATGTTTGTATACACTAAAGATCAGCTAGCTTCAGATTATATGATAGGTCACATACGTTGACTAGTTCTGAGGCGAAGGATCGGCTAGTGCCTTTGCCAAAGCAGATCAGATGGCATAGGACAGGTAAATGGGAGGTAGGGCACGTCGAGTAACGAATCTATGCATCAGCATTGTTTTAACAGCTCCGATCGACTTACCGAGAGGCTCTCGCAGGACGAAGGATCAGATTCCGGAGGCCTGCTAGGTGCTTGCCCTTCATCCAGCAAGCCCAAATCAATCAGACGCCGGGTTACAACATCTTGTATTGTAGCTAGAGACCTTTTCGATCAGCCTCAATCTGGCATTCAGTCTCATGCTCACCATCCTGCGGGTTGAATGAATCCACCTCCTTCGTCCTCCGCTGCAGCATTGGCTAGCAATTCTTGATATGTCACTTGAATCCACGAGTTGAGGTCCTGCAGAGATGACGCGTCCGAGTTGAAGGTTTCGTCCAGTATGGTTGGTAAATCATTCTTAAATCAGCTGCAAGAACTGACTTGATCATAATCGCTCTCACCGGACAGTTCCATTTCAGATCCGACTGATCTTTCCACCAACGCAGCAAAAGCGGTATTCTCTCAGTCAGAATGACGTGCTTCCTCACTTTCGAAAGTGGGGAAGCTTCCACGGCCATAGATCTGATAGCGCATTGTAAGAGATGCACCACAAACAGCCGTGGATCAGGAAGAAAGTGTCGAGCGACATGGATTGTATGAATGAAGTTGGGAGATGGTTTTGCTGTGCTTTCGAGGTAACTATGATTCTCGGAGAATCGGTCGGAATATTCGACATATGCGAGTAGATAGCGAATAATCTCCATGAGGGGGATGTTGACAGATGAGTCTTTAACTGATGTGGATTTGGGATCCATGGCCATCTGTTCCTCTGTCCCATCCATGCCGGAGGGCACACGTTCAAACCCGCTCACATGAGGAAGTAGCGGACCCATGTCCTGAGCGAATGTCATTTCAGCCATCAAACCCGCAAGACAATTTTTAAGGGGTATGGCAATGACGTCCGGGGCAGTCGCCATGAGTTGCCCTGCCGCCAGACCAACGTCGAGAGGCGGGACAGGATAGGGGTGTAATAAAGACAGTAAGTGAGAGACTAACCCTATCAAGGGAGCGGGTGGAGGAGCGGATGGGTCTGCACATAGTCGTATCAGAGATAGAAGTAACCCGAGGGTGGTAGAAGAGGTTGGTGGGGGTGAGGAAGCAGATGCAGATGTGCCAATTTCCGGTGTGGGAGCAGGAGGGTGAGTGAGATGGGAAGGAAGGGGCTCAGAGGGTCCTAATCCAGTAGGATTAGCCAGCACTAAACTAGATATGGATGTGAGAATGTAGATGGAAAGGGGACCTTCAGAGTTGAGGATGAAAAGAAGTTCGAAGATGATGTTCCGGGCTGTGACGAGACCGGATTGAAGGGAAAAGGTGAGGTAAGAAAAGATCAAGGAAGGGGGATTATCGCCAGTGAGACGTTGAAGTAGGGTATCTGTTCCTTAAGCTGACACACTTGGATGAGGATGAGATATACTGACGGGCGATGAGACTGGATGAATCGGAAGGGTTTTGGTTGTGTTTCTTGAGCCATTGAGGGAGAAGTTTGACGAGCTGCAGAAATGAGCTCAATCCATCGTTGATTCGTGAACGACTGACCTTTGCAGGTGAGACACCTCGAACATATGCTTTCCCCACGAGAGATCGTAGAGAAGCATCTTCTTGAGCCATGGTGTGTGTTGATGAGAGCTATGTCATGTCAGTAGGCGATGAAGAAGAGAGTTAAAATTCGAGCTCGCTATCAGAATGCCTTGCGGCGTCATTCAACCGGTGTGGCGGTCATCGCCGCCGTCTCAAAAGTGCCACTTTCCCGCATGCTCCAGTCCTCTACGTATAGTAGAGGTCACTCGGGTATCGTTCGCAGTCTCCCGCCACATTCTAGGTCGAAAGGTCCTACAGAGTCTAGGCGCTGCCTTGTGCCTTGAGAAACAATGAAGATGTGTGTCCAGCAGGTGCTCTTTTTGAGGTGTAACCCTAACATCGACTACAACCAATGGTCGCCGCAAGGAACAACCGATAGAAAGGCGCTCCGTCTCCTCATTCTCATCTCGTCCGACCGCGCCACCGTGTACCGTGAACCATCTGCCGGCTATCTAGTATCATTGAAATAACACTCACGACCCCTTCTTTGCTGTTCCTTTTTACGTGAGACAAATGTACGAAACGGCGAAAGAGCCGAGACATACACGACCGCAACTGATAGTAGACTTTCGATATGTGAGAAACTTCCACTCGTAGCTAGTAGCTAGTGCGTCTTACGTAGGTACTGAATGATCATCAGCGGATCATGTTATCTCTACCGTCCCACCGGCCACCGGTAGCAAGTGGTAAGCGGTCCGCGGTACTCTACCACCCTTTTTACAAGTGGTGAAATCGCTTGTGGAGCTTGCCGAGCCTAGTTGAAACGGGTGACTTGTGAGTTTGGGTTGATACTAGTGTTCGGGATACTCCACCATCACCACACATGTCCATCATTGACTACCTTATGGACAGTCACGCCATCAATCGTGTACTCTGGCCAGTTGTGAGATGTAGAGGATCTGTTGACAAGGTACCAGGCGGAATGCGTCGTCAATGCTTTGTTCCCACAATCAGAGGATCAGTGGGAAGCAAGCCAAGCACCATCATTTCCGTCGCTTTCGAACATGTTCTGCTGCATGCTGCATGCTGCATGCTGCAGAGCCGCATACCCGCAGTTGGTAGACGCATGAGCCAGACCATGACAATAGAGAAAGGGAAAGACTGTCGATAAAGGGTTTTCTACCAATCGCACGTAAATGACAAAAGTGGCGTTTCCATATCGAAACCTTATTCAAAACTTTTCCCCATTTCACTTTTCTTCCTCTCCCGTTTTAACCAAAAGTGGAAATATCAATTTCACATGATTTCGTCCAAACGCGGACACCTTGCATGTGACTAGTCAAAAACAAAGATAAACCTGCCAATCTTTCTACAGAGGAAGAGGGGTAGGGAAGACAACAAGATTGAGCTAAGTAAACCAAGTTTCCTTTTTCCCAATGCGAGCCCACACGGTGGCGTCCCTACTCACACAAAGTTACGACTCTCCCCTTTCGGAGACCGACCATCAATCCCACTGTCTTTCATTCAGGGTTATTCGGCGCGATCATACAGTGCCTCTTTTTTGAACATGGTTTCACTCTCTTTCACTTTACGCCGCTACCGCCGGACATCCCAAAACCTCTATCTTGTTCCTTTACCCTGATCAAATACCATGGAGCATAGCATAACCGGGAGGCGAGGAGATCGAGGAGAGGAATTGTTGGAAAAGAGAAACCAACCTATAGGTTGTTGTAGTACTCTAGAGTACTGCGAGATAAGTAGAGTTAGGAAAGAAGAAAATGCAACTTGGTGCGAACTTTCCATTCCTTTTTCTTACCCTTCCTTCTTCACACCTGAATCTCTCCCCTTATTTCATCTTTGTTCCGACCGACGCCACGTAGACCACATTCGGTTTTCGACCAAAACTGTGTCTCCAGCCACCTCGGACCGGTAGGTTGGGTTAACAGGATTGGAATGGTAATCGTCCGAAGAAAGTCATTTTGAAACTGGTGGAGCATCCAACTTCAAACTCTAGTTTTCTTCATACCAATACCTCTCTTTCTCTTCGACTTGTCATTAAACCGAAAATTCATCCTCTTCAAGACGTATCTATGGTACTGGTCTTTCATCAAAACGTTTAACATCTCTCGGTTAATTCAAGATCGAGAAGGTGTCGAATCTGAACTTGCTACTTCTTGACTACCCCCAAAATATCACGACTTAAAACGATAAGATCATACGAGAAAGATTGGGTATCTGTACAAAAACGACCAACGGCAGCGGATGGGTTCTCAAGACGATTATTGAACATTACGAAACTTTCATCGTTATCCTTACCGCTTTCTCTCTCGTTACGATACTCAAAAGAAATCTAGACTATCAACTGGTGATATTCACTCGAAGTGGTAGTAGAAAGAAACCACTCTTGCTTTTCGGACCTCTTTCGCGGGTCACTGGGGTGTAACGACCGATAAACTAGTGATTTTAGTGACAAGAGATATTTCCATTATTGGTCTGACTATCTCCGTCTTCCCGCCAGTCGTGCGATCTTACGGACCGATATTCCGGCAAGCTATCATTTGGTGTGGTCCACGAGTTAACGGGAAGATAACCACTACGAGTAATTATCGAAATCCAGTTAGGTGTTAGTGAAGAAGAAGAGGTGAAATACAGTAGGACGAATCCAAAATTGACTAATTTGGGGAGTTTTTATCTTATCGATCTAAATCCCCAAATCCCCAACTTTATAGTACATTCTTTATTCTCGTCAAGACGATTTGAAGTCTTCATATACTCGTATCGTCAAACGAATTTTCCCATCAATTTTCAACAACAATCAATAATCTCTCAATCCGATCCGTGATCTCAACCAAATTCAATTAATCTTTCCATTAATCTTTTTTCTTTTACCTCTTTCGTATCAAATTCAATCATGCCTTCAACCACTTTCGCTACTTCCGGAAGAGATCTCATCGGACATAGAATCGATAATGGACGTCTTGAATTTCTATCGGTTTTAGGTGTAGGAGCATATGGTGTGGTTTATCTTTCTGTCGATTTACATTCTCCTCAACCTGTTTATCTAGCGGTGAAATGTTTACTCCGTGCGAAATTGGATAGTAGACAAAGACATTTTCAAGATAGGGAAATAGCTTTACATCAATTAGTTTCTGATCATCCTAATATCGTCAATGTTCACAATGTCATAGAGGAGGATGAGTATATTTATGTGGTTATGGATTATTGTGAGGAAGGTGATTTATTTGGATTGATAGTGGATCAACAACGGGTGAGTCATTTCTTATTCCTTCCAAAGGGAGAAATTACATACTCCTTTCATCCCCCACCCTTTACACTTTCTCCATATCCTTACTTGATTCAAGTCAATCACTCACGATGTATGACTCTGGGTATACTGAGTAAAAAGTACAGGCAGAGTTTATGCTGATCAACAGTATATCGGTAATGACGATTTAATCAAAAAAGTTTTCATTCAAATATGTGACGCCGTCGAATTTTGTCATTCTATGGGTATCTTCCATCGTGACCTCAAACCTGAAAATATATTATGTACCAAAGGTGGTGAAAGGATATACATTGCGGACTTTGGTCTCGCTACTGCTGATCGTGATTCCGCCGAATTTGGATGGTGAGTTGTCTTCTTTCTACTCTTTCTTCCATATGCCCCTTCTCTTTCACCTTCTTTTCCTCCTTCTCTCTTCCTCCTTCTCTTTCACCTTCTCATCCTCCCGCTTTGCTGTCAATAGGTCCCCTCTGTCAAGTCTCCAGTTGAAAACGTATCAAGCACCCTGCTAACATAATCAGCGGTTCAACCTTCTATCTATCCCCCGAATGTCAAGGTGGTCTCTTTGATCGTTTAACAAAATACAACACTAAACAAAACGATATTTGGTCACTCGGTGTAATCCTCGTAAACTTAACATGTGGTCGAAATCCATGGAAACAAGCATGTCCAACCGATGAAACTTTCAGAGCATACGTTCATGATACCGATTTCTTAAGAACAATATTACCTATTTCAAAATCTACCAATACAATTCTTAAATCACTTTTCCATTTGGATCCACTTAAACGACCATCATTAAGAGTTGTTAAAGAAGCTATAATGGCTATTGATACATTCACAATGTCAGAAGAAGAATTATCAAATGCTCATTCTGCTGCCAAAGCCGCTGCTGCATCAGTCCGACATTCTATTCCTTCTCATGGTGTACATACTTGTATTCGAAAACAAAAGAAAAGTTATCAAGATAAATGGTCTAGAATCTTATTGGAATCTTCACCTTATTATCAAGCTAAACTTCATCAAAGACAATATTCTCATGGTGATATTTATGAAGAAATCGAATCGGATTTAGGAATGGGCATGGAGATTGAGATTGAATCAGATTTGGATGTGCAAATGGAAATGGAGATGGAGATGGAAATGGAAGATAGTTATTCAACTTATTCTTTAAGTCAATACGATTTAGATCCTTCTTTCATTCAAGTCATCGATTTCTCTACCAATCGTAATCAAAACGTTACTGCTCAAAAGAGACAAAGACAACAACTTGGAATGACACAATTGGAAGAAGGATCGGAAGAATTCCAAGGATCAGAGGAAATGGAAGAAACAAGTTATTTGGAAAATCTTAGATTAAGGGAACAACAATCAACACCTTCTTTACTTCATCCTAGAACAAGAAGATATTCAAATTCTAATTCTTCTTCCAGTTCAGAAGAAACCAATATACCTCCTACACCAGAATTCATACCTGTCAATAAAGGTCATTTGGCGGATGTTCCAAAATGGGAATTAGGAAAACAGGTCATTACACATGATATGGATTCTCAATCTCATTCACCAACAAAAGGACGATTCATCGTTTGATTCTATTCGACTCTCTCTCTCTCTCTCTCTCTCCCACACACATAGTAGAAGGAATAGATAGAATGTCAATATGACCTAGTAAAGTAAAATAAAATCTCTTGCTTTAAAGCTTAATCTTGTATAGTTCAACTTGTGCGATTGCTTGTCATATCCTCTCAAGGGCATTTGTATCTCATAGAAGCATTGTTGTCCTCTCTTTACGCCCATCTTGTAGATTATCCTACCATGCCATGCATAGATCATGACCTCTTTGTCTACTATTTGATCTTCTCAATCACACAACTATCCGATCTCACTATACAGCACTACATCTCCAAACAACGATGTCAACGATTCTTGGATTATAAATGACGACAGGTTCGGTTGTCATGATCCACGAGCGATCATATCCCCTACTCCAGGACCACCATTGAGCTCTCCAGACATAGGATCATCCGTGTCCCCAATAGTCACCGCATGGCTGGGGGGTACGGCAGAAGGTACTATTGGATTCGGAGGTTCGGAAGGATCTGACATCTCAACGTCGGCGGCGTCACCGACTGGTACTGGGGCGGGCTGGACGATCGTGGTCTCCGCTGACGCTCGGACGTCAGACGTACTGATAGGCGGTGAAGGTGGTGACTCGATTGGCCGTGTTGAAGGATTGCCATTCACATGAGACGGTGCATAGGGGCTTTCACTTCGGATCAACGGGAGAGACTGAGACGGACGGACCGCGCTGTTGGTCGAGCTTGTTGAAGAGGTGGACTCTGCTCGGTTCCGTCGAATGACACCGTTGGTAGGTGGATCTCTGTGCGATTGTCGATGTCTTTCACTCATATCTTCATCATCGGAATCGTAATATTCTCCCTCACGTTCTATACGCACATCCCTGGCACTTCCTAATGGATCAGCTGGGCGTGGATCTTGGACAAAAGATGCACTCACTTGGATCACGATGGTCTGGATCCTCCATGTCCCGATCAGGATCATCGCCATCATCATGTGATAATTTGGGAACCTCTTGGGGAGGATCAACTTATGGAAACTAGGATCTGGACGAACTCACCGTGCATTTGAACACTTGGAGCAGCGATGTTGTCTCGTAGTACTTCGAAGACAGTCTCTTTCAACTTCTCGAGGTACTCGTCGGTATTATGATCCGTCATATTGCTCGGTCGTACGTCCAATTGATAGTCGGGTCCATAATACTCATAATATTCGTTATTGGGCATGGCCAATAGTCAGCTTTGGCCAGACCACGAGTAATAGCTTACCCCCACGAAGTTCCACCCCAGCAGCAAGACCAGTCTCATATGCCCAAGTTCGAGACACCGATTTGACCGTGTAACCTCCTCCGCCGAGTAAGAGTAATGGCAGATTGAACGATTTGATGAATTGCACACAGGCAGCGTGACCTCGCATGGAAAGATTGAAAGATCCCAGTCGATCACCGGAGAGAGAGTCGGCTCCACATTGTAGGACGATGGCACCAGGTTGATAAAAGTCGATGATACGGGTCATCACCTTGCAGGTCAATTAACAGATAACATTTCGGGGTTAAAGACTCACAGGTTGAAAGATACTTCTATAATTCTCATCGGTGATCCCATCTCGGAGTGGAACGTTCACAGCGTAACTGGGTATAAGCAATGTAATTCAAGTATATAGAGCACCAAACTGACCCTTTACCCTTCCCGATACCATTATCCCTCACTTCTCCTGTTCCAGGGAAGAACTCTCCGTATTTGTGAAAACTTGCAGTCATCACTCTGTCGGTCGTGTAGAAAGCCTCTTCGACACCATCTCCATGATGTACGTCAATATCGATATAAAGTACTCGTTGATGATATCTAGTCCAGTGAGCTCCTCCCTTTCTCGAGGCTTGGACTATACCGACCTCAAGAGCTCTAGTATTCCCAGTACGATGTCTGAAAATCAGCACTATAACGATCCTGTTTGACGCTCACCATTGACATAACAAAACCCGCTGGCCTCTGCTTTCTTTGCATGATGAAGTCCTCCAGCCCAATTGACGGCGATATCACATTTATCTCTTGACAATCGAGCAGCACCCTCTGTCTCTGTCAGCTCAGAGAACGGGATCATGTTTCAGCTGACCCATTGACCCTCCAGCAGATATTGAACAATATTCGAACAGTCCATCAAAGATAGGACAGTCGTCTCCGACATTATCTACTCGTCAGCTGAAAGATCACGTCCTAGCTGAGATCACATACACTTGGACTGCTCTTTACTGAATTGATGTGCATTCTCAGGTGTTATGCGATGTAAGAAATCGACATATTCGTCCGTGTGGAATTGTGACATTTCCCTTTTTGTCGCTGGTTTCGCTCGCTATTCTTTCAGCTCTACCCTGGCTTGACGTTGTTGATCAAACGAGTGAAAGATGGACATAACTATGGTAAGATATGAAGAAAGGTGAGGTATACGCACGAATATCTCCATCTTTTTGTACAACCCATAGTTCATCACCAAAGAATGACACATTCTGATCCTTGTCGGCTTCATCGGGTGACCAGAGCCATAGTGATAATTTCCAATGTCCGAGTCGAAGAAGTAGCACTATGTGTCATTCACAGTCGCTCACATTCCCCAGTTTTTATCCCGAAAACACCTGCGGGATACAAAGACCAAACGGACTGTCCTACGAGTGACTAGAGTATTAAGGTGGGGGCGACGAACAGGCGACTCACCACCCTTTTCTTGCTTTCACCGGGGATAGGTTCCATCATTTTTGGACTCCACCTAGCTTCATTCACTGCACGATACGAGTGTGTAGCTGATGCAGATGTTGTAGAGGACACAGATGGCTGAGAGGAGATGTATAGTGAACGAAAGAGGAGTGATAGGGCAATAGGGAACAACAGTCGTCATACCGTACCTCACTCGCGCCTATTTGAGGATTTTTTGAACGCCGGATTGGGTCCCACGCCTATTTGTCTCAATGCTTTCAACTGTCGAGTCCTCTCCGCCAGTGTCGTTACTTACAATTGACTCTGCACCATCATGTCCTCCTCCAATATCGATGCTCTACCTTACTACGACAAACAGATTGATGATCCTCGTATGTCAGCCTCACTGACGGTGTCCAAAGCTGACAAGTAGATTTTAAAGCTAAGGCTCAAGCATTGATAGAGGCTGAATTGAGATCGACGCCGAAAGTTGAAGTGGATGATCCGAGATTACCACCCCAGACTGAGATCTTTGCTGTGAGTTGGGATCTCATTCCTCTCCGCGTGTGTAGATCATTTGGGGAAAAGTGACCTTTGAGAGGCATATATGAAGAGGATTTGAAGGATCAAGGTTCACAAATTGACCCAGTCTCAAGGAGGAAGATGGATGGACGGGAGGAAGAAGAGAGACATAGTAGCTCAATAGCGAGCAGGCCATACGATCAGGATATGAGACTCAGTCAGGAGAGAGACCGACATGATATGTGATGCTGACTAAGAGAAATCATCAGGATTGAGAGAATTACTAGACAACTACAACGAACATCCTATCCGAGGGATCGACGTTTCTAAATACGCTCCACCTCAGGCGAACCCCAACGAGAGTCTTGATGAGTTGAAGGAGATTGAGAAGAGAGGATGGATAGGGGAAGGACATATGGCTTTGAGGTGAGTGATACATTCTAGTCTCATGCTTCTCAGAGACCCCTCTACGCTCGCGCTCTTCACTCATGTCACTTCTGTTCTTTTGATATCTTCCTCGATAAGGGTCTATTGACTACGACGTTAAGAGGATCCATCGCAACCACCATTGCACTGATTATGGAGAGAGCCTGGTAAGTCAGAGCCGGGAGAAAAGTGTACAGAGTCTATAGATCTATAATGAGAAAGGGCTGGCAGCTATCGAAGAAAGGTGTTGATAGCAGAAACGAAAACGTCCAGATTCTCTCCACTTACGGCCCCAATGCCTGGCTAGTGCGAAATTATCAACTTTCAACTCAACTCACTGAACTTCAAGCAGCCGTGACAGAGATTAAAGAACGTGTCACCGAATTAAATCGAGCTCGACGGGTGTTTCAAGAAGACACGGGTCAACATCTTTCTAGACTGGAAGGACGGTGGCAGGATTTGGTAGGGGCGACTGTACAACTCGAGATGGCTTGTGGGGCTATGGAAGGTGAGGTGGAGGGACTTCGAATACGGGAGGAGAGACTGAAGGCTGAGGTCAAGCAACTTGAGGGGTGAGAGGAGGTTCCGGAAGAGATGTGCATTTGCATTAATAACATGATTTTTGTTTTGCTTATGTGCTCTATGCTAGATTATGACGAGTGTCGTACATTACATATGATCATATTCCTCGTTAGGATTTTGTACACCTGTATTGCAGAGAATAAGCAGCATAGGGCGGTGAGGGAAAATGGAGACGATTAATCTCCTCTGAGCTTCTGTACACGTTTGAGTACGGAATCCTTGGCGGGGTCTGACTGTCAGAACGAGGTGCTCTCAGATCGAAGTCCGCATGATGGCACTTTTACGTCCGACAGTCAAGCACGAACGCTCCACTACTGAACAAGGTACGAGAAGGGGGGATATTGATGAAGCGAGATAAGGGGAGCATCGGATGGTGAGAGAGATGAACATACCATACGGATGTTCTTTACTTGGTATTTCCAACAAAGCGGGAAAAGCAGCTTGATACCTATCCACGGCAGGTCTTATCCTCTCTGCTATCTGATCATCAACATTTACCCTTGAATTGTATCCCCATCTTCCTAACATCACAATATCAGCTCGATCAGTGTCCATCCTCTCCTCTTAGCATCGAGTTGCAGATTCATTATGCCTTTTTCAATGCCTCACATTCAAGCGAGTGACTAGGTAAGGTGAGATGAGATCCTAGTCGAGGAAAGTGAGGTCAATGGAGTGTCAAGTATACAGGTACTCACATGTTGGTTGATCAACAGAATGGCGATATCTTTCCTTTCTGTGAAATCTTGAAAAGCACCTTCTATTATACTCGTACTGGTTTCTATTCATCAGACATCCTCTTCTCTTGTGATTTCTCCTTTCACGAACATGCTACCAGGCTTATACATCCACGGCACAATTGGTATGTATTTCTGCAATTTATTTAATCGAGATAGAAGTTCATGAATAATGGCTGAGGGATAGAAAGCGTATCTGAAAGAAGAAAGTCGTATTTGGAGAGAGATATTGAGTGACGAGGATTACTCACTGGAATCAACGATCAGAAAATTCTTCTTCTGAGGATTATCTACATGACCTATACCTGCCAACAGCAATCCAGTGACTGAATCCTTCTCATCAGCTATTTTTTCCTGGCAGTGGAGTGTATCAACTGAACATCCATGAAACTGGAAAGTACGCTGATGAGGCGGAAGGAGATAGAGGTTGTGAGACGATGCAGGAGTAGAGGAGTTTTCACGGGGATGAGGGAGAGGGAGAAAAAGAGCAGGTTCTCACTTCGTCACCTATGACAGCTATCAGAGTTCTATCTTTCGGGTTGGTAGTTGTCATCGTATGTCTAGCTGTCGAGGATGGATGGTGAAAGGGAGGAGAGCGACGTCCAGGTCAAAGTGACTTGAGGGAAAAACACGGAGATCTCTGACTGTCCGTCTCACACCCCAAGTGACCAAAGTGCAAGGAAGATATGCATGATGCTATGAGGCAAGGTAGAATGATGCTTCTTTTACAGTACAAATATCTCTAGGTTGCTGCATGCTGCATCCCTAGTGTTACTAGATATGTTCATGTGGGTACGAGTGGCAACTGTCTGAAGTCATCCTTCCCATAAGCAAAGATCATCGGTCCAAAATTGAAAACAGTAGAACTCACAAAACTCCAGCATATGGGCCCCGATGTTGAGGTGTATCGAAATCGTCCAAGAATGAATCGACCAATTCCAGTTCTCCTATGAACGAGCTGAGTGAATCTGCGCAATACTTTGTGTGAGTCCTGTACACTCCTTGCCTTCCGCTTCTCTACCTATGATCTCGAAGTCTTGCATTCTTCTCTCTAGCACAAAGTCCACTACTCGGACCTCTCACTAAAGTCACAACGTCAACACAGATAAGGCAAGGTTTCGGCATTCTTTGGACGGAAAAAAATGGAGAATCCCAACCCACTGGATCTTCTTGTCCTGAACATGACCTATAAGTCTTACCATCTCTCAATATCCATATCTCACCCGAAGGCCGAATGAACCCCCAATCTCGAGGAGGAACATGAGGTACGTCGTCGGCATAGTTGATCACATGTCGAGAGTTATTTCCTATCTACCAAGTCAATATTTGTCATTCTTCAGACACACCTGGCACGAACGAAAGTGACAAGTGACTCACAGTGGTATCCACATAATTGGCCCATGCTTGATTACCCACCCTAGGGGAGGCAAAAGTGACAGCTGTCACGTTGATCCGTGGTAGAATTTTCTGAAGATAAGTCGCCATAAGTTGACTCAATGCACCTCCTGGTAATGAGTCTATCTTCCCAATTCACTCTATATCTCTCAGCTAATGTCGACTGACATTTTCTCCTATGGATGCGACGCGAAGATAATCCTCAAGGTTTGTTCCAAGTCTGCAAGACGAGAGGCGAACGATGCTCTCCATTTCGGGAGTTATGGAAAGGGAAAAGTTAGGACGAAGAAAGACTTACCCAAAGAATGTCCAGTGACGATCACATTATCCACTCCGCCTACTACTATGATACCTTGGACAAGTGGACCAACTACCAACCCAATCCTCTGAAAAGCAGAGTAAAACCCTTGATGAACTTCAGCACCATCCGCACCTGGGAACACGGCCACGTCGACTTGTGTCTTTGGAAAATCAAGGTCGATAGCGTATGATTTAGGAGAAGAGACGTTCGTACCGGAAATGGCGATCGTGATGGTCGTGTTGGATTTGGCTATAAAGTCTATCCCGAGTCAGCCACACTGTCACTTTCATCACTCCTTCTATCTCAACATTTGAGAGTTTCTCGATCTTCGGAAAAGACACCGATTTCAATTGCTAGAATTGTGGGATACGGAAATGGGAATCGGGGAGATGAAGGATGTATGCGAGAGTTGGTGACCCACATCTTGGTGTATACTCCCCATTCCCACCAGTTACAACATTCGTTGGTCGAGGTAAATTTCTACACGCAGCTTTCTCATTTAGTTTCCCGCATTGACCAGGAGAGAAGTGGGGAAAACTTTACCTCCACACGTCCAAGATGTTATTTGTTCAGGTGAACAATATGCCGCACTGTCCATCAACAACTCGATGATATCGATATAACCAACTGGCAAGTCTGAAGATTCGGAATTATACATGATGTAAAAGAAACAACTCACGTGGCATACCATCCAGGTATGGTGAGTGAGTTGATCTCTTCCGGGCTCAGGTCGGTATTCATAGTTGGCAAACCTAGTGTCAATCTCAGCAGGAGGAGAATCAAGAGGGATTTTGGTAGAAACATGTTTATTTTTAGTCAGTAAAATGCATGTAAGCAAACCAAGGAGTATATATGTAAGAAGAGAATATGGTTGTTTATCATAGTAAGTCAGCTCGATCGAACTTATGTTGAGTAAGTAATTACATTTCACTTGCGACCCAACATTCACAACCGACAGATTGTCCGGTTTAGGGAGTTTTGACATAGGCCCAGTGATCCCAGTGATCAGCATATTTAGGGTGATGGGAAGATATGGCAGTATGGTCTGGATACATGATACACTTCTGGAGTGGACCAGGTAGAATGGTGAGACAAGGAGGAGATCAGACATGGAAAAGGCGAAGAAGAACATTACTATGTTCGTCGTTATCACTACCTGCCAGGGACCTAGTCAGTCCTAATATGATATATATTTCCTATCCTCTCACTGGATCACTAAAACACTGGCCACACTGGACACTTTAAGGTGATCCCTATACTCCAGGACTGGTTTGTCGGTGTCAGCCTATGGTGGGAAGACAAGAGGTGAAAGGGAGGAAGGATACGCGGTTGATTTCATGTCCTTCGGTCATGAATTCCTTAAGGTACCTCTCGGTAACCTTTTCACCACCAAAAGAGTGATTCAAATATCTTCCTTCCATTCCTTCCATTACATCTCATAATACGTCTTTTCTACTACTTTAAAAACCATTGTCATCCCCGAAGAAATATGAGCTCCCCTGTGGAACTACCTTCCGATCTGATAGGTCAATCAGGATTATACAACCTTCCTGATCCTTTACTACGACGGTGAGTATCTTATTCACCAACATTGCCCATTGACCATCGTACCGTCTTGAGAAGGGGGAAAGCCACTCTGAATCTTATCATCGAAATAGGTATCGTACAGGTCGCTTTCCTTCGTAGTTCCACCAGCCAACGGTAGCTACCTAGCTACAGATCATCAGGTTACGGGGTGATCAGAAGTCGGGTAGTGAGAACTGATGATAGACTTCGATTAGAAGATACCACAGGTGTTTCTATTTCAGATCTCGAGAAATACTTTCGGTATAAAGATTTACTAATCTTCTACGCTGGGTCGGAACAAGGATCAAGTGAGTTACTCCGTTTCCCTGTTTAACATAACCCTTAACCATTTTCTACTAAGTAATCCTCCTTCTTTTCAACCTAATTACTGACTTACCATTATCCTCAATGCCTATTCATTCACTCTTCTTGGATATCAAGTAATGAAAGTTTGATCAGAACAAAGAATAATGACTGATATCTAGATAATCTGAGAGACCTACACAGAGTTCATCTTTTTCCTTTCCGACTCGTACAAAAGCTAACATGTAGGATCTAACTGCGTTCGCTATAAAGAATTTCAAAGTCAGTCCCTTCCCCCCCCCTCCCCTTTCCCACCATCGCCATATCCTCCTTCTCTACCCATCTTCTCAAGGAGGGATCCTGGAAGATCAAATGAATACAATGAACTAAATATCAGACATCCGGTATAATATACATATCAACAGATACAGACCCCACATCAGCTCAACGAATATTAACAAACCAACCTTGGCTCAGAAGTACTTTTCACGATAACTCAGATTTCGCACCTCTCGTTCCATATCGTGAAGGGGCGAGAATAACAGAGCTTGAAGAAGTTTCCAGAGGAGAAGATTTCATACAAGCTGGTGTAAATTATTCTCATATTTCACATCACAAAAGCACAAACTGATAAGTAGGAAATCGAAGCTGGTGTTGAGAAAATAGATTTTGGGACGGAAGAAAATGGTGAGTTATTTAATCTTCATGATAAGGTTTAGAAGATAGAAGTTAAGTTTTGGAGTACAGGATTATGTTAGACCATTATCAAGAGCTGCAACCACTGTTTTAATGAATGTTTATTCTACACCTTCTATAGCTGTTTAGTGAGTTTTTTCTTTCTTTCGATCATTTTATTTCCACCGAGAATCGATGATTCATATCGAATCTTGATCATAATGTGGAAGAACGAAGAACGTGACTGGTGACTGTCCTGGTTGTCAACAACTGCTCTGCCGCAAAGCAGGAGATGACTGGGAAAGGTACTAAGAAAGAGAGTTTAAAAGACTGATCATAGTCATATACCATCTCATCGGTTCATAGCGAAAAATGTCCGACCTTCAGCTTTCAATTCGAAGAATGTCGATAACAACTTTCGGAAATGGAAGGAGGGAGGTGTTTCTTCAATACGAATCACAGGTATGTCTTGCATGACTGTTCTTCTCTCTCCCTGAGTTTCACACGCATCTGTACTCACCACATCACTCCTCTCCGGTGATACGTTTTGTTGTTTGAGGCTTGCGCCTCATGGCTTAAATGATATGCCGAGTTGTATGAGATCTCGACTGATAACAGACATCCTGTGGGGTTTGAAGTGGCCATTGTTCGGACTACTATTGGCTTTCATATACCACTTGTTTATCCGTTTTGGTGGAGGTGAGTCTTCTTGTGTCCTTCAATTCTTCATTCCGACCCACCAACGCTTAAGTCATTGACGAGAAAAGCTTGGCTGACGAAAACAGACGAATACAACGTCTTACCTCAATACCTGGATGATCTCACTTGGCGTCTGAGGGGAGGAAAGGTGCAGACCTGAACTACCAGTGCCCGTATTGTCAGAGGTGAAACAGGGAGAAAGATGATGAACATGGAGTCAAGATTCGTGTCATTATCGCTGCATGTGTCATATACATGCACAAAGTCTGTATAAACGTAAAAAAATCACTAGCCATCAGAATGAGATCAGCGTGGGGTAAGACAACTCACTAGAGACTCCATCTGCGCAACCACCTCGTCGAGCTCGCGTTTGGACTGCTGGTATTTCTCGATGGCTTCCTGAGTAGTCAGCGTAACGTCCTTATCGTCTGTGCCATCGGTGGACAGAGGGTTGACGTTGAGAAGAGAGATGTCTGTAATGGGCTCGGGCGAAATGAGGGAAGTAGAGGGTTGGTGGAATCCATGAGTCGACTCACCCCGTGTTTACGCTCCCAGTCGTCACGCTCTTGTTCTACCCTCTGAACTTGACGTTCAAAGTGTTCAGCTTTGACGTCGACTTGTCGAAGTCTGATGTATCAGCCGAGGTGCGAGATATAGCACTCAATATTCCACATCAAGTAGCACATGCTTCTTTATGCAGCTCAAAGTCGAGGATCGACACGTATGATCGATTCCTCATATATGACGCCTCATTTGTCCTCTGCTTTCGTGAGGCAACCCTCATGCTCTAGACTTGTTGAATTGGTGGCCAGGGTGGGAGGGGGTAGCGCTCCTGGTATAAAGAGAGAATACTGAATACCGGCTTACAACAGCAGATCAGGAGGAATATTGAGAGGGAACTAAAAGGGATAGAAAAGCAAGAGAGGTGGGAAAACGACTCACTTCTCCGTAGTCTCTTTCAAGTCCTTCTCCGCCTTATCCAACTCTTCCTCTAACAATTGCACTTTACGAGCCAAATTCTCTCCAGCGGTCCGATGAACATCTCCCTCTTCACTTGCCGCTTTAAGCTCTTTGACCTTGGTTTCGGCCTTTTCGAGCTCTGTCTCAGCTAAAGAGAGTTTGTGTTGAAGAGAAGAGATTTCTTGGTCTCTTTCGAGTAAGTTTTGGTTGAGCTGGTTGTTTAGCTTGATTCCTAGTTGCTTCTCTTTTCCCGTTCTGCACGTCTGATCCAGTCTTCCCGCGTTCCCAGTTTCGATAATCGATGAACAAGTCCAACGCCAGAAGGTAGACCTGTGAGTGGTGGCAATTCGACATATTGGGAATGAAAGATTACGTCATGGAGTAATGTACATCGTTTCGGTCACAACGGCCAACGGTTGAAAGAGTGATGATTGGGAGAAGAAGAAATGGGAGGAGAAAGCCAGATGAGTAAAGTAAAACATACCTTCTTGTTCTCTGCTTCTGCAGCTTCCGCCCTCGCTTCGGCAGCTTCAATCTTCTGACCGAGCAAGACGAATCGCTATTGATGAGCTGACGATACTTTTTGACGTGTACAAAATTGATTAATAAGTATGACTCTCGAGAGGCCGAGTAGCATGGAGAGAGAAAATCCCTCACATCTTTAATCTTATCCTATAACATCAGCCTTGATTCGCATATTGGCCACCCATTCCTCGCCGTGCCATCATCTCCCTCTTCCTTCCTCTTTCAACATCCTTCTCAGCCATCTTTCGACTCGTTTACCCCCACTAGACTCAATAATGAATGGAGCATGAGAATAAGAAGAACATACCATATTGATTATCTGTCGTTATTCGTGAAAAACGTCAAGATCACAAAGTTACAATACGAAGCGATGGCATTCCAGGTGACTTTAAACGCGCTCAGACCCTTCCCTCCTCCCCTCCTCCCTCAACGCGTTTATTCCGTTTTATTTCATTCTTATTTATCCCATTTCCTCCCCATCCCACACGTGTTATTACCTCTCCAAAAGTCTTATCACTCAAGGTAGTAGTTCTGACACTATCGAAACTTTTCTTACTTTGGTATTCAATTACGCCCCTCAAATGACGCTTGGTCTGAACTCGTGATCAGGTAGATGAAGCAAGTGGCAATACAAAGGTCCTTGAACCTCTTCTTTTCTGTCTTTTGATGGAGAAGAGAGGAGGGGTAGGACGCCCCGCAGGACTGACCGATGAAAGTCATATCGGACGGTTGTATGGGGATGTCGACATTATCAGTTTTAGATGGCGTCGTCATGTGTCACAATGTGATGTTGGATTGGAACATAAGAAACGACCTCAATGGGTTGACTGGGAATGGATGATCTTATACGATTAGAGGCAAGTGGTTTCGTATGGAATAAAACACTTCCTTTGACCTTTATTCACTGTTTTCCAACGACCGTCTGTGACTGAAACTCCCATCTGACAATCCCTACTCATTCATGTGACCATTTGATAGTTGAGTTGCTGAACCAATCGAATCACAACGCACATAACTTACATATGATCTCACATCAACGATACAATATGTAATGGGGTATGAGCATCCAGTCACCAAATCGCCATTTTTTATCTTCCCCCCGATTCGTACACGTCGGTGGGATAAACTAGGTGGCTATATCGTATGCTACGCAGACTTCGCAGAGCGTGTCTTCATTGTGGAGAGATGTTTTGAAGTCTGCTACATCATCCATTCGTCTTTGTCGATCTCTATCGTTTCTTCGGCTATATGGTCAGGTCCGTTCGTTCGTAGTCGTCCGTGAGGGCTCGCGTAGCTCTTCTCGGCTTGGGCTCATACTATGGAGTAGTATACAATGTGTAATGGTGAGGATCATGATTGTTCTTCCTAGAGGTGGTTCTGCAGATTAGCGGGGAAGAGGTCACAGGGCGAAACTGAATATGGTATCGAGTGGGCGGGCAAGGGAACTATTCATCGGATCACACGTATGCATCTCTTAATCTTCCCTCTAGTCTTTGGAGTAGTTTATCGGTGCTAATACCCCCTTACCACGTTAACTTCTCCATTGACCAAACATCCTGAGATCGCTGACTACAAACCCCGGAAGCCCAAACTCTCGTTTCTTCCAAACGACAATCGCAAAACCTAGAATTGTAAAAAGGAAGCTTGGATAAAGGACACACATGTATAATGGAACAACCTGACGATCTCCCCCCATCCCCCCTCAGGTCTTATCACCAAATATCTCAACCTAAATGACCCCAATCCCCCTTTCAACTCCGACTCCGATTCCGATAACAAAGGAACGTACTCACATTGTCATTTCTCGAATATGAAAGGAAATAATTCTGGTCAATTTCCATAAAATCCAATTCCTCTTTTCTTTCTTCACTCATACGTAGTATTTTGTCTCACCAGCAACTACACCTACCCAACTCAAATCTCCTACCAGCTTGACCAAAAAAAGCCTCTGGCCGTTCTCGTAAATTTCTTCATCGCCGCCTCGGAAATTTTCGCCGCGCCGAGTTAATAACCTTTCCTCAGGGATTCCCACCTGTTCAGGGTACATCACAAAGAACCAAGGGGCTCAAGGGGAAAGAGGAGGAGACCCGAAAAAACGGTAAGTATACGTGCCTGTATCTCTTTCCGCGTGGGCACTCGTACGTATTACAATTTTGTCTCACTTTTCGGTTTCTCCGTCTTTCCCGTTTTTGCCTTAGATTACTCCTGGTATTTCCATTTTCTCTGTGTTTGTGGGGGATTTACTTTTACTAGGGAGCGTGCATTCGTCTTGGCTTGACAGCGTTACATCAGCTGAAATACTTTGATACCGAGGAGTTTGTAATTGTGTACGGAGGGAGGTATGACGATGGTAACCGGAACTACCGGTCGATCATTTTTTAAAGGTGGCATGACCTTTAGGCGATACCGATGGAAGGGGGAAGAGGAGAGAAGAGAGGTTTAAAGAAGAATGATAGTGTAGGAAGAGAAGGAATCGTAAGCTGATGGAAAAAAAAAAGAATACGTACGATTCCCAACATCATTTTATTTCCTTTCCGATTCAATTTGATCCTTGCCACCCATATCATATCATCGTTTTCGTGGATCTCATCGTTGAAAAACTACATCTTGGATCAAGATCAACGACTTTTTTTTATAAGATCAGAAGATAAGAAGAGAAAGAACCAAGTCGATATTTTGGATTTCTTTCCACTTGAGGAGAAAAACGAAAGATAGGTACGGTACCTACCTTTGTAATTAGAACCTTGTCAGAAAACCAAAAAACGTATTTTCAACCGACTTGTCCGAGTGTCCGACACCGACTCCGAGTTAAGAATCTCGGCGTGACATTTTATTCCCACATACTCTATAGTCCTGTATCTTGTCAACTTTTATCTATTTTCGGTTGACCTAAGAGGGGAATTAGAGAAAGAAATAGTTATTGAAGAATACAATCAAAAAAGATTACGGATCAGTTGTGGTGCAAGAGGATAAATTATCACCATCAAATAATAAAGGTATGTTTTTTCTCCACTTCTTTTACTCATTCTTCTCCTCCTTCTCATATTCCTCACCACGCGTGGTACTTGTTGAATATGAGTCACATGCTTCTTTCGGGTATCGGATTTGATTTTTACTTCCATCTCTCTATCACGGAAGGAAAATAGTGATAGAGTGTAAGGATGATTTCAATCCCTCAAAGATGAAATGTTCAGGAATAAGGGGAATATCCCAAGGTATCACTCACTCAATTCTTTTCTCTTTTTTTTCCCATGACAAGTTTGGTGTAACTATGAAACGTCTCATCATCACACGGACATACGGACACACGGTTACACGGTTACACGGATACTCCAATAAACCACTTTGGTACCTATCACCGCCTCTTTCCTCATCAGTCATGTGCTTCATTCTCTCTTTGCTCCCATAATCTTTTCGATATCTCTTGATGTTCTCGACTTTGAGGGGGAAAAAAACATCCCTTACTTTCAACCTCCCTTGCACAGGTCTCTAAATCATTTCTTTACTTCAGCCTCAATGAAGGAAACCCCCTTAAACTTCCCCGTCACTAAGCTACCATTCAAAACTCGTTTCGTAACCTCCGCACGGCCTTTGACCCTGTATGCTGTATACCCCCTTACCCCTTACGCCGGGGACGCCCCCGTGTCGAACCTTGTCTTAGTTGATTAGGTCGGTCATTGAGAAACATAAGCCCAAAACCCTAAAGTCGTCATGCTAGTCGAAGAGACATGTGTATCATCTAGAGACATTCGGGGATGAAACTTATATCATGACAGATTTGAGATTTTTTTCAAAATTACACTCATAAAAGCTTCCCCACCTCCCTCTTCTCCTTCCCCTTCCCGACCTTCGCTCTCACCATCAGAGTCGGGTCCATGCGACCGAGAACAGGCAGACGATATGAACTTGGGTGGGATAGATTTCGGCGCTCTAGATAGGTGAGTGGTGTATCTAATTTCATGATGCCGTCCCCTTTTTCCTACCCTAAATCATCTGAGTACCTGGGTCGTTATGATTCTATGAGAGGAATGGGGAGAGGAAGAGAGGAAGAGGTGATGGGGTCATCGTGAATGAGTTTTAGGATCACGGAGATAAATGATTATCAAGCTGACAAGGAAGAACATACCGAATAACTCCGATCCAACAGCCAGAACGATCGGCGGCTTTCCACAACTCTTATCTCTCTCGATTACCTCTAGCTCCATGTTTGATCCTTCAGCTCGATTGTTGGGATTCAGATGGTGATCTTGTCATTCCGTAAGTCATATTTTTCCCACTCGATCACCTCCTCCCCCTGTTCTCGAATAAATCGACTGTTTATCGTCCTCCTACGTTCAGCTCCCGTCTCGTCCCTCCTCTCGTTGACCTAGATGCAGTGGGGTAGAAGTTGATCCGCAGTTACGAAGAGCTTCCCTTTCTGGTCTGTCACCTCGAACTCCAAACTCCGTACGGTCACCCTGCAGGCATGACGATATCTCCGTCAGGTGAACTCGTTTCAATGTTGTACGGCACACTCGTGGCTGCTCCCGCAGAGATGGACGACGACTCGGGGGCGCAGGGAATATATTTCGCGTTTCCCGATGTGAGCGTACGGTACTCTGGGACTTTCAGGCTAAAAGCGAGTTTGTTGCGAATAACGGGGTATGTTCTTGTTTCTCTTGCCCTTGGCTACTTCCATACGCCCATCTGTTCCGATCTTTTGACCGCATAATAGGAGCGAGTTTCGAAATACTATCCAACGATGAATTCGTATGCTGACAAACAGGGGACCACCTCTGAACACGTGTTTCACCGAACCCTTTGATATACTGGAAGTTAACAATTATGTCGCCCCTCGTACGTCCTTCATGACATCTGGATGTCAGCCAGCTGATAAATGTAGCAATACCAGACCTCACACGACATTTTGATTCTCAAGGTGTCATCCGTTTCGGTCTACCTCGCGCCGAATGGTGATCCCATTCCAAAACTCTCTACATCTGATCTCATCTTGACGCCCCTCACGACCCCTTACGACAATCTGTCTTGTTTTGTCTTCGAAAATAACATTCCACTCGTAATACCCACACACGAATTTCCCCCTTGCATGGTCTACCCCATCATCACAATATAAATTGTATACAGTAGTCGTTGTGCATTAGTACACAAATATAGTCGGTAGTGGAGAATAGTTGAGAGGCGTGAAATGCATTGAGCTTATTGACTGTTTACGACGTTGAGTCGCCGTAGGTGATATAATATGGTTCGAGTACGAGTTTGTGATGCACCCTGAATCTGGTGCGGTTGTGCCGTGTGCCTAATCCTGGACTTGTACGAGTGTTGTATGTAATTCTGGTGCTGTGCGGTAGTTGAGCTGTATTCGGGATGTCAGACCGGACAAGAGCGGGATACTGGAGAAAGATTGAGGGCTTTGGGGAGAGATTATTGGATGATTGGCCAATGGGCCGGTTCACTTTGGACCAGTATCAGACTTTCGATGTCGAAGAACCATCGGTTCTTCAGGTTTTTGACGAGCTTGAAGTTCTTCCAATTTCTTCTCACGGGCCATACCAGCATCCCGTCTGGCCTTGTTGAGTGATGCATAGACATATGAACCTTTCTGTCAGCCGGTGCTTCAGCGACTCTCGGTACACAGTTCTCCTTCTACAACTCTTCTGGCAGAGCCCAACTGGTGACAAGAGATTAATGAAGAAGAGAGAAGGAAAACTCACCGAGCACAAACACCATCCCAAATGCCGCCATTCTTCAAGTCAACATCAAATCCATACACGAGAAAGAGAAAGAACAAACGGCATGGTGAAATCTTTTATACCGATAGGAGGCATCTTTGCCTTATTCCAGCAGATTGATGCGTCACTAAGATACGAATAAAAAGTGGAAAAAGCCAAGGCCCCAAAAGTGAGAGTAGTAGTGGGGTGTGAAAAAGGGAAAAGAAAGGGTCAAGTTGAGTGACGTTCCACTCCCGCGATTGATTTCTTTCCGCCCCTTTTTTTCCTCTTCAACCTTGTCAACAACCCTTCTCTTCTCTCTTTTTGTCACTTTGTCACTTATCATCATTATCAGTGCACAAGATGGGTAACGAGATTCTTTTCAAGTACGCAATCAAATCACCATTGAAAGGATCATAGAGCTGATGGTAGTTCCCCGGCATTACACGCCCTTCAAAGACGTCAACTCGTTTCCTTGTCTAAACGTTATGGTCTCAAAGCAGGCGGCAAGGTCAGTTCATTGAGTGTCTATATGACTTTCAGCTGAATAATTTAGAATATCGATATGATACAACGTCTTAAAGACCGTACGTCTCCTCTTCTCTGCAAGAGCGATGAAAATGAGAATAAGAGAGTTGATTGACTGATAAACAGTCGCCGCGACCCTGGGACCAGACGGTCTCACTTATATCCCTCCCTCAACTTCCAATTCCACCCTCTCTGATGGACATCGTTCACACACCGCTTCACCTACACCAGGCGAGTGGGTAGAGAACCTTCCTTCTGAAATGAACAAACAAACAAGGGAGAAACGTACTTCGGATCAATGGGAAGTTTTATCGGAATCTGGCGCAAGTCTCATTTCACCCCAAAAGGGAATACCGAAATCGGATAGTGTACGTTCTTGGAAAAGTGCTGGGAATGGTGAGAGTATGAACGAGTTTGGTAGTGAGTATACGCCCTCTGCCCGTCCATAGTCACCGCTCTACATTTTAGTTGAGTCACTTTCTTCTGGGCTACCAGAGATCGTATATCTGTCCGCTCAGCCCTTTGAGTGTAGGTTCAGGAGAGAAAAGAACAATGCTGATCATACAGTGGAAGTGGACCCCAACGTAGATGGGAAGAAAACCTCCAGTGTCAATTCTGTCAAAGCATTAGCTTCTTCGATCAAACGTACTGCCTCTCGTCATTTGCTTAATTCGAGAAGCGCCTCAACTTCCTCTCGACTCACTGCAACTCCCCAACCTACTTTACCACCTGACTATCCCGATGAACCTCAAGAGGAAAAGGAACAACTGAACGACCTTACACTTCCTTCTCCCGCATCTACCGTAGGCGTCCCAAAGAGACATTCTACCATATCCCTTCTCGAACGCCCGAGTACGATTCGTCTGGTCGTTTCCCCTACTCCCACCCCAGGACCTGATGGCGACGACGACCTTCCCTCGTTTCCAATTGCCAAGAATATACATAATCTCAAAGAACGTAGATCCATGGCTCCAATCCGTTCCCCACAAGGATCATCTACAGGAGTAGGGAACACAGGGCTGGGTCGGAAATCTATGCCAGCTCTATCGGCGAGTACTTCAGCAAGTCTTTCAAGTATCTATCCGCCCCTTCCTGCTCTGCAACTGCCCAAATCAGCGACGTATACCATGCCCGGAGATATTCCGCCTGTCCCTCCTCTGCCACCTATGATATCTTCATCTTCTTACCTGCCTCCTTCTGTGACATCGCCAACATCGAATGAGAGGTCAGGGTTGCCCACACCTAAGGGTATCACTAGGATGCAGTTCTCGGCGGCTGCTCAGGCCGTATTACAGGAGATGAATGCGAAATTACCTCAAGAGGCTCAGTTGAAAAGCCAGGAATTACTGAAAGGGAAGAATGCAGTCGTGAATAGGTTGGTTAGTATCGACTCATCGGTTGGAGAGGGCGGGTGGGGTCTGAGTATGAGTGCGGGAGGTAAAGACAGGTACGCTCAAGCACATCAGAAGGAATTCGCCAAGTACGTTTTTCTTCTCTCATGTAACCGCACTAATGAGTGTAGGATGCGTTCAATCTCCAAGATGGATGGCGCCACTTCCGATGGGATGACAAGACCTACTTTGACGGGATCCACCGCTGCGGCACCGAAGCGGAAGTTGGAGTCAAGTCTTCCGTCCGCTCCGAACGGTGCGCCTTTGGTGGGAGACGACAACCGGCAGAAGAAACGAGCTAGAACTTTGGGTACTCCGGCTGCCCCGATGAGTGCCCGACGTCAACAAGAGGCGAGAAGTAAGAGAGACAGTGTGAAAGGGAAAGGTCAGCTTTCTCACTCCATAAGAAGTATTCAACTAAAACGACAGGATCCGGTCTCTCTTCCAAGTTCAGTTTCCTGCGAAATCTTCGCAAGACTCCTATCAAACCCTCATCATCCCATACCGAGGAAAAACCTCTGGCATCTTCGTCAAATTCGACCGTCACGAGCGGATTGAAAAGGAGCGGATCCACACTTCGTCGATTATCAACAGACTTTTCCACTATGGTCAGCCGTGATCCATCCATTCCGGAAAACATCGCTCCGCCTACTCGTACCTCCCGAGTTCCCCCTCCTTCATCTGTTTATTCCTCCACTTCATCCGGACAAGAGGGTAAAGAGGCGAAAGATAGAAATCGGTCTTCATCGGCCATGACGATTCTATCTATGAAGAGCAGTGCAACCTCTCGATCTTTGTCTCGTCCGCCTATTCCGGATTTCGGTCCTGCCTCCATGACCAGATCAGGATCTACGAATGGTCTTTCGAACATGCGTTCATCGGCCTCGGCTTCTGTAAACACCTTGGGTCTTCCGAAAAGCTCTTCCGTTTCGTCATCTCTGCAAAGAAAAAAGAGTCAAGCGGACGCTTTGGCAAGTGCTCGACCAGCTCCTCCACCCCCTGCACCTGGCATCATCGCCCCACGTGATCCTCTTCCCTTTGTGTCGACCAAACCCACGGAAAAGGCCAACAAGCCGACAGACAAAGTTGTGGATCTAGCGGGAAGTACTAAATCCTCAAAACGAACTTCTACACTTTATCAACCCACCGCTTCCTCGTTGGCTCGAATGCAATCTACCGTTCGACCTCCCTCTTCTCGTCCATTACCCAAGCCTCCAATCTCGAATTCTTCCTCTCATATTCCTCCTCCTACTAAACTTTCCCACATGCCTTTATCCATGCAATCCCCTCCAAACGTCCTCGTTCAAAGTCAAAACAATATAATGACTCAAATCACTTCTCCGACCCTTATGCAACCTCCTAAACTCACCACTACGTCCCCGTTCGGTCAAGCATCATCCAGAGGTAATCTGTTTGAATCAAACTTTCATCTCACCCCTTCTTCCATCCCTGTCCCGACTCACAAATCTTCCACTCATTCGCTCAAAGCGCGAAATACGCCGAGTAAATCTTTAGGAAACGCGGGACGTACGCCCATGAAGACTCGTTCGGCAATACGACACAAGACGTCAGGATTGAGCGCTGTGAAGAGTAGGGGAGATCCGAAGGATGAGATGGAGGTAAGGGCTAGGAGGTTGGAGATTCGGGCAAGACAAGAGAGGGTAGCAGAGGAGAGGGAATTGAGGGCAATGTTGGGTGAAGATGTTGATATGAATTAAGGTTATGGAACACAAGTCTCTCCTTGTGCTATGTACATCATTTGGGATTGTTAGGGAATGGTGAAGGGAGGTTTCATATAGGTGAGCAGTATTGCGTATGACTTCAATGCATACATACACGTCATCACTGCCCTCTGACATACGTCACTGGTACCGATGCTCATCAATAATCAATTCTGTTCATTGCTTTGAGTCGATGTGGTGGTATTTGCGTACACAAGGGCTGCTATAATCGAAAGTATGAGAGTCGGTAAGACATGACGCGAGAAATATTCGAGCTCCTGGAGCCTGTCCTTTTGATCATTTGACATCGCCGATGCATAATCTTTCCCAGATTCAAGATTCTCCTTGATTCTACTATGGACCTCTTGTAAGCCGGTAAGAAACTCTGTATGACTGATGTGGGCGGGAAAGTTTTTCAAAATTTCGTTGGTAAGTGCCTGTGAGAAGGTCTCCCCTGAGGCCCTTTCATCGTCCTCACGGCTCAGGAACCAGGCCTGAAGAGTGGTAACGTCCGTCCCCTACCATCGGGTCAAACCCCCCTTCGGGTCAGCGAAATTTTTGTATCGCTTTTGATCGTGATCGATGCATTTCTTCTTCTCTGCCTGTTCACTCGTCTATCATGCAGGCCACTCAATCAAACTTAGAACTAGCCATAGATGCCTATCATATACAGTTACTCCGACCTAAGAAAGATCAACACTCTATCCGCCAAATTGCTGCCGAATTCTCTGTCCCTCGTTCCACCCTTACCGCTCGTGTACTACACAATCAACGTGACCGACAAACTGCTGCTGCACCCCTTCAAGCCCTCACCCCTACAGAAGAAGACTGTCTTGTTGACTATATCAAGCACAACACACTTCTTGGTCAATCTCCCACTGCCACTCTTGTTCTTGAGGTTGCTGAAGAACTTCGCCGGAACCGTCCTCTCATATCTTCCTCCTCCGTCCCACTGCCCTCTCTTGGTCGCAACTGGATCGCAAAGTTCAAGAGTCGTCACCCTACAGTCAGCAGCACTTGGACACGTCAAATGGAAAGAGCTTGCTTTGTGGGAACCGGAACTGATCGGATGATCCCATGGTTTGCCGAAGTAGGATCATTGATGGAGAAGAACCACTATAAACCATCAAACATCTTCAATATGGATGAGACCGGGTTTGGTATTGGAACTACACAAGCATCACGAGTGCTTGCAGTCTTTGAAGGAGATGGAATACGAGGAAAAGCGTGGAAAACAAGTCCTGGACGTCAGGAATGGGTTACAATAATTGAGTGTATCTCGGCGGATGGGGAAGCGCTTCCTCCAATGGTGATCTTCAAGGGGAAGTCCGGATTCTGCTCAAATTGTGTCACGAGACCAACTAACCAGCATTGGGACGATATAACAGTGCCCTTCAGAGACAGTGGTCTAAACCATTGCGCTAAAAGGCCTATTAACCGGCGGTTACTGCATACCGCCGGTCGCTGGTTAAATACCCAACCCATCCTATCACTATCACTATCAAACTGTCTTGTCACTTCGTGACATTATGCCTTCCCTTTCAGCCCCATCTGGGGCCCCAACAGGGAAGGGTACGATAGGCCGAAAACTTTCTCCGAGAGGGAGGTTTTCCAAGTAGGGACTGAATTCGACCCAGCCCACCCTGGGAGTCGAACCCAGGATCCTACCCGTAACCGCCGGTTAATCTGTCACGAGACCAACTAACCAGCATTGGGACGATATAACAGTGCCCTTCAGAGACAGTGGTCTAAACCATTGCGCTAAAAGGCCTATTAACCGGCGGTTACTGCATACCGCCGGTCGCTGGTTAAATACCCAACCCATCCTATCACTATCACTATCAAACTGTCTTGTCACTTCGTGACAAATTGGCTCCCCACTCTTCCTGATAGTCGTGTTGATGGATGGCATTGGTCCTATAGTAATAAGGGCTGGTCAAACAACACTCTAGGATACGAATGGCTCAAGGATGTCTTCATTCCCACAACCTCCCCTTCAACCACATCATCAACACCCAACAAACCTTCCGACCGTCGCTTACTCATCCTTGATGGTCATGGAAGTCACGTACAAGCATGTGTCATTGCGCTCTGCATTGTCACGGCTGTCGAACAACTATCTTCTAGTAGACCGACGGTCGACGAACCTCGGCTAACTTGACGCTTCTAAGTCGATGTCTCACCCAACCAGGAGGGCGCAGACGTCGAAAGGAGTGTAACTACGGCGTACTTCGGCGTAGTTACTCTAACTGAGGTTTTATTCTACTGATGGTGATGTATCTCGATTGTATATAGCTATCTCTATGTCTTTCACTACTGACAACAATCAAGGATCGCTGAAGAACTTCAGCGATCTTCTCAGCTAATATTATCTACTCCTCCTAGACGTTCATCCAACCCTCTCGCGCTTTGACGTACTTCAACGCACTTCGTCCAACTTCCCCGAGCCCTCGGCCATCCTCTTCCTCCTTCGACTAACTCCGCCTAACATCGCCGCACTTCTGCTCCCATTGTCCCTACTTAGCCTAACTCCGCCTAACATCGCCGCACTTCTGCTCCCACTGTCCCTACTTAGCCTAACCCCGCCTAACATCGCCGCACTTCTGCTCCCATTGTCCCTACTTAGCCTAACCCCGTCTAACTTCGCCGTACTTCTGCTCCCATTGTCCCTACTTAGCCTAACTCCGTCTAACTTCGCCGTACTTGGTGTCAGAAGTCCTGAGTTACGTGTAGAGTAAAGAGGTTAAGGCGTGATGGGGTTTTGATGGCCAAAGGAGGGTCATTGTTGGTGGAGTAATCGAGGTGTCACGACGTAGTTCGTGACATGCATGCAGCACAACATCGACCTCGTAGTCCTTCCCTCACACTCCTCTCAGGACACACAACCTCTTGACATTGCGGTATTTGCACCCTATAAAAAAGTTCTTCGAGATGAGTCCGATAAATGGGCAAGACGTACTACTTCAAATATTCCAAAAGGTTCATGGGCGGACTCCCTCATCTTAGCTCGAACCACTGCTATGACCTCACGTAATATCAAATCCGGATTTCGAGAAAGTGGTCTATGGCCCTTCTGTCCTGCACACGCTTTCCCTGACATGTTTTCCTCGCTTTCAAACTGCCCTGTCACCCCACCTCGTGCAATATGTCGGACCCCTCTTACCTCAGTTTCCGACCGTAGTTCAGAATTTATGCGACAACATGTGACAATCTTACGGACTCCAATCAAAAATCATGTCGCAGAATTGCTCAAGGAATGTTTAGAAGGAGAAGTTGCTAAAGCTCGGGTTGTGGTACTGGAGAGGGAGATCAGGGAATTGAGAGAAGGGCAGGAATTGGGGAAGCGGAAAAGAGCAGGACCGACAGTTCAGAACTTAAAGACACATCATTTCACTACCCAAGAAGTATTGGAGGCTGTCCAAGCAATTGAAGCGGAGAGGGATGCGAAGAAGAAGAAGAGGAAGAAGGGGAAGAGTAAAGTACCTTCTGGGGGTACCGGAGACGCTGGCGGATGTGCAGAGGTTGAAGAGAATCGAGACGATGAGGACAATGAGGAAACTGAGGAGGAGAATCCTTTTCTTACGAGTGTCTAGGTGAGGGTATGCATCCACATAATAACTATGATTTCAATCGATCGATGGGTTGACCCGAAGGGGGGTTTGACCCGATGGTAGGGGACGGACGTTAGCAATCACACGTCCTCCTGCGGACATTTCAGAGGCTCCACTCACTGACCCCAATATAGCCTGCACCCTTGCTAGCGTGGCTTCACGGTCCTGGGGCTGGATGCTCGACCACTCACGGAATCCGAGCCTCTCGCAGATTCCCGACACTTCTTCAGCGATCTGCGCACTTGTTTCTGCCTTCTCCGACATGGCTTTCAATTGTAGTCGTTGATGGTTACTGATCAATGTTGGTTGGTTGGTTGGTTGGTTGGTTGGTTGGTTGGTTGGTTGGTTGGTTGGTTGGTTGGTTGGTTGGTGAGAAGTTGTTTAGAAGAAGTGTGGGGGAAATCAGACCAAAATCGAATTCTTATAGCCTGAGTACTGCTCACAGCCCCATAACCAAGTGGCAGATTCAACAACTGAGTTGAAGGTAGAATAGAAGGGAAGTGTGAGAATGTGGGAAAGTGAGAATATGAGGATGTGGGAAAAGTAGTCACGGAAGAAAGGTTCTTCTGAATTTCTACCTTCGAGTCGCGTCTTCGATTTAGGAGTTCATGGCCGGGCGGGCACCCTTCGAGCCGTCTAGCCGAGTGTCTCGATTTTGTCGAGACTACGCGGCGGTGTCGGGGAGTCGGAGTCGAGGGAAACCTCTGCAAACAGGATATGAGTCGTGGGGTGGATTTATGATATCGATTTGGACTGGAGGTGAAGGAGAAGGCGTATGAACCGAAACACGGGGATTTGACTGGAATGATGCTGATAGAGTATGTAGTCTGTCTGTACAATATCATGAGGAAGAATCTTCACTTCATGCATTTCAACCAAAAATGTCTCATGAAAATTCACATCCTAAGCGCTTCGACCCATTGCTTTCACTCGGGATCTTGTAAGTTGCTATCAGAGCTGTGGTAAAACTGCCAAGCACCATAGCAAATCCCCGCCAACGTAACAAAACCTAATACATTATAGCCAGTGATGATTGGCATGTGCTTGATGGTGACTTGCAATTGACCATCCTTTGTGGCATGAGTTACAACACCTAGTCTATTGATGTCTTGAATTGAGTCGATACCCATGCAGTAGATGTTCATTAAATCCTGTAGACTATCCAGAACAGGCTTCTCCCGTTGTTTGAACAAGAAGGTTCTTGACAAATCTGTGATGAACTTCTTGATTGTTGGGGGAATATTTGGATATTTAGATAGTTCCGATACGTGACTGATCGAAACCTCTGCCCACATGATGTTCAGTTTCAGTCGTTGTTGGTAGTCGACTTAGATGTGTCAAACTGAGGATAGCTTGAAGCCAATATCAATAGGAAGCGCAGGGGCAAGCATAGCATAGTTACACGAAGAGAAGTCAAGCGGAGTGTGGAAGTGAAGAGAAGGTGAGAAAGTGGGGGATAGAAAAAGGGTGAGATCGTGTGAACCATGCACCGCCTGCCCCGGTCTAGCCATTTTGGTCGTTTTCGAATCATGTCCCCAAGAGGGAGTTATAGAAGCGTGAGAATCAATCCAATCGTGAGAAGAAAGATGTCCGTGTGTAAAGGTGAGTGATAGTGTGAGAATATGACTTAGAAGGCGGGTGGATGGGTCGATGAATGGATCGATAGGTGTGGTGCGAAACCTCGATGTGGAAACTCACTTTATCGTTCACTTCGAACGTCAGAGTTGATTCCCTCCTTTTTCCGACACAGCTCCTCGAGTTGCCCATCTCCAACCTTCCCCTCCATTTACTATCCCATGCGAGAGGACGATGTTGACCGCTGAAGACGCTCCGACGTTCATGTGGTTGTAAAGTGTTCGAATGCCGTTTGTCGTTTTGTAACGGCAGACTTGGTGTCTGCGGAACGTCGGTGTTGTCGCGGGCGAGCGGTATTCTCGGTCTATCTTGGTATTATTGACGATTGATGATGTATCGTAGTTGAATTTCCTCGCCGATTGAATGTACTTGAAGTCACCCCCTCACGTAAGTAGCATACTTGTATCGAGCTCAGAACCCATAAAGAGACGTCGCTCGAGGATCAATCGGATAGCACATGACAGCGTTCGTTTCACTTAGGGAACTGCCCATGAGTAGACTCTTCTGCCGATGTAAGATCCCTGAAGTTGAATCGGTAATCCTCCACTGGGCGGTGTTGACCTGTGGTAGAGATCCTCTTGAAACAAACGAAAGTCAATTTGTAGTCTCATCGTCTTGTAGCGGAAGATGAATCAGTGCGGATTGATCAGCAGCGTTGAAAGCGAGAGTGTTCATGTAGCAGCGTGAAGTGAATCACGTTGTTCCATTCTGATTCAATCGAGATGTAAAGATCAAAGTCGACGAGAGAAGATAAAGTCATGGATGTAAAGACGAAGGTCGGAGGGAAAAAGAGGCACTGGCCGAGGTACTGTTACCGGGAGTGAAGGAAGGGATGACAATGACATCATCCATCATGGTTCGACTTCCTTTCCATCTTTCTCGACACCACAACATGACTGCGTGTTTAACCGCAACAGGGGTGACGGGGGAAGGGAGACGGGACCCCTTCTTCTTGTAAGAACTTGAGGGTGCCTTGGAAATATCGTCATACCCCTCAGCTCCAAATACTGTACTGATGAAATTTCCATCAACTAACAAATTCTCTCGTTCTGACCTCACAAGTATCCTTCCTTTCAAAAAGCAGCTCGAATTCGTCTCACGAGGTTGTATCCCCGCTCGTTCTACACTTATCTCTATTCGTACTGATTTTTACAAAATGATACTCTCTATATCATATACTTTGGGATTGCTCATGACGTTGGGGATGGGATCAGGAGGGAAGGGGGTGAAAGGGTTTGGGTTTAACACTTCGACACCTAATCAATGTGGACAGTGGACTGTTCAATGGTGGGTCTTATCGTTACACACCGTTCTACATCATACACCATCCTTGTTCTCAATCAGCTAAGGTACTCAGTGTATACCGTGGAGTTGTGTGGAAGATTGCACAAGGGCAAATCAGGCCAAGAGCTAACGAAAAGGGATGGTGGAACAGCACCCTTCGGACTACTCCTGGTCCCGGTGAGTCTCCCCATACCATTCCCTCCCTTCCAGAACATCGAGAGTACATTATCAAGAGTCATTGTATAGGCGAAACGAAGAAGGGATTATACAGGAAATGGACTGAATTTAGACCATCACCGTCAATTCCGGCAAGATCATCAACGTTACCATTCCCTCCGACGCTTCCAATTCGTACACTTTCCAATTGGATGAACCTTCCGGATTGGAATTCATCGCTACCATGTGGGATTCGGGAGGTTGGGGAACAGGAGGTACCACTGATGTTCTGAGTGAGTCCATATCTCTCATCCTATCTCCATGCCCTACACACATGAAAAGATTATAAGACGCTACACGATCAGATGTCCATCCGAATGAATGAATATTTGGACTGAGAAAAGTGGAGGAAGCTGACGATCAGCTGTAGGATCATCCTCCGACTCTTCATGTCTGACCAGGTAAGCCTCTCCCTTGGTCATACCACTCCACCTGATCATATATTCCCAACCCCAAGGTTGAACACCTCGCAACCTCACTCGACTCTATCAGAACGCATTGATGACATTCTCTTCATCCACATCACCGTGTGTTGGCACACATCACACAACATTTTCGTTACTTCAGTTGTTGATCGAACGACTAATACCCAGTAATCTCAACTACGACTTTTTCTTTTCTCTCGACCCAAACTCTAATCCTTCTCAATGTTCAACCACCACCATTTCTTGGAATAACAATATTACTCTCCCCGTAGAACTTTACGGTCTCATACCATCCGGTTCGGCTTTTTCCCTTCCTATACCTCAAGGTGGTTCTTATACGTACGATTGGACAGTTGATATTTCTTCCGGAACTCCATTCCTTCTACTCATGTCCGATGCTGGACAATATCAAACTGGTGGTTCAACATCTTTATTAAAAGTACAAGATGGTTCTACAAATTGTATGAATTCTTCTTCTCCAGGACTTTCAACTTCAACTTCAACTTCTTCTTCATCTATTTCTTCATCCTCTACTTCTACGGGAAATTCCGCCAGTAGTTCTAGTTCAATAACGGGAATAGGAGGTTCTTCATCTGGTGGTAAAACTTCCACCTCATCAGACCCTGATAATAAACCTAAATCTAATACTGGGGCAATAGTGGGAGGAACAGTAGGAGGAGTAGCTTTTATAGCTTTTCTTTTCTTACTTGCTTTATGTTGTCTTAGAAAAAGAGCGAAGAGAACTTCTGAAGAAGGTGCGGATCCAGCTGTGAAATCTTATGGTGTCGTAGGGGAAAAACGTAGACCTATGGATTTATTAAGTCGAAGACAAGGAAGTGGTGAGACTGATGATGGTTTATTAGGAAGAAATCAAGGTGAAGTGGGAGGAGGAGTTTATGAACCTTCTCCATTTAGATATCCTTCTCCACCTTTGAATTCTCAAGAGAGGGGTAGAGCACCACCTAGTAGTTTCAATTATCTCAGTCAAGGGGATAAGGGTACAACGGGAACGTTCAGTGGAAATCCTCAAAACATCCTTTCAACTCAACCTTCCCTTCCGCCAGGTGCTGAAGCAGGAGTGGGGCCAGGAGCCATAGGAGCAGGATTGAGCATGGGTATGGGCGTAGGAAAACAAGGAGGAGGGAGAGGAAATGGTATTTTGAGAGAAAGTGAAGATTCCGATCGAACGGCAAATACATATTCTTCACCTGGACAACAACAAACAGTAGGACAATCGGATGCCGCCACGATCGGTCATGGGATTGGAGAGAAGAGGAATTCGACTCAAGTCAGACCTTTACCCGATGTCCCGAACGACCGACCGACCACTTTCGTCCAACATGAGGATAGTGGGGAGATAGTGTGAGTCTTTCTAGTGTCTTCTCATCAGTCGCTAACGAATAGTGACTTGCCGCCGAGATATGATCAACTGCGGACTAGGAATCCGGACGTCTAAATTGTCCACCCTTGGCGCTTGGGAAACCCGGGGGGTGGGGATGTTGTAGATACTGTCAACGGATACATGTGTTAATAAGCTTCATGTTAGAAACTAATAGTATGTATACCTCTCAACAATCGCTACCGGATTCCCTTGTTGCATAATCATTGTTACATTTATCTCCATTGTTCCCCGTGCGTCATGGGCCTGGACATGTGTTTCTTGAGGTCACAGCCGAATCGCTCACATCTTCACCTCATACCCAACTTTCTCCTTCAATACCCTCACACTCAAATCCCACAACTTCCTACCCAATTCCTGATCCTGGCCTTGAGCACTCTCCGTGTCTACTTTGCCGTCTGCTTCGGTGAAATACCTTCCCTGAGCCTCTTCTCTTCTTTCTCCGACTGCGGGACTTGTTCCAGCCCACAACGCCGATTCAGCACCTTGATCAGGCGTCATGAATGCCCAACTTGCTACTACCTCCAGAGCTTTACCAGGAAGACCGTAAACTTCAGTGGCACCTTGTTGTTGTTCCGTCTGTACCGCTCCAGGGTGAACAGAAAGAGCAAGGATAGGAGTGGGGGAAGCCAGAGGGGGAAGGTGATAGGCTAGTTGGCGAATGAACATAAGACTATTAGTTAGCACACATTCACATGAACCTTGGCACGACAGGTCTAGGGTCTCAGGCCGGAATGAGGATGAGGGACGTTGTGTGATCGAGTGTATCTCAAGTCAAGGGCGTTTGGGGAGGACTACGGTGATGATCAAAAGTTGCAAAGATATGGTCTGATAGGCAGGACTTTTGGACTTACTCGAAAAGCTTCGACCTGCCATACAACTTGGTCGGATCCATATCCTCACTATTCATTTCTTCCAAATCCTCACATTTGATTTCACTCGGAGCCGCTCGATGCAATTCACTAGATTCCGCGACGATCCTCGTGGTCCATTTTTCGTCTCCCGTCTTGGTCTGTGCAGTCTCGCGCATCTTAGGAAGCAAGCCATCAACCAAAACCATATGAGCGAGAACGTTGACACCGTAGTGGTTCCCAATCCCATCGTTCGTTTCGCCATAGGGAGCAACGCCAACACCAGCGATAAGGTAGAGTATGTCCAACCTCGAAAGAGAGGATGAGAGGGTCTTGGAGAGTGAGATGACATCGGCTAAAGATCCGAGATCGATCGTGTGATGGTGAAGGAGAGAAGCGGAGACGGAAGTTGACTTGGTGATCTTGTCGATAGCTTCGCGAGCATGGGCTTCGGTAGAGGAGAGAATGTGTACTGAGGGTCAGGTAAAGCTCAAACTGTTTAACGCAAAATTCGGGATAGCCCAAGCAGACGGAAGGAGGCATGCAAGGATTGAGAGAGATTCTCACCCTCACATCCCTTTTGTGCTAGAGCACTCACTACCTGTTCTCCTATACCTCTGGATCCTCCAGTAACCACAGCGACCTTCCCACTGAGATCGGGGATATCCTCCAGTTTGTATCGATTGGAAAAAAGACCGGCGGGACGGACCATCTTGGCTATGGAATCCCCTAGCACTGTATTGGTATTACGAGTTGATGAAATGTCCCTCGGAAAGATCGAGAAACGAGTCCTACTTTGTCAACTTTGATATCATATGTCTGAAGTATCTCACCAGGTGTTCTTTCTGAGGATGATAGGAAGAAGACGAGGGGAAAAGAGAAAGAGAGACATGATGTACTTACTGTTCTTCGAGAGACGTTCGTCGATGTCGTGCATGTGGACGATGACCTCACTTCGATCGACGGATCGACGGCCGACGGTCGGGTATGAGGGTCGTCTTCATCGATATTATTGATGTCATCGATATATACTGCTGGCCAGCTGGCCTGGTATGCTAAGGTGGTACAGGAGTACATCGTCATCGATCCTGGCCCGCATCGGTCCCAACTTGGATGACTCGTCGGTCATCAAATTCTAGAAAGTTGATCGTCGATCGTCGAGTCGTCGGTCCCGGATCTTCATCAAGTTGGAAACGAGCAAAAGGACAAGGGGGATAGATGTAAGACAAGGGATGCGAACTGGGAGATGAGAAGGGGAAGAGAGAGAGGGAGGGAAGAAGAGAGAGAGAGGTTCAAGGTGAAAGAGGAGAGAGCGGAAAGTCATATCACGTCGCTCCCTTGTACTCGAGTCGTTCGATTTACTCGTATCTCACTGCACAGGAATCCGGATCAAAGGTTTCCCTGAAACCCTTTTGGTTCTTCTGGAAGGCATACTTAGTGGGTTTAGGTTGTTATAAGTGACTTTACCATCCTTGACTCCTCCATCTTCCCCTCAACAACAGTCTACTACTGATTGTGTTGCCACCCAAGTACACTCATTTTCAAGTGTAAGACTATCCATAACAGGACCAGTAAGGGGTCAGTCTGATCTCCTAGCTGCTAGCTGCATGCTGAATCACATGTGGCCCGTCTTCCGGGCCGTGGCCCATGCTCCATGCTCCATGATCCACTCTCCGCTTTGCGCTCCTGTGCCATATATGCTGATATGCCAGGACTATGATGTCTGAACCAAGTAGTGACATGTTCCGCCCAAGTAATGTGAGAAGAGTTTTCCAAAGAATATCTGATCACATAAGTTGCAAAACATCTAACAAGGGAACCACCGATATCACCAGAGGTAACAATTCTGACAATCACTCTGAGATATCAGAGACAGAGCTGACTATTGACAATGTTGAATTTGTTGAAAAAATCGACCCAAAATCCTTTGATGACCCCCAAACAGAAGACATTGACAAAGAGTATGACCCTCTACCTCTTGACCCAGGGCTGAAAATCTATCCCTCTTTCAGCACCACTGCCTTATTTGAGGCGACTGGTGTAATGGACTTGGATTTCGACGAGGAGGGCGACTTCCCTGAGGACTGGGATCCAAAGGTGCATATACGTAACACAGGGGGCCCAGAGGATGTTCGTGAGGTTGCCCCTCGGGGGGAAAGTACTTTGTATTTGGAGGACAAGAGTCGACTTGCACTCAAAGTCACTATAACATATTTTGAAACAGGAAAATGGAAAGGCCAGGACGTATTGGCATTACTGTGGAGAGTATATGTGTTTCAAAAGGACAATCGCCAAGGCGTTGAAGCAATTAGCATCAAGTTCCAAATTTCTAATCCACGAAGCACCGAGTCGAAGAAGAGTGTTCTTCCAACATGGGTTCACAGTATCCCGCAGCGTTTTGAAGGCGAAGTGACGCCCGAAGTTGTGGAAAAGAAGATCAAGATCGGATTGAGAACCGGTTTCAATGTGGTTTGCGCTGCTGATGCCAGTGCTGAAATGAGCCGAACAAGTACGATGACCAAAAAACATTTCCTACGTATTGAGTCTATGACCTATGAATCACCTCAAAGAGAGAATGAAGACGACACCAGCATTCTTTACGTCTCTGGAGTATCTGCCAAGGGGCAGAGTCTTCCATCTTTTGCAGGTGTCTGTTTTGCTTCGCTCGGGCTCGAAAACCCAGACGGAGGGAGACCTTGTCATACGTGCCACCACAAGGACTAGATATTGGAGCAAGTGGGAAGGGTTCAAGCGTTGGATGAGTTTCGGACAACAAACTTCTTTTGCTCGAGTTGTTCATACCAACAATCTACCAGAATCAGCGCTTGGTGAAGCCAGACTCCCTTCCAAAAATTTTGATGAAGTAAAACATGAAGTCTGGGCGGAACACACTGGCCTAGCAAAGGTAATGAGGGAGACAACCACGACTACAGGGACCAGGGAGACACCAAAACCATCAGAGACGGCAGAGTCCGGGGAGCCTAATGGGACCGAGATCCAGCTAGGTGATTGATCTATCAGCTTTATGATCGGTGGACTCACCTTCCTGCCTTATAAATGTGATTGGCAGCTCGTACCGAAAGCACCGTGATCTAGGACGGGATTTCTTGGTCGTGTGATGTACCATCATCAATTGAGACACATAGTAGTTCCACCCTACTCCCCACGTATAGTAGATAAGAAGAGAGATTATGGAACGAATGAATGACATGAGGAAAGGATATATTTGACATCGTCATACTCTCTTCCTCGCCACATGCTCACGATGGATGATCAGTCCAAAGTCTGAATCATCCAAAAGGCCAGGATCATCGTCTCATGTCCGCCGAGCAGAGAGAGACCTTTCGACGTTGCTGCCTGCCGTAATCTTCTTCAACATCTTGGTCACATTCGGTTCCAAAAACCGCTCTGCCGATGCGGATCTCCCAGAGACATACTATGACCTCTGGGTGACAGGTGCTGAACTAACCTTTGTAAGGATGTTCTAGATCCACCCATGGCAGATCGATTGACGACGCGGTGGACCACCTCCACCGGCCCTTCTATGCCACGCTCGGGATTACCTCGGCGATTCTTCCCCCTGGTAGGCTTGGACGCCTCTGCTAGCCAAGTGTCCATTCACGATTTTGACATCAATCACCCATCTTACATCTCACCACACCTTCTCATATTCGATATAACCATCACGCGTCAGGGTTGGGGCTCCGGGATTCCGACGACCTAGTGACGTGCTGTTCTCTGTTCATCTGTACTTCTACGGCTCGGACCGGAGGGTGAAATCAGGTTCGAGGGGATTTCGACACCGTTCAGACTGAGAGGAGATACATAATAATGTCGGGAAGCAGAAGTGTGGTGAGTTGACTGCTCACTACTCGTGTGCTGTATCTCTTATCCCTGTCCGAGATAGTTCGATCTATGGGGACCTGCTCTTCCAGGGACCATAAGCTCAGGGAAGCCGACGAGGAGGATGAAACACGCCACGAGACAATGGAATGAAGCTGACTCGTAGGCAAGGGTGTATGCGGATGTCAACGAAAAGATGGGCAGGTCATGGTGGGATTATGGTGAGCTATTCATTAAGCTCCTGAGGGTTTGTGCGGCTTACATGTAGACAATCTGGTGGTACAATGGGGCGTGCAAGACAACTATGAGATAGTGAGAAAGGTGGGAAGAGGAAAATATTCAGAAGTGAGTCGGTTTCCCACACCTTGAATTTCTCTGTGGATTGGACCCCATCTTTTGTCTACTCACCTGAGTGGAGGACGGTCCTATGCCAAATCCTCAGAGCCAGACTGACACTTCTCAGGTGTTCGAATCCATTCATCTACCCACAAATCAGAAATGTATCGTTAAAGTCCTCAAACCCGTCAAGAAGAAGAAGATCAAGAGAGAGATCAAGATCCTTCAAAATTTAGCAGGAGGACCCAATGTCATAGGTTTATTAGATGTAGTCAGAGATGCGCAGGTGAGTCGTTCACTACCTGGTTCCTCTCCCATCTTTTTTTTCTCCTTATCCATGGCTTTCTCGAGCTCTCGCTGATTTGACCCAAGATACGGTCAAGCTAACACGGCAGTCAAAAACACCATCAATAGTCTCGGAATATGTCAACGTACGTATGCGCTCACCGCTGTTGAATGGACCAACGGGACTGATGACAGAACACCGAGTTCAAAACCCTCTACCCCAAATTCAGCGATTTCGACGTCCGATTTTACATCCTCGAGCTTCTCAAAGCTCTCGACTTTTGTCATTCCAAAGGCATCATGCACCGGGATGTCAAACCACATAATGTTATGATTGATCACGAAAAGCGACAGGTTAGTCTTTTCTGTGTCGGGTATCACAATACTGAGACACTAGTTACGATTGATAGATTGGGGATTGGCCGAGTTTTACCACCCCGGAACAGACTACAACGTTCGTGTAGCGTCGAGATATTTCAAAGGTCCAGAATTGTTAGTCGATTTTCAGGAGTATGATTACAGTTTGGACATGTGGAGTTTAGGGTGTATGTTTGCCAGTATGGTCAGCTCGTCTCCTTTACCGTACGCGGCATGACGACTGACTCTTCAGATCTTCCGGAAAGAGCCGTGCGTGTTGCCCTATGAGGAGAGGTCAAACTAAGTGTAGATTTTTCCACGGACACGATAACGCAGATCAGTTGGTCAAAATCACCAAAGTGCTGGGAACGGATGAGCTCTTTGCTTAGTGAGTCCGAGGGAAATGTTCACGACATGAGCTGAGCATCAGTCTTGAGAGATACGAGATTGATCTGGATTCTCAATTTGACGACATACTTGGAAGATATCCTCGTAAACCGTGGTCACGATTCATCACCTCTGGTGAGTTTGTCCGCCGCTCTGCACCTCGTCATATTCCAAGACAACATTGGATCCGTTACTGACTCGCCCAGAAAACCAAAGATACATCTCAAATGAGGCCATCGACTTTCTTGACAAACTTCTGAGATACGATCATCAAGAGCGACTGACGGCGAAGGAAGGTCAAGACCACGCTTATTTCGCACCAGTCCGCGAGGCCGCCGCACGATCACGTTCAACATCAGTCGCATAAGACAAGTTTGTAAATGCCAATCTCCCAGCTCTCTCTGCTCGTCTCGACAGGTCCATCGATCATCGGGTTCACCCACTACACC